GAATAATTTATATAATTATATTTTAATCATATTCTAATATCGTTTAATAGATTATTCTCATTGATTAATAATAATTTTCATCTATTTATAATAACGTTTTTTTAATAAGTAAAAGAAGTTTGAATAAGCAATATAAATTTACCATTGAATACAGAATATAAATAAAAAGCAGCTTTGCGTTCATTTTTGATTTGAGCATTTGTTTATGCGATAATGTTGGACATCAAACGGATTTCCGTGATATATATAGGGAGGAGCGTAACTAATGAACAAACGTCGAATGATGATAATGAATGTGAAATTGATAGGTATTTATTGTAAAGATAACATACAAGAAAGAAAACGGAATGTACGTCAGAACAAAATAAACTTAAATAAGGCAATTTTTAGCTACCGTGTCATTGAGCCTCTAGTAGCTCTGGAGCTAACTCCAGCAAGAAATTGCCGATTGTAATAACAAAATCCTCTGTACGATAGGAAATTTTTACAAATTCTACAAAATGGTAAAAAAAAAATAATAAACAAGAAAATGGAATTTCTAATCACAACAATGAAAAATTTGTTTTAAAATAAAGTCATTAATTGATTTATACAATATATACTTAATTTATTACTGCATATCATAACCACTTAAAAATCATTGAGAGGTTTTATATTCAATTACTGATTAATGAAATTAATGAAATGTAATAGATGTGATTTTTGAGATAGCTAAAGAGGATAAGAAGAAAAAGCGAACGTGAGAGAGAGAGAGAGAGAGAGAGAGAGAGAAATAGTAACGTAGGCTGAGCAAAATTAGTGGATATATGAGACAATTTAAGAGGGATGGAGAAAAACACTAGTGACGATGAGAACGGAGAAAAGAATGAGAATGCGGCACGAATTGAGATATGTATATAAGGTATCACTCGAACTTATCCTGTTTTCTTCCATAATAGTGAGAAAAATTCAAATTGTTTATCTTTCACATTAAGAAATTCTATGTTTGCATGTGATAATGGTGACCATGAATCTGCTTACGTATATTGATAATATGCAACATACAACATACAAAAACAATGATACGATCGAAAAAATGATGAGAGAGCAATCTTTGAAATTAGGTATTCATCTGAAGTTAAATGAAGGTGTGTACTTGAGTAAGGATTTAGGTTACGTTATAAAGTAGGGTATGAATGAATAATGAAAACTTGCGCGACTCCTGATATAATAAGCAAAAATAAAGGTGGATGCTTACGTAATGGCATCGAAGCCTCTGGTATGTCTTTGGTTTATGCATGAGACAGGTATATATTGAGTTGTTAAAGTTTTAAGTAATGGCGATTCGTAGACTATGGCAATTTTGAACTTAGGCGGTGAAATAAATAAAAAAATTCGTGATTATATAGAATTAAGCATTGTACGAAAAAAACAAGGAGATAAATCATTTATTTTTTAGTCCTGCTTGACAATCTTGACGCCAGCTGGCGCTGCTTCTGTAACTCGTTGAATTTTCTTTCGAAAATAACATAGGACTGTTTGACGTCATCTTCAAGAGTAGTTCAAATATCTTCTCCTTCCTCCTTATTGCGTATCCCCTTTTCTCTTGTTTGTTCTTGCGTGTGCGCAATGAACGAAATAATAATGGCGGACGGAAGTGGTTCAATTTTAATTTGGCTCAGGTTCTCACTCTTGTAAGTATCGTTTATCTTTGTCAACCTTCTCGAAAATTAGACTTAATGACGGCCCCTGTTAAATTTTGGAATTTTTCCATTTTATTCTTAACTCGTGTATGCTCTTGCAAACCTGGGGTTCGTATTGCATGCCTTTAGTTCAGTAAAATCAATATTTTGAAATTTAAAATGCTCAGTTTATATTCGTTTATATAAATCACTATGTCGCCAATCGAACTTCGTTTACATTTAATGGATGGTAAAAAAAAAACTTTTTATACAACCAAATTGTATTATTAGCCGTTAATTGAAAATAAAATAAAAAGATAAAAATATTAGATGGGATTGTGCAGAAATATTGCTATTAAATAAATGCTGGCAAGAGAAGAACTCAAAGATAAAAAAACGTCATAATTTTATTTTCAATTAGTTTAGCATTTATCCATAATGTAAAAGATTATTATAAATTTTAACGAATGGAAGTTTGACTTTTTAGCAAATTCTTTTAATATTATAATACAAATATTTGTACAAAATAAAGTCGTAATTTGAAATACGAATAGTTTAATAATGGCTTTGTAAAGCATGTAAATTTTCAATACATCTTTGTTAATCGATCTTCTTGAACTCGATTTTTCGCTAGCTCAGTGTCTCTTTATAAAAAAGGAGCACCTGAATTGTAAATAAACGTAGAAACAATATTGCAAATAATTTTTTTCAAACACGGAGCTCAAAAATGATGTTCCGGTCGGACTTTGAGCGAGGAATAAGTGTTCAGGTTGATGAAAATCCTCGACTTGTAACAAGGGAGGAGAGGAATGAATCGTGCAAATGAATGCGAGACATGAAGTTGGACGGCGCGTACGATAATCAAGATATATCAGCTAGAATAAAATAGTAGAGTAAAATAGAGCTGAAGAGATAGGCGCTTATGAAAGCTTCATTGCTAACTCGTATACGTTATAATCGACCAAAGACAGTTGGAGTCGACTGCTGTGGCCCTGAGTGGCTTGCCTTTATCTCCGTGCGCATAAGGCTTGATGTACGTGAGTGCGTAAACGCACACGTACGGGCATACGCGTGAGACCTCCCAGAACTCTGCGCGCATATTGATACGAACTTTAGATAGAAGTGTCATACGTATATAGACACGTAGTTGTGTCAATATTACCTCATCAGTTGTCAAGAGCACTCATATGCCTGTGGATACATGTTAAATAACTCGATGCTATCTCTTTTCTTTCTTCATAATTTTTCCTTTATTATTTTATATAGATTTTCGCCTTTCGTTGATGTCCTATACGAATTTTAAATTTGCAATTCTGGAGAATAATTTTATTAACATAATTTTTTTAAATAATGAAATTTATGCTTAAGTTATAAAGACACTCGCAAATATTAACTGAAAGTTAAACAAATAGATGAAGAATATAATTAGAGCAAGACGAAATATCTTAAATTTTGAAGTAAAAACTTTGAAGTAAAATTTCTGTAGAACTATGGAAAATTTGAAAGGATGCATTCAAATAAAAATCTATAATAGGATATAATAAATGAAAAAGTATCATTAGAGATCTTGTAATACACATATACTAGGTTTGAATCATTTTGCGGATGAGTAGATAATGTGAATGTAAATGGGTCGCGAAGATTGAAAAGTGACTTAGTAACAGGAAGTCGTCTAGTGACTATTGATATAATAAATACATTGAGATAAATTCGGGCATCACAAAATGAAGAAAATGGGGAGGGGATAAATAGAAATGGAAGGTGGATTCAGTATTGGAAGGGATAGCTATAAAGAAAATCAGTCTGTGCGCAGCTGCGACTGTGATCAGCTGTGAAATGGAAAAGGGATAGAGATATATCGATACATTGCGGGCACACATGATCGATGTCATGAATGAAATTGGAGAATATTGCATCAAATAGAGGAGACAGACATGTGCTATATTATACATGTTCATTCACGGGGTAAAATCTGTAACGCATGAGTAACGTCAGCCTGTGAACCGCTTATTTTGGTTCTTGATTTTAATTTTTGGATAATTAAAAAGCAGACTATTCATGACAATTTCATGGAAGTGGAATAAGTGACACAGAAATTTAAGCGTATCAAATAATTTAATTTAATGTTATTAAAATAATTTTTTGACATTTGCGACGAAGTAGCAACTTTATTTAGGTTCACATTGTTTCAACAGACCCACAGAATTTTCTGTTTATTGAGTGAAGACTAACTGATTGAGTTCCGAATCATTAACTGTGTAATCAAAATATTGACTTGTCTTTCGTATTAAAGATATTTTGTATGCGATAGGAAATTTTTCAAAAGCAAATATATATAATTAATAAAATATAAAAGATTTAAAAAAAATTTTTAAAGCTCGAATGAAGTACCAACCAGATGAATTCAATTATAAAAACCAAATACTATCTTCCTATTTTAAAAAAAGTATTTGAAATTGACTTGAAAATTTGTTCAACATTATTATTGAGAATGATGCAGCTCTTTAATTAGGATACTTGCTAATTGTTTGCGAATGAATTTCAGCAAATATTCTGATATATACCCTTCAAAAATTAATCTTATGGTAATGGCATTACTTTTTTCAAATATTATTTTTATTGGAGAAAGTACATATACTTGATGGAGTAGTTTTTTTTACAGAGCATCAGCGGAAACAAAAAATCAGTATTCGATGTGCGACCTCATTGGTGTTGATTAAAACGAAAGCACCTGAATCTCAAGTGGGACGAACAACGAATACTTCTGAGTCCCTCCTTCTCCCACGGTATTTAAAAGAATTTTTCGTCGGAAAATTTAAAAGATCAGATGGAAGTGAGGTTACGTAGAAATATGAAAATATATCTATGTATATTATCGAGATTGAAATATTTTAAATTCATTATTTTAAATAAGTATTATAAATTTCCTGTATATTTAAATGTATTTTTTACAATATTAATGGATAAAATATCAACTTTTAAAAAGAATAAAAAGATCTCGACATCCCTTACAGGGACTCAGTAAATCAATTATACTAAACCGACTTTACGTACTTTTAGGAACGAAAGAATAGAATTGAAGATCACAGTTGTATATTGAGAAGATTCACTGTTGAAAGTGGATCATGAATTTTCATCAGTAGAAAAACATTTTTTTTTTGGCCGTGAGATTTTCTTTAAGCCTACAACTGACAGTAATGGCACTTCAAGTTTTCTTACTATTCTTTACGAAGGTAGCGTTTTGCTATGAGAAGATTTATTTATAAGTATATTTTGCAGAAAAATTTACTAGAATTTGCTTAAAAAGTGATGTTCAAAGAGGCAAAGCACACAAATACACGTGGGTAAGAATGGCGCGACATTGGTGGCGCCATCAGGCGGCGTAGGTCTTCAAGTGCCTCGGAACGTACGACGGCGGCCTTTCGAATCAGCCTAAGCCGAGTAGAGCCGAGCCCGAGTCGGAGAGGCGCGCGCCTTAGTCAGTCGATGTTGTACCGTTGTGCAGTGAGTTGTGGGTTATGTGTGTATGAGACTACTTTTACTGCAGCATAAGCAATAGCAATAATAGCGATAGCTACAGCCACAGAAAACCGCCGTCAAGGCGTAGGCAGATCCAGTCGTGAGAATGGTCGTTGCCCAATGCCTCCAAACCGAGCGCTGTTCGGATATTTCGAGCTCTTTGTGTTTTGTGAGTTTTTGTCGTGTGAAGGTCTTGTGATCATTGTGATACGCGTAATTCGTTCTTGTGAGTGGCCGTCACCGATATGGGCTAACGTTCACCCAGGTTGCTTAGGTAGACCTCTATAACAGGCTTTGTTGGAGGCTATCTGCTTTTTCTCTCTCTCTCTATCTCTCTCTCTCTTTTTCTTTCTTTCTCCTTCCCTCATTTTGCCCCCTCCACCATTTAACTACCATTCCCCTCCAATTCTATGGGTCAATGTCTTACAAATTATAAACTACTTGTTTTTCAAAAAAATTGTAGACTCAAGATACTTTGAACATTACAAATTAGTAACGCCTTAACTGCACTGTACGCAAATTATGATTATATTTTCAGATATTTGTATTATGAATTTTTAAATAATAGATCGCATTTTCATATTTGTTGATATTTAATGAATTGTATTTCGTGAAAATTTCCTGATAGCATGCTTAAAACTTTTTCACCAAATAAAAAGTTAAAAAAACTCCTAATGTTCTTTAAGAAAATGATTAAGTTTTTCGCATTTGTCGAATATTTATATACCATACTTAAATTAGATTTATTAAAGAATATCATCAAAGGCATATTTTTCTAAAATTGAATTAGATGTTTTATTTTTATTTTTCTTTTAATGATGTTCAATTGTATAAAATAGATAAAAATAAAATATTTGCAAATAAAGTTAAACAAAATAGATTTAAATGTTCTAAATTACAAATTATTAGTACATTTCCTTATCTTCCATATTACGTAACATATACTTTTCTTTACTAAAAATTCTTCTTTATTTAAAAATAGTTTGGAGTCTATATTTTTTTATTTGTGATCGTATGATGTTATGAATATAAGTATTTTATGATTTTATTTTTATGTAGAATAATGATTTGTTTAAAAAATTTTTATAGAAAAATATAATTTTTAAAATAAATTATTCTATCAGATTCAGCCATCAATTCACCTATCCATCCATTTATCTACACAAAATACACACATAATATGCATGCTTCTGTATATGAATTTATTGTGATTGTTAAGTTTTATTTAAATGAAATCTTTTTTTTTTAATTTACATACTACAAAATGCTTAATTCATAGTACTGTAAAAGTTTTAACCTGTTTCCGTAAGATGTCGGTAGCGACTAGTGCCTACTAGTGACTACTGCTAAAGCAGGAATAATTTAGTAATACGATTTTATTAAATCATATTGACTACTCAAGTATTTTCGATATACAAATGGCAATGATTTATGTGCGTGTGTGCGGGCGCGTGTGCGGGCGCGTGTGCGGGCGCGTGTGCGGGCGCGTGTGTAAGAATAATATTTTAAATATATTATATTAACTGAATATTTTTATCATCAACTATAATTAGAACTTACAGCTTAGTTCGAAATGAAAGAAAAATTGTGAAAATTTCACTAGTACCGAAAATTTTTTGATTCTTCAAAATAAATAGTTATAAAGTATTTGTTGAATAAAAATGTATATTTTTATATTGTATATATAGTTCATAAAATCATTCATAAATTAAAATTTTTTCAGTGATATTTCTCCATCATTGATAACATTCCATGACATTTAAAAAATTCATAGAATATAAATAATAATTATTTTGCACGACAAAAAAGAAAACAAAAAATATAAGAAGTTTTTGAGTAATGCATATCATCTGCACCTATCTATAGATATATATAGAATAAGATTCTCAACAGAATTCTCGGTTAATTTATTAACTTCAAAATATTCGGCGTTTAATTATCTCTGTTTGTGTGTCTCTCTCTTTCTTTCGCTTCGGTCTCCCTCTACCCCTTTTCTCTCTCTCTCTCTCTCTCTTTCTTTCGCTTCTGTCTCCCTCTACCCCTTCTCTCTCTCTCTCTCTCTCTCTTTCTTTCGCTTCTACCCCCCTTCTCTTTTGAATATCTTTTTTATTTTTCAATCGTTAATGGAATTGTTTTTCATATATTTTTTGATCCTTTCCATTTGCAATACATTTATTGATCGCCAATTTAACGTATTTTTAAAGCTAATATTACTTCAAGGGTAATATAGTAATTAAAAATAAATATAAATATTGGTATAAGGATATATATAAAAATCGGCGATAAAGAGCTATTAGTACTACATTAAGAATATATAGTATTTTATATAAATTTTTTTAACTATCAATAATTTGCTTTTTTTATCAAGTAACTAAAAAGCTATTGAAATGTAAGAAATTACAGATGATTTTAACGTGTTTACAAGTATTTGCATTAAATAAATATTGAAAATTAGAATTTAAATATATTATTGAATCAATGACAAACGTAAATTTTTATTAAATTAGATACTTTTGAGTGTATTCTTTTATATTCATTATTATATCTAACAAGTACATATATTATTTTTATATAATTAATTTATAATAAATTTTAATAAAAAGTAATTTAATGAAATAGAATAAAATAATTGTTTTTTAAAATTTTTCAAACGTGGGACTGAGTTGAAAATTTACTATTTTATTAATATTGTAATTGTGGTAAAACAATAGTAATGTTAGAATATTAATAAATTTTAACATTGATAAATTTTAAATATAATCAATTATTTTTATTGTAAATTAAAAATGAATACAAGATATAAAAGTAATTTTACAATTTTAATGAATAACGTTTTAATAGAAGCAATACTAACTTCATAATTACGAAAGTTAGTATGTGAACTATTAGAATAACGTATTTTAGTATAAATAATAAGTAATAGATATATTGTACTCTATATTGACATCTCCTTATGTAGAGTCTACGAAACTTTTGAAATGAAAAACGTTTAGATTGATACGTCACTCGTAGTTCTCTATGCTTTGTTTTTCCATTGACGCACCGATCTTCTGAGTCATGAGAATAGCAGCACTTACGCAGTATAGATGAGCTCTTTGTGTGGTCGTTTGCTTCTGAGTTAAATGCATGGGTGTATATTCACGATAGTGGTAGAGACTAAGTTTGACGTGTATGTCAGCTTTTGATACATGTAAAAGTAGAAAATAACAATCTGATAAGCTTTTAGTTTTTGTTTACTGAAAATCGTTGGTTTTAGATATTTTAGTTGCATAGGAATAAATGTTGTGAAATTATTGAAATTTCATTTAAGTTGCATATATTTTCGTGTATTTACCTAAAATAATATACTTTTTAAATCTACTGGAATTTAATTATTTAATTTATCTTGTAAATGTTTTTGAACGAAAATTTCAACAATACAAGAAGTTTCAATTTCTCCATTGTTGGGATCTGTTCTAAATTTTCAATTATAAAAATATGAAATAAAAATGAATTGCTTTTCTGTTAAAATATTATATCTTTTATAAAATAAAGTAGTAATAAATATTTGATAAAAAATTATTTATTACTTGTAAAAATAATTAGTCAAAAATAAATTATTTCTATGAACGAAAAGCATGTTTACAGTAAAATGCGAATGAGTATATTTAGTATTTTTGTTATTTTTGTTTACTTTTACCAGTACATTTTTTAGTTAATTCATGATCTTATATCTCTCTTTTCAGAGTTGTGCAATGATGGGTCTGCAGGCTACGTCAGGAAAACGTAAATTAGACGGTGGAGTTGGTTGTATGGATTTTGATATGGAATTGGGTGAGAGCCCTTCAAAACTTGGTAGGGTTGAGGGTAGTTGGTGGGCGATGGAGGAAAGCTTTGCTTCATCATCGCCTGTAGCTCTCAGTCATACAACTGCAACAGCATATTACGATATGGAGGTGGTGGCCACTTCCTGTATTCAGTCTCCTACATCCAACAATTCTTGCCATTTGTCATCACTCCACAATTCTTCAGGAAGTTCTACGATACCCGGATCAACAACGTCCACGACTAGCCTTAATGGATCTTCATCTCCTGTCAGTTCCTCTCAGCTAACATCTGGAATCAGTCAATCTCAGCAGCAACAGTCACAACAGCAGCAGCAGCATTATTATCAACGAGGAGGTGCCAGTCTTGTAAATTCCATCTACCATCAACAACAGCAACAGCAGCAGCAAACGCAGCAGCAGCAGCAGCAGCAGCAACAGCAGCAAGATCAGCAGCAACAAAAACAGCAGCAACAGGAGCAGCAGGAGCAGCAGCGGCAGCATCAACAACAAAGACAACAATTACAACAGCAACAGCAGCATCAACAGCAACTTTCGAGGCCTCAAGCCCAGTGGGGTCATCATGCAAGTGCACCTCATCACTATGAGCCTCCCACGATACGTAGGGAAGAGAATGGGAAAAGCTACCTGGAGCTGGGCTCCAGTTATCGTGTAAATGAGCGTTGCTGTGAAGGTTCGCGGTCTAGCTGGTGCAGACGCGGTCGGGCTTGTTATAGGCAGCGACGTCTCGCTGTTCTCAATATCTCTATGTGCAAACTTGCCAGGTACAGGCAGTTTCCTGATCCAAGTCTCCATCGTTCGGTGCTTATTTGCAACACTTTAAGATATCTTGAACGTGAAATGGAGAGAGATCGGAGTCCACCACCCATGGAGCCGGTTATGGCAACGCCTATAGCTCAATTGCAGTCATCCGAGCAGGGCAGGCTCACGCCTTTTCCTGTAACAGTGAACTCTGCTGAAACGGATGTTGATTCAGGAATTGGAGATAGTGATGACAGCCGCTCCATTAATTGGGGCAGCGTTTTATCGCTTTCAAGTCAGTCGCCTCTTGATCCACTTAATAATAATGAGCTTCTTGATGTGGACATTGGTCCAGAGCTGGATCTTGATTTTATGCCTGGATGGAAGTTGACATCTGCAGCGCCCGTGAGTTCAGATGAGTTACTGCGAGGTCTTTCAAACTCATCCAATGAATCCACTTTGAGTCTGCAGCAACAGCAACAACAGCAACACAGTCAGCATCACGGTCACCAACAGTTGCAGGCTGGTCATCATCACCTTCACCACCATCATCACCACCATCACCACCATCATCATCATCATCAAGGAAATGTAGTCGGGAGTTGTAACAATACGATAGTCGCAACTAATAGCGGCAGCAATACGCATGAATCGCTTATGTGCGTCGGTTCATAGCCCCAGACGATACTCACATCGCTTAGTCACCTTATTGATTTCTATCCTCTTGCGCCATAGGAGATAAGAAAAAAACAAACTCAAGAACGAAAGCTAGAATAAGATAGATATATAGGTAGATAAATAAATAGATAGATACATAGGTATATACACAGATAGATAGATAGATACATAGATAAATAGATACATAGATAGATAGATAGATAGTTAGATACATAGATATATAGATACATAAATAGATACATACACGCATACATATATAGATAGGTAGCTAGATACACAGGTATATACACAGATAGATAGAAAGATAGATACATAGGTAGATACATAGATAGATAGATACACAGATAGATAGATAGATAGATAGATAGATAGATAGATAGATAGATAGATATATAGATAGGTAGCTACATACATAGGTATATACACAGATAGATACGCAGATAGATAGATAGATAGATAGATAGATAGATATATAGATAGGTAGCTACATACATAGGTATATACACAGATAGATACGCAGATAGATAGATAGATAGATAGATAGATAGATAGATAGATAGATAGATAGATAGATAGATAGATAGATAGATAGATAGATAGATAGATAGATAGATAGATAGATAGATAGATAGATAGATAGATAGATAGATAGATAGATGGTAGATACATAGATAGATAGAAAGAGAGGTAGATAGATAGAGAAATAGATAATAGATATATATATAGATAGATAGATAGATAGATAGATAGATAGATACATACATAGGTAGATAGATAGATAGATAGATAGATAGATAGATAGATAGATAGATGATAGATACATAGATAGATAGAAAGAGAGGTAGAAAGATAGAGAAATAGATAATAGATAGATATATAGATCGATAGATGATAGATAGGTATATATATATTTATATATATAGCTGAAAAATAACATGAGGTGCGCATGATTCCACGAGATTAGTGATACAGCGTGTGTATGAATTTATAGGTGACCGTCCACAAATTAAGCAATGTAAGAGACAATTATCGAAACTTCATTCGCTACGAATGATCAACATTTACGACTCATCGCGGAATTTCTTGCGTTTTCTACTTACGCTCTTGTTTAATCACTCTGCTGATGTGACTTCAGGGCTTAGGAAAATTTCGCACGTCTTCGCTAAACATTCAAAGCAAAGAATACTTGTATGCTATTTCCTTGAAATTTACACGTCAAAGTTTTTACTACGAATATCACGAAAGGTAGCTGAACTACAATGTTCACATTTGATAATAAAGATAGGATGGGTCGCAGGGAAAAATCTTTAATAGTGATTGAGCAGATGATTTGTCTGGTGGATTAATTACTATGTGAATAATCGAACAGGGCGATTTTGAAAGATATGAAAACCGAGCTTATTAAAGAAAAAATCCAATTTAAAAGAAAATGTCCCGATGACGTTCGTAAATTTTTATTTGTACACATGAGTATATATATACAATATAGATATTTATTGTTCGTGTCAATTAAAACACTATTTCGATTTTTATCATAATCCTCTGTTCTTCATAAAGTCTCAGTAGTGATGAAGTAATCGTAAGACAAAAATAAAAAGATTACGAGTGTTGTGAGGGGGGGGGGTTACGAGAGAATTTAAGTTTTTACAGAAATGGACGTCTTTATTATGCAAATAATAAAAACTTCGGGAATTTCAACGTCCATTTGCCCCCGGGCCGGCGATGTATTCTTAATTGTCGTTTACACTAATCGTGTATCAAATTTAAAATTAAACATCGCTCGTCTAGTCGGCCAACGTTGAGAATCCTGTCGTTTGATTATATATATATATATAAATAAATAAAAAATAAAACAAGCATTAGAATAAAATTATTAGCATAAAAGACGTCGCGTGTATTTCGTACTGGCTAAATTACGTTGGCGCATAAGCGCTGAGAGGCCAAAAATTCAATCTTGTGAAGATACCATTATTATATACGAATTACTTGACGGCAAATTTGATTTTAAAAGTTATTTGAATTCAAAAGTCTAAGCTATGCGAATTGATTCATTTTTTTTGCAAAATTGAAACAAAATTTTTATTGTATGTGGAGCATTCCACAAAAAATATAATTTATACTAAATTTTCTCCAAGTTTAATTCATTACATAAAATGGCCTTTTTAGACTATTACTATACCTTTACTGCTGCTGCTACTGCGATTATTATTTTTATTATTATTATTATGTCGATGATGTTGATGATGATGATTATGATTATTATTATTATTATTATTATTTTATAAGGAATTTGTTTTATTACATATACGAGATTTATAAGTCAATTTTTTTATTGATTCATTTTTTATAAAGAATTGCGTTGTGTATGATGAAGAAAGGTTAAGATTTTTATTACTTTTCTAAACATAAGAAGAAATAAGGAGATTGGATTTTTAAATGAAATCTCACAAATCATTGATCTCACATAGTAGAAGGAATGTTAAAAGAACAAATGTAACTTTCGCGCACTTGATTTTTCAGAATTTTACATTTTAATATTTGCAATATGTCCATGTATTGACAGCTTGGCAGACATCTATCTATCGTATGGCATATGCTGAATTTTCACGTATTATAATACAAGGTCAAATTTATTCTCTTTACATTAATATGATGTATATGTTTACAGAGAATTGAACCTTGACTACTGAATTTTTATAAACAACTAATCTTTTTTTTAACAATTCAAGATTATGAAAAATTAAGAAGAACATAATGAAAAGCGTAAAATACGGGACTGAAAATTTAAGTATGAGACGGAAGAATAGAGAAAAATGAAGTAATAGGTAATTGTGTAAATAAAACGAATAGCAAATGAAAGTTAAAGGATACAGAAAATTCGTTTGTGGAATTTGTGCCACTTTTTTCTGCAAAAATGTTTTCTTTCAAAATTCTTCTACAAAATACACAGCAAATACTTCCAAATAAGTTTTCAAATTTCAGTGACAGCAATGCTAAAGTTAAGAAAGAAACTCTCTTCTTCCTCCAATTTTGTCTTCGATAAAATATAACGAGCAGTGTTATTTGCTGGTAAACATTTTGAAGCGATCTCGTAAATGTATGAGTTGATTAAAATGAAAAGAGTAAATGGATAATATTTTGTGGAATGCTGTTCCCGCCCGACGTGCGATTATGCTGTCAATGAAATCTAGGTGAAATATATGTGAGATTATCGCGATTTGTGAAAAAGATTGAATGGATTACCAATCAATGCAGAACTTTGAGAGTGAACTAAGTAAGAATAATGCTTAAAATTTCTATCAATATGAAATAGTGTTTTAATGCAATTTTAAAACAAATGATTGCAAACGAATTTTCAATGATGAGAAAAGAGACACATATACATAAGTACACCTAGCAATACTCAGAGAGAGAGAGAGAGAGAGAGAGTAAAACGGATAGACAAGTGACAGAGATGAAGATCGTAAATGATTCAATGCTCCAGACGCATTAGAAATCGGCACAAAGAATAAAGTATATTATGTTGTAAATATAATATAAATTTTGTGTAATATAAAGAATTTTGTGTTTGATTTTTCCTTATAATGTAACATAAGTAAATCGAGTTAAGAAGAATCTGTGTGAATAAAAGTTATAAATTTGTCCGCCAAATGAATATGCGAAGAATCAAGTGCTGGATAGGTTGTAATGGCGGTGACTATACAAACGATGAATTAAAAAAAATGAAAAAACTGTAAATAGTATAAATAGTACGCTAAGGTATGTTTAAACGATGAGAAATTATGAATATAAAATTAAATATACATTTAAAATATGTATTATATATACGTGTACGTATTTGTATGTATGCGTATGTATGTATGTATATAAAAATAAAGAAATTATATATATAAGATTATATATATTTACCTTGGTAAGTGATATAAGGGGCCACGATCGCTCGCTCGATTCTGGGATGCCGAATACCGTCACAGGCAATTTCGTAAATTGTAAACAAAAATTAGGCCTTGCGCTTAAATTCTTATCGTTGTTTATATCGTTTCTACTTTTGCTCAATTTTTCTACGTACTTGTTGTTCACATTGTATTTTGATTACTATTTCACTTTTTTGTAATTATAATTTTTGTTTTGTTTTGTATTGTCAAAAATTTGTCGATATGAGCAGATAATAGAGTAAAATTCTCGTCATTTGTAACTAACTTCAATTGCTAACGATTAAGTTCCTATTATCTCAATACAACTGTAATAGTTAGTTTGCAAATGATGAATTTAATAGAAGCATGTACCAATTAAATCGACAGTTTTATCGATATTTTTAAACATAACATAGGCGAAATTGTAGCAGGAATTTTTACTTTTATTTAACAGATATTTGAATCAATTTTGAGAATTCCGTGGCTATTCGATTACTGATTCGATGAAGCGGATTATTCATGTAATTTTTACTAAAATAATTTACCTCGACAACGTATTGGATTTTCGTGTTTTTCAGTACGATTATATTTATTGTAATAACATATTTCAGTAACAACTTCGACTTTTAATCGATTGAAACCTTTAACAAAATTCTTTTGATATATTCGGTAGTGATGCGCCTCGTTTATCTATTTTGAGAATGTTTTTAATAAATAAATTTTGTACAATCATTTTACTGAGAATTATAAACAATATTATATAAGATTAGGTGAAGGAAGAGAGAAGATGATAAGCGAGATTAATTAAAAAATTGTATTAAATATTTTGGAATGAATGAGATGTATTTTCCTTTTGGAAAAGGTAGAATAATAAAATTGAGGCTGATGAACGAGAGGCGATCGCGACCGCTAACGGAACTTAGGGCACTGTACATTGTACATAGTAGTACAGATAAAATAAAAATTTGAAGCATTAAATAAAGAAATAACGGAACTGAAGTTCATTTACACTTACATATTAAAAATTACATGCCCATCTTTACACTCGTCATACATACTTACCCACTTACAATTCTACAAGTACTTTATACACAGACAGAATTTCTATAGAAATAAAATAAAACACGGTTATAAAAAATTTTCATGTCAACGAACAATGAACAAAACGTACGTTAATATTGGTATTTACAGGAGTTGTAATAAAACATGTGGTTGTTGTTTAAAAAAAAATTGTTGTGAATCGAGAGAAAGAGAGAACATACGAAAGTGTCAAATAAGTGAGGAAGTGAGTGACGAAAGCACTGATCATGTGTTACGAGTCGAAATTTGTTTGGGACCGCATCGAAAAAACGATCCGGGACACAATATTTACAGCGCATCTAGCCTTTTATATATATACGCATTTGCTAGGTGTTTTTTGCACTTTTTCCAATTTTCAATGAACTAATAATTAAAGCCTGATGTATACAAAAGTCAAATAAATATTGGTCACCAAAAAATGTTATAAATTAGCCGACAAAGAATAAAATACAATATTAAATGATAAAATAGGTATTCCATTTGATATATTCTAGTCGTAAGCGGTCCCGATTAAAATGCGTTTTAGGCTCGGAACAGCGGTCGGACCAAAATTATGTTTCCATAAACGATATTTTGTTGAAAGACAAAGAAAATTGTTGTTTGCCGTTTTACAGATAATAAATAAATGCAAAATTAATTTACCGGCCGTTATGAATGAAATACTGATGAAATATTTAAGCTGAAACGAAATTCACTCACAATATGAACAACAATAAGAACTTTAAAAAACAATAAAGAGTATTATTCTATATAATGATAATTTTTTTTTTCATGATCCAATTCTTGATTCCTCATTTTGTCTTTCAGGTATAAACTAAAAAAAACTAATGAAGAATTTTATCAATAAATATTTTATATATTTTCAATGTAAATGTAATTGATATTAGCTTATAAACAACAATAATGCATATCTAATTACATTAAATTTTTTTCGGTTGAGTTTAAAAAAAAATATATGAAAAATTATGCTAAAACATTTTTACTAAATAGCCTATTTTCAATTATATATAAATAAGAAATTAAAAATTTTATATCTAAAATTTCAAGATATTTATAATAAATTTTTGTATAAGGTCATGCGTACAACTTGCATATTAAGTAATATAAATAATTATATTTTAGATTATTCAGCTTTTTAATATAAAAATTAAAATAACGAAGAGTATCTGTATAAAAATTTGTCAAATTAAAAAGTTTAGGTTTAAATTACTTTTCTTTGCATGTAAAGAAATATTTAGTATTATTAGAAGCTTTTAATGTATTTAAAACATCAAATCCGTTTTGAAGTACAAACGTTTGTTTTTGTTATTGATAAATTATTAAAAATTTTATATAATTATAAACATGTTAATTATCCATTTTTATTTCTTAATTTTATGATTATAATAATAAAGATTAGAACACAAAATACATTTACGTACTTAAAGTATTCTTTCACGGACTCAAATTTATTTATATTTATTGTAATTTTTATCTTTTTAACTATTTTGATATAGTCACTGTTAATGTTACAAATGTATATTAAATATTATATATTATTTTTTATATTTAAAAAAGACAAATTTTATTTCAGTTTAGTTGGTCTCTTTGATGAGCTTCAGTATTTGCTTGAACAGCTCCTGTTATCTCTGCCGAATTAGATGCTACTCTCTGCTCTTATCTGATCTGAAATTAGTAGATGTAAGATGGGGAGCTCATTTGTTTTGACACTGTAGGAATGTTTGTTTTTAATTCATTTAAATTTATTGTTTTACACATGAATGATGTTTTATTGTTTAGTGTCATTTTACTTGGAAATTATATATTAGAGAATGAGCACAGTAGCGAATTTATTCCATTTTTAGTATTTTGGTAGAATTATTTGTAATTGTACATTTTTTTTTAATTTGAGTGATTTAATTTTAATTGTCTAATTGGTAAATCTATCGAATCGGTAGCTTGAAATAAAATTTGTTTGCTTCTTTAAAATTTATTATACGGCTATTTGGAAAACCGTTTTTGCAATTACTCGATATTTAACATAAAAAATTAAAAAAAAATATTAACAATTATTTGAAACGTAAATAAAATTTTATTTGTGTCAAAGTCTTACACAAAGTAAGTGGAATTTTTAGTGTTTCTTTTTTGGTTAGAATATTCAAAATGTATTTCAAAGAAAATTTATAATGCATATTATTAATTAGTAACATATTAAAATTTTTTTAATGTTTTCTAGGATAAAATTTAGTTGAATATCTGAGCAATAACAGATTTGTTAATTTTTTTTATGTAAAACAAAATTTTTTATAATTTTATTAATTTATGTTTTCAGATACTATAATTCTAATTGCAATTTTATTTAATTCAAATGTGTATGTAAAGAAACAATGCAAGAAAAACTAAAATTTAATTTTAATTTCTTGATATCACTTTATTTATTGTAGCATAAATAATGACAAGAATTCTAAACGAATTTATACTTTACATTTATATAATTTTAGTATTTATACAATATATTGTACAAAAATATATTATTAATTTTCTCCATATTTGTATTTTCTTTGCAAGTACATTGAATTGTAAATTAGCTTAGAAAGTGGAATTTTAAACAAATACGAAACTATTGAATATTTAATCTAAAAAGCCTTTATCATGTAATACACAAGGATACTTAAGAGGATAACGATGCTGAAATCGATATACTTGTTATTATATTTGTAACACTTTTTTTTGATTGATTCATTGGGTGAGTCTTGAAGGATGTTGAGTCTAATACCATGCCAGAACGTTACGAAGAATTCACCCCAGTTAAGAGTGCGCAGGTCACAGAAGAAAAGCTCACGATCAAGTGGGTTCAGCTTCTCGTAAGCTTTCGTAATGTCTGTGACAGAGATCCAACATTTACCGACGATACAATCATGCACATAACGTATATCTCTCTGCGATTTCTGTACAAGTGACCAGGATCTGTATAAAAAATATATTTTTACTTCAGATTTCGGTTATTTTTATGAATTTTAAAATACTTCGAATAAATATTCGTTTCGATTGTGGTTTGAGGTAATATTAAATAAGAAACAATTAAGAGGATATTAATACGATAGGAATCACGTGCTTTACTAACTTTTTTTTATTCAAACCAAAGCAAAATGATCTTATTAGAGAGTAATTGTAAGTAAAAAGAAGCGTTAATTCTGTAAAATCAAAAGCCAATTGATAATAATATGTATAATAATTTACATCGAAGCATATAATATTATATAATTATATAATATTACATGTTTTGATTCTCGCCTAATTAATATAAATTTATATCTAATGTAGACAATAAATAATAATTATGAATAGAAAGCATTCTATAAATATTAAATGTAAATCAAATACTATTTAAAAACTTCAAAAAGTTTAACAAAAAAAATAAACTTATAAAGAAAAAAGAAAACTTATAAACTTATATAACTAATATAAGTAAAAGAATTATAAAAATTAAATTCATAAGTTTTTAAATCACAAATATAATTTTATCTATATATTAAACTTAAACATAACTGTTTTTAAAAGTTTCATCTCTCAATACATAATTATTATGTTAAATACTGTTCTAAATATTAAATAACAAATGTATCTACTCAAATAAAGGAAAAATTTTAAGAGATTTATTATCTTTTTTGAAATGTGTTTTATATATATTATTTACAAAAATCTAATTTCAAGTAACAAATGTGACTAATTTTATATGATGTTATATTATTTGACAATGGCTTCAATTTTTGTGATGGTATAGTTATACAAAAATACATAATTTGATTATCTAAAGTTTTGCTTTTTATTAGTAACAGAACGACGCTGATAAGGGTTAGGTTTTCGTTAATTCTTACTTCGGAGCATTGCCAATAATGATTGTTGATAGGTCTTGAATTATAGCTGGTATGTAGTCAAACATTATCCGGATAATAAAGTAAAATACAAAATTTGTTGTGATTAAAATTACTGGTATATTATTATTTTGCGAAGTTTTGAAAACATTTCGATCATTCATCATATTCTCTTTGATTTGTCTTAATGTTATTGGATTTACTTTACTTGTGCCATAATTATATACACAAGCTTCTGATTCTATTTGCCTAAATAATATAAAAATAAGGTTTTTTTTGCATTTTTTCAATAAAATATATATTAATAACATTTAGTAATGTTCAAATAGAAAACGCTTTAAATGAATATCTTTTTTCTAAAATGAAAATTAAATACTGTAAATAATTCTTATTTATATCATTCAAAATAAGTCAATAGAATACGTAATTATATTCAAAATTAATTTACAATAATTATTTATAGTAAATAATTGAATATTTTTAAATATTTTGAAAATATTTTTCTCTTTCTATGATATTGTATATGATTTTTATATCATATATGGCATTATCATATTATTATATGTTATTATATAGAGATTCATCTTATAAATAAAAGTAATATTTAGTATAGACATATTACTTGAATAGAATGTAATATAATATTATTATCAAATAAATCATATGAAAATAACAAAAATTTTGAGTTTAGAAATGAAATATTTAAGCATTGTTTTTGTTGTAAAAAATAACTATCTGTTGATTTACAAAATTTTATAAAAAATAAAGAAAAGATCATTACATAGCATTAAATATAAACAAGGTTGTATATTTATTGATTACCAACGATGAATGGCATCCCATGTGCTTACTATAATAGCATTTGCACATAAATCTGCAGGTATTAAGTCACAAGGCCCAGGAACTTCAAATAATATATGAATGACACCCATAGCAATATTGATAAAAAATGAAGTAGGTACATTTTTAATGTCACACCAACCTGATACCGGTTCCTTGTATGTCGATATGACTGTGCGAAACAATTTTTTTATTATATTTTTTATTATTATTTTATTTATTACATAGTAGCAGTAAATGAGTACTAACGATGTTTCATCTTGTTTAATTTATTTTATAGTATTTCAAAATAAAATAAATTGTATAAATATTATAAGTAAAATTTAAAAAAAGACCCAAACTATAATAAATAAATAGTTAGTTGAAAGATTATAACGAAAATTTTATTCTAATACTAATGGGTGTGAGTGATGTCATTGGATTATTTTCAAATATTGTATTTAGATTGTTTATTTATAAAAGAATAAGTACTTGTTTGGAATTAAATAATTTGAAGTTTGTAATATGATGTAATTTGTAATATTGATAAAGTTTAAAATTAAAATCTTTTAATTTTTCATAATGTAAACATTGTTTAATTTTATTAATTAAGAATCCATAGAAAATGACGTCTATTTTAAGATGACTCAAATGTATTGTTTTATTTACAATTTTAATATAATTTAACTCACCAGTAGTAGGCCTAAATACGCAGCATGCGAAGGATGATTTACGTGCATAATGTCGTACCATGTCCTCGGCAGTAGCTTTGGTAAAGGCGTAAATATTCGTCCATTTACCAAGTAGCATCTTTAGAGTTTCATTGCTAATACCGGTCTGAGATTCTGTTCGAATCATGTCGTTGATCATGTTAAGATCGGCTGGCGCAGAATAAAATTTATCTTCAATGATGTTTTGATGGTAATGTGAGTAACACGATGATATAAAAACGAAAGCCTTAAGATGTTGGCAGTTGTGTGCTAAATCCAACATTTGTTGTGTTCCAAGGACATTAGTTCTCAAGGCCACTAATATTTTTTCGTTTAGTTTAGTTGTAGCTCCATTATGAAAAATAATATCTACATTCTCAGTAAGGATTTTATATTCCTTATTATTTAGACCTAAATTATCTTGCATTAAGTCTCCCTTGAAGAAATTGACTTTATTTATCAAATTAGAATTATGTTTTCGTAAAATATCAAATATCTGAAAAGTAAGATGGTAATTTGTATAAAAGATTAGTCAAAATTATTAAAAAATAAACATAGTTTTCTTCTGAATAGAGTTTCAAATATAAAAATTTTATTAAAATAAACCAAATTTTATATTATAATATTTATAAATAATCATAAATAATTATCATTAATTAATTAATTGAGAAACACTAAAAAATTATTTAAAATTTTAAAATCTCTTTAAAATCAAGAATTTGTTTTATGAAAAAATTTAATTATAACTATTATAGATTGTTTATTCGGTATATAATATAATATTATATTACATTAAATATAATATAATATTATATTACATTAAATATAATATTGTAAATTGTAATATAAATGTAATCAATTTCAATTAAAATTAATATTATACATAGGAGTATTTTTACCTATTTCGTTTAAAGTTATTCTTTTATAATTTATAGGATATATATAGGATATATATATAATATAGGATATAGTTAAATTCAGTTTCAAAGTAGTGAGTTTGATATTTGTCATGGAAAAGAGAGAAATATTGAAAAATATAATGGGTTATTTAATCAACAGTTACTCAATAAGTTCTTTTTATGTCCTTCAAAAAACTAAAGACAAGGTATTTAATTAATTAATTAATTAAATTAATTAAAACAAAATATTTAACAAGAGGTTAAATTACTTATCCTTACACTTTTTAACTTTGATATTAAATATTAAAATCACAATCCAAATACAACAATTTACGTTATAGTATTCTATTTAGAAATAGAAGTGAACCAACTTTTAAAGTTATAAATTTATATACGTGATTCGTTAAAAAACAGTATTCATAACATGCATATTCATAAGGTATTTATATATTTACTTTGTTTATCTAATTATAATTAATTAAAATTACTATTTTAAATATTATAAATGTAAGATACTACATTTGAGAAAAAAGAGACTTTTTAAGAGGAATTAAATGGAGTAATACGCAGGATTGTACATGAACTTATATATTTGCTTATAAATTATTAATGCAAAATAAATTAATATAAAAAAAATTAATTAATTAATATAAAATTCACCAATTTATATAAATTTCCATGACATATACTTTCTTCTCATGCAGCAACATCTTATTTTATTTTATTTTGCAATGATTTTAAATTTATGTCCTTTTTTATAAAAATTATTTTACTTTGGATTAGCCTATATCTTTTGCAATCGATTCTTTTGACAACTATATTTTTCTTTCATTATTATATTTCAAGATTTTTTTTTTAGTATAGTATTTCGTTTATCATATTACACATAGTTAACACCATTTATTTCCTTCTATCATTGATTTTTATTTTATTTATCAGTTTTGTTTTTTATATTTTCACTTACTCTTCCATTTATTTTTTCTATATTTCTCTAAATTTTTTTCAATTTTCCTTTCTTCATATCATTTTCATTATTTTTTTTATTTTTTGCATATTGTTTTTATTTTCCTATTATTTTTTACCAATCCCGTACTGACCTTTATTTTTTATTCGAAATTTCCTACAAAATTTTTCTATGTTATATACTATTAAATTTTCATTATAATATCGACTTTTCTCTGTTTTTATATTTATTCATTATTTGATTGCCATATTTTATAAACTCTAAACTTAAGATGAAGTTCATGTTATATTTTTTTTACGTTTTTTAAATTATTTCAAAGCTGATATATAATACATTAAATAGTATCAAACAGGAAAATGTCTATTTTAATTTTTTAAATATTCAGAATTTGTTCAAATAATTTTTTTACCTTTATTATTTAATTTGTTCCTCTATAAATTTGTATCATTGTATTACTTCTCTTTTCATTTATTTAGATTATCATATAAATTTTTTTTCTATTATGTAAAAAGAAGTTTGTACAATTCAGAATTACGCTAAATATTTCTATATTATTAGTTAGTTTTTGATACAATATTTTATATTTATATTATATTATATTACTATAAAATATATTTTTTTTCTAAATTAAATTAATTCATTTTTACTTAATTGTCTTTGTATTATACACATTAAATTTTAATTAAATATTTGCATATATCTTACAGATTGTATCTGACAATATTAACAGTTTATAAACAGTTATTCTTAGATATATTTTTATTATTGACTACAATCATAACTTGTCATTATTTGATAATATATCGAGGATACCGTACACGTTATATTCATTTTGTTTTACTGTATTTATTAATTAAGTTTTACTGTATATACCTGTATAAGATCAAATAAGTAGTTATACAAGATTATTTAATTAATTTTTGCATCTTCTTTTTTTTATTTTTATGGATAATTAAATATCTTTTATTAAATTATACACAGAGTATTATCGACATGTTTCACTACGTACTCTTCGTAAGAATCTTCTTATCTCTTTTTCTTATTATATTCTTTTTGCTATAAAGCATAAATTTTTGTTTTTAAATATATGTATCTAATTTTATTTTGTTCTTATGTTTAAGTTTTTATTGCCCCTATTACATGTTGATTTACTATTATAATAGATAAACTAACAATAATCATTTTTCTTTATATATGAATTTTCTTATTGTATATTTTCATTCCTCGTGCGTATATATATATTTGAATTTTTATTTTTTAAATAATTTATTTTTATCTTTAAGTAGTTTATTTTTATTAACAGAGATTTCATTTATACTTACTTATGGAATCATTTAAATTAGAAAAAGAAACTATAAAAATCATCTTTTCTGCAATTCAATCCATTTTTTATATATTAATGTTTCTTAATTTCCCTTTGTATACATTTTGCAAATTATTACATAGTAAATGTATAGTTTATTTTAGAAATTGATATTTTTTAAATTGGCATTGTAGTACAATATTTAAATAATTTGATTATTTTAATATTAATTTTAATAATAACAATTTTAATAATTAGATTATAATTATAACTAGAATTATTAGTAATAGATGATGTATATGTAAATGCTGTTGATATATGCATTTATGTAAATTTGGCATAAAACTCAGTTATTTTTATATTTATGACAGAAGTTAATGATAATTATATAATTTAAAAGTCAGTGAGACAAAGTTATACAGTTTAATATCAATATTAAATTGAAAATGGATAGCTTGATAATTTTTTTTTTATTATAAAATTTTTATCTTACGAAACATATTTATGTATACAAACAATAATATTATTATACAATAAATTTATTACTGTATATTACTTACACTTTAAATGTTAAAACAGTTTTGTGATAATATGTATTAAATATTATTATCAATTAAAATAAATTGTTAAACTAACGATATCGAATTATGTTCTCATTAATATGTCGTTTTAACGTGTTTATAATTATTATTTTACACTCTGATAATTATTATCAATAGTAATTTGCAATTTTTTAAATGCTAAATTTAAAGAAAATATAACTCAATCTCTAATTATTAATTTTTTAAATTTATAATTATAATAAATTTAAGAAAATTACATTTATTGTATTTATAGATAGATATATATGTTGTGGAATAAAAAATAAAATAATATATATTTAAATTCATTTAACATAATAATTAATAAAATAAATAAGAAATTAATAAAACAATAAATTAATAAAATTTGTATAACGTAATCTATATATTATATTATATAGAAATTCTACAAAAAGAAATTTTTATTATTTTCATAATTATTTTTTATATAAAATAATAATAATAAATTAATTGAAGAACTCTGATCGAAGTGATTTGTTTAAATGAAAGTTTAATTTTTAGGTACTCACATTATTTTCGTAAAACTTTTTGCATTTATTTTGAAAGTTCTCGCCATCGTTAGTTTTAACTAATAAATACATCGTTTCAATCTGCGGACAACTCCTGAGTAACTTTTCTAGCAGGCATTTTCCTAACAAATCAGTACCACCAGTTATGAAAACATTCAGTCCCTTATAATATTTTGCTATTTCACTTTTTTCTCTCTTTTTGATTATTGCTTTACTATCTTGCATTTTCTGATAAATTTGATCAATTTGAGATATTCTTTAATTCTTTTTAAACCCACTATTTGAATATCAAAATGAAGTACGAGCTGACTGTTCTTAATAGAGCGATAAATGGTAATGGAGAATCAAGTAGATTGAGTAGATGGTTTTATTCTTTATTCATTTGTTTTCATTTCCATTAATATTATTAAGGTAATTACAAGCTTTCGAATTTCCTTGTATCCGTTGAGCAATTTTATGTCAAACATTATTTGGTAAAAGCAATTGTAAGCAACAGTGTGAGTCCTTTAAGATTTAATGGATTTATGAAAAAAATAATGATTCTATAATTAACTAGAAAGGGCTGTAAAAAAATAAAAGTTAATTTTTAACTCCTTATTAGAGTAATGTTTGTCAAAAATATGATAATAAGCCCTCCAAAGTTTATAAATCTATTAATTTTTAGAAAATAGTTTCTAGATAAAATATAATAACTCGTTTTTAACCCTTTTTAACAACTCGTATATTTCACAAATCTCATTTGGATTTGTAAAATTAAAGATATTAGTGAAATTTTTTTAGATTCTTAGATTTAGATTTTTAAAGTTTTACGTATATTCTTTATTAAAATTGTTAGTAATTATAAAAAATTCATCATTCGAAATCTGAACAAGATAAATTCATGGAGCTAAATATTAAATTGTTTTAATTTTGTAAATAATCACAAATTGTATTCTATTTTAATTTTACTTTTGTATTTTCCATTGTTGTTGATATAATATGATAAAAGTAATTTCATGGTTCGCATTTATGAGAAATTAATTATTATTATAAAGATATTTGAATCAAAATTTATAATTTAATTAAATTTGTTTCTAACAGTAATTTTTTTATAGTGTTATTAAATAAAGACCATGATAGATTTTTATAGATCAGATAGATTTAAAGATAGACTTTTAAAAATGTAAAATCATTGTCTTTCACATATTTGTATTCTAAGTTCCTTTAACTAGTTGACTGTATAAGATTGTTAATAAAAATGTATAATAAATTTATTATTTAGCCTGTTAGTACTAACCTACTACTAAACATGAAGGTACAAACTTGTGCACAAAGATGTTATAGTATAATAATAAATGACATGCTATGTGATTGCATGTTAGTATTTTGAGAGTGCTTAAGGAGTTTCCAGTTTTTTCGGGTGTATGCATGTAAATGATTCCCTGATGGAAATTTTTATGATTATATGATTCCTTATCATTTGGCATATTTCTATTTTTGTTTTTATGTGAAGGTATCTTTGTATTACATTCGTTATCAAATGTGGTATATGACAAATGATGGTACTTTTAAATGAGGTCATAAATTAGATGTAATCAAATTAGTATCGATATAGTATCATTAGCATTTCATTTAGAAAAGTTGTATTAGTTCGTACAAATATTTGTTATTCATTTATGACTTAGTCCATATTTTATGAATCATTATTTAGATTATTTTTCAGTTTCATGTAACTTTTTAAAATTTATAAAAATAAAATAAAATGAATAAAAGTAATTAATTTGGTACAATTGATTTAAATTAAATTTAATTATAAATAAAAAATTAAATTAAATGCAAGAAAATGTTAAAATTAAAAATTAATATTCATGGATTAAGTATACGATATTCATATTTGAATTTCATAAATTTGTCATTAAACGTCTTATTATGAGATAAATAATAAATTATTATAAATTACAATTTTTACATCTAATAAATTTATCGTTGAAAGCATATTTGACGGTTTTAAAAAACCTTGTTAAGATATATTAATCATTAATTCTAATATCATAATGAAATTTGAAGAATGAAATACAAAAGTTATAAATTACTTTTTTCCATCATTATTAGGATACTATTGACAGAAATGAATTTTAAAATGTTTTCCATCTTATTTTTTAAGTAAACAAATTAGATTTATATATAAATGTTTAAGCTTTTACATTTAAAACTAGTAAATGGGTAAATTTAAAAATAAATGTATATGATTCTAACAAAAATATAACATGTATACAGAAAAGCAAATAAAAATTTTAACAAAAATATTTTTAGTATAATAGTGGTACACAACATCAACAATTGAGCATACAACCATTTTTTTATTTTCTGTGATTTAATAAATTAGTTTTAATTTTGTACGTTTATAATGAACTTATTCTAATATTAAATTTTTTAAATAACAATATTTGAAACCTTATAATAAATAATAATCAATTGTGTTTTATATAATTTTATAAATAAATTATATTATACAGTGTGCTATTAAATTTAATAATAAATTATAATGATAATTCTTTGAGAATTTAAAAATCTGCATAAAAAATTCGAAATATATGAAATTATAATGTATAGAAATTTTCTTCCTTTTTCAACAGAACATAAAATTATTTTTTATTAATAATATAAAAATTTTGTTGTGTGATAATTATTTCTAATAAATAGATCCTTCAAATTTATATTGAATTTATCGCTATTGTTAGATTTTTTGGATTAATCAAATTAAAAGTTATTCATGAATGAATAGTAATGTTTATGTACTTGTGTATGAATTATTTATACATAATTTACAAAAGTATTTCTTGTATATTAAACTTATTTGTATTTATTTAGATTATAGTTATTTAAATAACAATGTTTAATGAATATTGTGAATTTTAAACTTATACTTTTTATACAATATTATTATTGAGTAAGAATTAAAAGCGAAACTTGAAAGCGAATGGTTATGCACATAAATAAGTATTATGGAAATAGTTAAATTTGTGTAGGAAATGACGTATATCAACCGTTGACATCGTATTAACCTTTGCAATAATTCACTTGAATATGGATTTATTACGAATAATAGAATATTTTAAGGTCTTTTGGTGTGGTATCAACTTTTTTGTTAATGTATTTGAATGCAAGATGTTCTACAATTTTGATTTATTTCTATTTTCCTTTGAATAGCAAATTAACTAAATTTTTGTGCTCATTATTATTTCCTGTTTTATTATAATAAATGCAAATCATTTTCCTTAATTTGATAAGTTATAGTATTTTGTAAAAATATCTACTATGACGTGAAAAATTAATGTATAAACTATGCATAAAAATATGATAATAACAAATAAATTAAATAAAATATTATTAAAATATTATTTTCTTTTCAATCTTTATTTTTGTAAATTCTATTGTATCCTGCTTTCAATTTTTAAAATTTATGTATATGTACTTTATGTAATTTATAAATAAGTATATTGATATCTAAAAAAATGTAAAATACTTGGAAAATATATTTTATACTAAAAATTTTTGTTTTTAATATTTGAAATTTTTTTATATGTTGAACATAAAATGCAAAATTATGAAGTTTTGGAAATTTTCAAATTATTAAGAACTGAGAAAAACTATCTATTTTTAAAAAATATAACTTTTCATTTCATGACGTTTGCTTAAGATATATGAGTAAAAGTATAAAAATTATAGTAACATTTGTTCAGTATAGGAAAAATATTAAATAAAAAAATATGTATAAAATGTACACATTTTGGATTCATTTGAGGATGAAAAATTATTCATAGAAAATTGAAAACATTACTTTTCATTAAATTGACTTCAATATATAATTAAAATTTTAAGAGTCCTTCAATCATTTTTTAAAAGCCATTATTTTTACTTAAAAATTAGACCTCGTGCATTTTACACATTAAAAGTAAAGTAATTTGCTGTTTTTAAGTATTTCATGTAATTGGATTAAATTTTAATTACTGTTAAAGGTATTAATTTATTCGAAATTTTATAGTAAAATTTTTTTGTTAAAATATTTTTCAGTGATAATTTTAATAATTATTAAATAATTAACAAATTCTTTAGATATAAAGAAGTTTAATAGGGATAGTGACGACGTATGAGCAATATTTTAAATATAAGAATTATTAATAATTTAAATTGAAAATGTGTTTTTGTCATAACTATCTTTTAGAAATAATAATATAATTTACAGAATTCTAAATAAATTAATTAAACATTTTGACAGTAAAAAGAAATTTTCTGAGTCAATATACGTAATTTTATACTTTGTTGGCTATTTTTGAAATTATTAAATTTTTTCTGTGATTTTTTAAATAAAAAAACAATTTATTTAAAATAAATATTTTTTATATTTATGCTTATTGTATCTTTAAAAAGGTTGAAAATCTATCGTCACAATTGTTATTTATAGAAAGTGAGATTTAAAACATTTTCCTATGTATTTCAAGAAAGGCAGAGTAAACTCATTATATATATAATTACATTTACTTATATGCATTTTATATACAATTATTTATATACTTCTTGTATATATTTTATTATTGTTTTTAAAAATGTTATGAAGTTTAAGTAATTTATGATTACTTGATTTTTAGTATTTTAAATTTATTTTTAATATTTGTAAAGAATTTATTTGTAGATTGGTAATTGAATCAGTTCAATATATTTTATGTTTATGTAAACTTAATGAGCAATCAGAGAATATTATATATTTTTAATTTTAATGGTATTTACATTACAAATTGTATTTAATAATTATTGCAATAAATAATGAAAATTGAATTTTAAGCAAGTATTTTCAATGATTGTAAATACTACGACTATTATAATTTATTTAATAAAAATAAATATTTAATAATATGTTTTTTGTACTTTACAATAAAAATCAGTATTTGAAATGCCACTACTATTTTTATTAAATATAATAAGAATTAACTTAGAGAAATTGTAAATGTATCTATACTGAGGTCTCTGCTATCTCCGACACAGATTTAGGATTGGATTGGCGTAGGAGAAATGATAATTTAACCTATAATAATTTAGTAATAAAGTTAAACAATATGTCAGAAAAGTGTGCAGCTACGTTACAAGAAATGGCAAATGATTATACGGCCTTCGCAACAATAGATATAGATGCTGACGTAAGCAACAAATTGTATAATCTGTTATATTTATTATAATCGGTGACTCACTTAATTAACAATTATATATAGAATCTAGAATTATCAACCTGGCATCCTATACTTCTTATTCAGGCAAAATAATAAATAATTATTTTAAATAATAATATTTATTTATGAAATTTGTATATTTCATTTGTATGGATGAATGAATTATATTTTTAATTTTTTATTACATATATCAAATACATATTACATTTTTTTAAATTTGAACAATATAAATAATTGAATAAAATTGTTATTTATTTTAGTTAAAGGGTGTTCATGAAACTGTAGAAGAAATGCAATTACACTTAGAAGAATTTATATCAATTCTTGGAATGGTTTGTATTTATTTTTAATATTTTAATATAAATGACATTTCTGAAAAATTAATTAATGAAACAATTTTATTTGACATTTGTAAAACTTATTTGTTATTGATTTATATATACTGTTATTTTAAAGTTGATTTATAAATTTAATTCATAAATATTTAAAGGTCTTAAAAGTGATAATTATAAAATTAAATTATTCGTGATTATAAACAATAGTTTTTAAAATCAATAATAAATAATTCAAATTTTAATATTTATAAATTATAAAAATCATGATTTTTTCAATAAATATTGCCCTGTTTGAAAAATTTTAATTTAAATTCAATTTAAAAATAATTTTTTAATTTTGTGAAAATATTAATTAGGAAAGTAGATTTAATATTTATTTATATTACTAGTATTTATATTTTTATTTAATAGTCAACCATTGTAGAAAACTAAAGTTTATAAAATAATGAGATATTTAAACTAAGTTATCGAATATTTTATCATATTATTGGTTAAATATATATGTTTTTTCTAATTTGTTTTTATAAATACAATTATTTACTACATAATATATGGAGGAAATTATTAATGATGAATAATTTTATAAGTTTATTTTAAGGTTTATTTTAGTTTAATACAGATTTTTATCAATGTTTTTATTTTTCCATAATTTTATTGATTTACCAAAAAAAAAGAGAACTTTAGATATACTTAGTATTTGTTGATACCTCATATACATATGATTGTATACAAAATAATAAATAAAACAAATGGAATTGATAACTTTTTATAAATAAAACATTTTTACATAAAATTAATGTATAATGATAATTACAGATTCTTATTTAAAATATAAATCGACATTTTTTTATCAAGGTTACAATGTTTATAATATTTGAAGAACGTTAATAAAAATACATATCCAAAGGTTTCATATAAAACTAAATTGTTAGAATAAAAATATTATTTTTTTACTTTTTATACATTGTTTTTAAGTACCTTAGCATTGGAAAATACTAATAGATATATAGTTATTAAAATTGTAAAATACAAGTATTTAGTTGATTTCTATATTCAGAATATATTTAAATACCTAACCATTTTAATAAATTAAATATTTTTAACGCTAAATACAATGGGTAAGTAGTATTGAGAAACATTAATTATTGGCTCCTTTAAAGATATTTAGTTGTATCATTTGTATTAATTAATCAACAAATTAGTAAAATATTATTGTTTGATAAATACTTTATTTGTATATGCAAAACAATTTTAATTTAAAGTGAATTTTTGAGTAAAATATAAATCTATTTAATATTTTTTAAGAATGTTAAGAAAAAATTTTAATCTTGAAGATATATAAATTTATTATCAATCGGATTATGCGTTCACATTCATTGTAAATTACAACGAATTATTATCGCAAATAAAAATTATTTTTATTTAATTTTATAATTAATTGTATAGCCAATTGATGTTATTTATTAATTTTATAAATTGTAAATTTTATAATTTTATGAACGTAAATTAAGTTATAAATATTTTATTAATATACTTTTTACATTAATAATTTTTACATTTTATATTAGAAATATTTAAACAAAGTAAAAAACGATTAAGTACTCTTTTAATAGTTGCAGGCTAAGGGGGATAAAGTAATAACGGCAAACATGTCGCGTTTTTTATCATTGCGACCGCAAGTGAACCAACTTTGCAAAAGAATCGACGCCCTTGATTACTTTATAAGAAGGGTGAACATAGATCTTACCATTCTCGAAACAAACATGGAAATAATAGAGTCGACATTTAATTCTTCAGATAAAAGATATCCCATGTTGAATCCCTTTTCCGTTTTTGTAAGTGTATTACTAAAAAATTATTTTATCATTAATATCATTTAAGAGTAGTTTAGTTTAAAGTTATCATTGTTTTTGTACGTATATGTTTACAAATTATTTTAAAAAATTTTTCAGTTAAGATCTTATTTCAGAAAAAGTCAACACCTAATCTACCGTCACTAGCTATTTATCAAACACCGAAAATTTTAAAAATTGAAGATTATTTTAAGAGTAATTCATAAAAATGTTTTAATAATTTAAAGTTTTGTTTTAAAGTATGAAATATATTCTTGAATCAAATATTTATCTCGTTCTTATTTATTTCATCATAATTGATTTAATTGTTAAAAATACTTTATTATATTTGGTTCATTGAATTAATTAAATTTTTTATGTAAGTAATAGTATCCTTAAACTGAATAGTAATATATATTTTGGTATCAATAAATAAAAATTTTTTGAGACTACTCAAATTACATGTATTTTTTTATATTATAAATTTAATGTATAGAAGAGTTTCTTCATAAACTGTATAAATCTTTAATATTAAATTAGATTATTTCTATTCAAAATTTTAATCATTACCTTTTTGTCATTCTTCACTACAGTTCTATGTAATATGTAAAATCTGTTATAAATATTTTATTTATAATTGTTCTACATTTATATAACTTGTTGAAGTAATATCTTATAATAAATATAACAAAAAAATTAAATTTTTTTAAAATAAGTAAAATAACACCAGAAAAGATTAAAAAATAAATTATTGTTTAGAAAATCATTTCAACATAAATTCTCATAATTTGATTAATATTTACTTAGAATACTGATTTTTGCTAAGCACAAATGTTTCCATACACACAAATTAATAAAATACAAAACAAAACAGAAAATGTATTCTATTTTGAAGTGTTAGAAATATTTATTATTTTGTTGTTATACAAAATTTCAAGTTTTAAATAGTTAAATATGAATTTGATCAATTTGATAAAAATGAAATTGCAAATTCAGAATATATATATTTAATTTTAATCATATAGAATGATTATTTTTTATTAGAAATAACTTAAAATAAGGTTGAATCACAAAGAAAAATAAATTGTAACTGTTTAACTTATAAGTGCATATATGATGTAATTCGTTGATTTTATTTTATAAAATTTTAAATCAATGTAAGAAATCTTAATTCTTCTTGCATTACTTTTAATAAGAATTATTTAAATCCTAGAATTTTCATGAACTAAAAATATTTTTTATATTATAATATAAAATATTTTTGACCAATAAATATGACATATTAATTCAAATTTCAATTAATTTTGATTGGTTTATGATTTTAAAGATTTGTTATTATGATGTGTAAAAATATACTATATCATATATTTTGTATATTTCAATTACTTATTTATATTTTAGTTATATATTATAAAAATTAACGTTGATAAAACTGTATATTAGATGAATGAATGATTTATATTTTATAAGTGAATGCTATAATATTTATAATTTTATAACAATTAATTCCATTATTAATGAATTTTATCAAAACTTGAAATTGTACATAATGAATAATTTGTATAAAAGTCAATTTTATTTAAATGTGAAAAATTCTATCAAAGAGAAATAAAAAATGTTATAAAAATATTAAACATGAATATTGGGTATTGTTTTAATAATAAAAATTAATTTTAATCTTCTAAATGTTAATATGAAAATAAATGGTTTAATATTGATAAAATATGAAAACTTGAAAACTCTATAAAATTATTATATAAGTAAAAATATTACTTTAAATGTTTATTTCATAACAAAACTATACAACAAATTGTGTACGCACGACACATATATAAGCCTTTATAAAGCTCAATTAGTTAAATTCTAAAAAATTGATGCTAATTATTATCTTGTATTTATATAAGTTCATTTTTTTAACAGTTACAATATCGATATTTTATACATATATTTTATTAAAAAAGAGAAATAATTTTAAAATTTGAAAAAGCTAATTCATTGTGCCACTTGATGTATCTAAGTCTAAATCTATCTTGATATTTTAAATTATAAATACTAAGCTTTTTAATCAAATAAATATTTTAAACAAAATATATCTAATTTTAAAGATAATTATCTTGATCAATTATTTGATGCAATTAATAATAACTCGATCATTATTTTTGAAGTATTGATTTCAGACATTTACAAAACAGCATTAACCAATTAATTAAAGTGATTTTAAAAATCGAAAATATATTTTATTTAACAAATTATTTTCATCTATTTATCTGAATGATTTTGTAAAAAATTTTTTCATTTAAAAAAATTTATTATTTATAAATACAAATTTTGTTTTAATATATATTTTACAAAATCATCTGTGATAAATAAAAATATGATAAACAATTTTTAATCTCTTAATTTTTTGCTTTTAGAAATAATTAGATAAAATTGTATTTAGGAAAACATTTTACTTCATAATTGCACAATTGATAATAAAAATCATGATCTGAAGATCCAAGGGACGGTGATTTTTTAAATTTGAAAAAAAATATGTATTTTTGAGTGGAATGTTGTTTATGTTACGTTGATATCCTTTTTTGCAGTTTCTGACCCTTGATGACTGTTGGACGTTTCTTGATATAACCTTTTTTTTTTCTAGCAGTCTGAAAAATTAATATTTCTCTCAAATAAGAAAGTTATTTATTATATTAATTTATTCATATGTTTATCAAAATCAAATGATATGATAACTGATATTTCTTAAAATTAATGTAAAAGTAATTACTAACCTTTCTACTGATGTATGAACTAGTTTGACGTATAATTTGACGTTTCGATATTGGTATTCTTGGTCGATTAAACTCACTTGGCTTCTTTACTCTAAATCAAATTTCAATGTAATATCTCAAATTAAAAATGAAATAAAAAACTTTTAAAAATACTGCTAATTAAATTATTTGTTATTAAATGAAGGAAAGTTTTTATTAATTTCCACAAATAAATTTTAATAATTTTTTTTAATATTCTCAAATAATACATTTTTTAAGAAAGAAATGAGATCATTTTAAAAAAAACTATCAATCAATAATATTAATTTGATCAAAATTTGGATTAAATATTATTTTATTACCTGTAGATTCTAACAAGCCAATGTTCCGAGGTATAAGCTTCTTCTAAGTATGTGATCTGAAAATGTTTATTACCAATCTCAGCGCTGCGAGTTCTATCGTAACCGTATGGTGAGCGATAATCAATTTTAACTTCTCCAAATCGATAATAACTAAGTTTGTACATGAGAGAGTTTAGGAGTGTTGGTGATCCCTCAGAGTCAATGCGAAATTCTCCTCTTTCAGTAAAATAATCGCCTTCACGAATATCTTGAGGATGTTCACCTTCAGCAATTCTCACCATCCACAAGAACTTGTTTATGTCATCACCAGAATAGCCAATCATTCCACCAAAAATGACTAACACATAATCAACATCAAGGGATGTCATAATTTCATAGGCTGCACTTTCATTGGAACTCATTGCTTTACCGACAAGAGCGATATGAGAATTATTCCAGGTGTTATTGTCTACAAGGGTTGTTCTAAAAACAATTGTTGTATAAAAATTATTAAAAAGTTTAATCACTAAGTTATTAACATTTTCAATATTTATAAAAAAATCTATTAATTATTTACAGTATTATATAAGAATAAGGAGTTTTAAAAATGCAAAAGATTATGATAAATAGATGTTTAGAAATATACATAACCTATTGGCCATTCCAGCTATTTGATATCCATAGTCCCACCAACTCATGATCCTGGCATCAGTAGGAGTATTTTGAGCAAGCCAATAATAAGCTTCACGAAAATCATCAAGTATCGCTCTTCCACCATCATTACTATAAGAAGCCAATACTATTGATGGGCTTGAATAAGCATTACTTGTTACCCAAGTGCAGTGTACAGTGAACATCATCAACAGCACCAATATAAAGAATACAACTCCATTGCGTACATTTGATCCAAGACCGTCCCCATTACCTTTTGGTTTCTCATGCTTCATTCTTCTAAGCTTACCAGCTTTATCATATAGCGCACGTCCTGGACTTTTTTCTTGCTCTTCCTCACTTTCTTCTTCACTAGCATTCAATCCACTATTTTCATCACGATCCTCTTCTTTTAAGAAGAGTTCTAAGAGGCCACTGAATGCTATTCCAGAAAGCATACAGACAACTGGGGTTAAGGTTAACATCAAACGAACCATTACACCAGCAAAATATACTGCACTGATAGCATATAATACCACTGAAATATGGAAACTTGTCTATTATATTAAAATCTTATAAAGTAAGAAACTGCATTTTATTATTATTATATATTTATTTATTATAAAAATTATATTATAAATAATAAAATAAAAAGAAAATTGATAAAAAAACTAGCTATAATTATACTTTGAATAATTTTTTTAATTTTATTTAAGAAATTTGATATTTTAAAAATTATAAATTATAATAATAAAATTTGTCTTAAAAACATTAAATATAAAATTATGTTATAACAAAAAAACTTACCAAAAACTCGTTCATCATTGATATGTTTAATGCAATACCAAAGTCCAACCGGAAAGGTTGTGACAAGAATATGTAGATCAAAGAAAAAGCTAAACCAAGTTGTTGGTTGATGCTCTGATACAGAAGCAATTATAGGAATATGTACTTTTGCATAGCCAGTATCCCAAAGGGAATAAAATCTTCCACTCCATGGTGCTACAAAACCAGCATATGTTAAGCCAATTAAAACAGTCAGTAATATAATTGCTATACCAGTAACAATTCCACCAAAGTATTTAATTTCTGATTTTGTTAAGAAAGTTCTAAGATACCTAAAATAATAAAAATCAATGTCGTTTAAGAAAGCTTACACAAGTTTAATAAGACTTTTGTAATAAAAGATAGAAATTTTACTAAATGTAAATGATAATAATTTACTTTAATTTACTAAGATTTCTTATCATATAAAGATAAATATTTTAATTTCATTTAATGAAATTGAGTTTTACAAAGGAAAACAAAATTTTGATAAATTAATTTAAAATTTATTAAGTAAAATAAAATGTTTATGCTGTTTTTTTTAAATACATAATTTGAAATAAATTAACAAATTTTTTATAGCAGTTTATGACATAAATTTAAAGCCTATGTGGTTGTATCAAATAATTCCATAATATTTATATTAAATAAATGTAAAATAAAGATTTATAGTATTAAAATAGTCTTTCTGAAGAAATAATATTATTGTTTTCATTTTTTAAATTATAAGTTTATCTTTGATATGAAAAATTAAATTTATCAATTTTTTTCATATATACATTTATATTTATTATTATACATATATAAATTTATGAAGAAGTCTTATTTTATTATTGATACATCTAAGTTGTATATTTTTAACTTTTTATTTTTAATAGATTATGTTTCCTTTTATACAATTAAATTTACTGTAGAAATACATGAGGAATTAAAAAAGTACTTTTATATTTTATATAATTTTTTTAAAAAGGTAATTTGCTACTTTATTTTGCTTATTTTAAAATAGTTTCATAGATAACGAAGTAAAGTATTACTTACTTTAATGTTCCAATGAGAATAAGCAAACAAAATACACCACCAGCAGCCATATGTTCAGATGTTCGAATAGGTTGAAAGCCAACAAATGGGATTTGCATACTGAATAAAAGTCCCAAGATGTAAAAAGTTGTATAACTTGTGAAAAGACGTTGACTAAAACGATTCATAATAAGTAATACAAAAACATGCAGAGGTATTAAGTTAATTATAAAAACATATCCTCCCCAAGCAGAAACCATGTAAAAATAAGATAGAGCAGTCATAGATGCCCAAAAAATTGAACCCGATTTGACAGATTTCACCCATAAATAATAGGTAAATTGTAATGCAAATATAGCAATGCCCTCATTGTCGTAACTACCAGCCACTGATCTTGAAATATAACCTGGAACAATGGCAATAAAACAAGCAGCAAATAATCCAGCACCTGCACTCCATAGCTCTTTAGTCAAATAATATGTTGATATTGCTGTAAGTCCACTAAATATTGGTGCCAAAAAAACACAAATATCTCTGATATGAATTGGTATATTTAAAGATGAAAAAATGTAATGTATTGATCCTGAGGTAATCATTAGGCCTGGATAAACTGTTCCACCAACAATACGGCCCAATGGATACCATGCTCTTTCATCAAACCAATTTAAAAAATTGTAAAAACCATGTTGAACCATGTATGCTGTTGCTCGATAATTAAACCTATACAAAAATTTGTGAAAATACAAATATAAATGTAAATTATATAAAATATTTATAAAAATAGATATACTTCTACAATTCTTTTGAAATTATTAATATAAATATTTGTTATATTATTTTACTTATGAAAAGTGCAATTGCAATGTATAAACATTTTAAAAAATATACATATCTAACAGACAAATGTAAAATGTATAGGTAAAATATTTATTAAATAAATGATGTTAATTCTAAATTTGTATAAAAATGTTTTTTTAATAATTATGAATAAAATCTTTACAACACGCGAAAAAGAATTCTGAAGTTAACAATTTTTACAATAAATGAAAGTTGTAACTTGTAAATAATGTATTCTATATTGAAGTTCAAATAAACAAGAGATAAGACGCTCAGTTTCAATCATACCAGGGGTCGAATTCGTGAATGATGCTTTCAAAGCGTATGACGGCGAAGAGTCGCGAGGCAAAGCCGGAAATCCATGCAAGCAGGAGGACAGTGAAGGTGATGAGAGAATTGAGACCAGCAATGTTCGTCAATGTAGATGATTTGACCTGTTTAACGATAGGTTTCTTATCGAAAAAAGAAATCTTTTTATTGCCAGAAGACGGAGGATTTGCAGCTATTGCAGCCGTTGCCTTGTTAAGTTGCATGTTCTTTTCCAATTGATATTCTACTTTAAATTTTCGTTGATTATCTCGTTGGAGATTCTTGAGCTTTCTCACTTTCAACTATTCTCAAAATGATCTGATCTCCATGGAGTGCTGCAATTGGCTTTACGCAGTCTTATATCCAAAATTTTTATTCAGTCAAACTAATCGACACGTAGCAAACTAAACAGATGCACAGGCTCCCCTTTTTTCATAAACAGCAACTGATAAATATTACTATATAATCGTATTAATGTAGAATCGATAATATTAATATCATATGCAATAACTAACCGAATAAGTAGACACGTCTAAAGCCGGTTATAATAATCATGATCGCCAACTCATAAAAGTGCCAACCTCATTTTCTGCTAGACTTTTTCTTGTATAATTCCAGGTTATTAATTGCACCTGCGTATAGATGTTTTATAAATATATGTATTGTCTGTCAGTTTTGATTCTAAGCTCCAAAATACAAAATTATATTACTTAAATAGTAAAAGCAAAACAAAAGTTAATAAGAAAAGAAATAATTCTCATTTTAAGTTTTAAGGCAACCCTGAAATAACTTTCGAGAGCTTTGTTGCCAAATTTATTATTTTTTAATTTTAGTTTTAGTTATCTAATGTAATGTTATACATTTTTTTATAAAGAATAAAACTCAATAGGAAAATTAGCGTCTTATTAATTCATGATAAATATAATGAAACATGTATTTTTTGAATTTCAAATGTATGAAAATATAACGTCTTTTTTCCGTATTATTTTTTAATTATTTTAATTTTATCAACAATCTATTTTATATTTAATTACTATATTTTTGCAACTTCCACCAATAAATTAAACAATATTTTGTATTTTTACATATATTTTATACATATAATATATATATTACGTATAATTTAAAAAACATTTCAGACTGTATTAACAAATTGAGCACTTACAAAAAATGGTATGACTCGTATATGAATTAATTATCTTTTTAATATATAAATAATATTTTTAATTGTAAATGAAACTGTTTAAAACTTGTGCCGAATAGTTTAATTTTAAATTTAAATAATAATTATAATGAAATTATAAACATAAATAGAGCCAAAAATCATTTCAAAATTTAATTTTATTAGAAGTTATATTTTTATAAAACAATAATTGGATTTATATTGTATTTATGAAAATAATTATGAGTTTTCTACAATAATTTGACATTCTTTTAATCTGTTTTTTTTAATTAAGTTTTTTATAATCTGTAATGTTTATTTAAAAATAATTCTTAAAATTAGGTAATGCATACATGTAAAAGTAATATTATAATAATATTTATATTATGGAAAAACATGTGTACACTTTATATTTATAATAAAAAATATAATCTTAGTTGTTTGCAACTATGATTAATTTAATGTTAAAATTAAATAATTGCACTTTCAAATTCTTTTTAAAGTTTAAAACAAATAAACCAATTAAATTGAAGAAAAATGTGGGTACATATTGCAATATATTAAGTAAAATTAATATTGATTAATTGATTTATTTGTAACCTATTCACTGATGCACAGAAAGTAGATAACAATTTTAATTTTACATAGATTAGTATTAAATTGACTATCATACTAGTTCATATTTATTTTGTTATAAATTGTTTACTATCAGTTGTTCATGATTATACTAATTCTTTTATTGCTTCTAGCTACTGTATTAATCTAAATGATCATTCGTCATATTCCTACCTGTTTAATTCTGTTTAGTTTAATGTTTTATTACAAATAGACATTGCATCACAGTTGATTCACATGTGACACAATTTAAAACAGAATAATTAAAAAAATTGAAATACGATTTTTGAAGAGATAATATACTTAAACATTTTATTATATTAAAACAAATAATACATATTTTATATTAATACATTCTTTTATTGCATAATTTTATTAGTTTAACAATTTAAAAAATAATTTTATTAACACATTCAATAATACTATAAAAATTACACAAATTTAAAATAATATAAAATCATAAATTCAAAAATAAACTCAAATCCAATAATAACAATAAATAATTTTTATAAATGAATCTATATAAGATTATAAAATATTCTTATTAGAAGAACTAATAGCAATGAATTTTTATTTTATCATTTTTTTCTTTCCATATTTTCAATTGTAAACAAGTTTAATACTAATTTAAATTAATTTTTCTATTAACATTATAATGTAAAAAATTAAATATTATCCTTTATAATTTTTTACTATTAATAATATATGATAATCTAGAACTATTTAAAATATCTTTAATGCTCATAAAATCTATGAAAAATTTAAATTGAATTTTTTAGAGGAGTTTGTAATGAAAACTTGTACTGTAATGAAAATTAAAAGGCAAAAAAATATTGTTAATTAAATTTTTAATTCATAATTTTGAAAAGCGATGAATAGTTGAATGATTTTGAAATTTATGTAATACATTTAAATTATTCCACCACAATGGCAACTGATGTTCAAGTATTAATTTAAACCATGGAGTCAAAGGGAACTTAATATTTTTTACAAAATTATTCATATGCTCTTTTGATATCCACTGAATTTCACTAACTTCATTTGGGTTTGGATTAAGAGTAACCCTGTTCAATTGTAAAAAGAGTACATAATCTATTTCGTGTTCACCCCAAATTTCATCATCTGTTGCATGATAATGAATTCTAGTAAGGTAACAAAAGTCTTGAAGTTGAACTTCTATCAATGGAATTCCTAATTCATAACAAAGTCTTCTTTGTGCAGCTCTTCGAATTCCAAGGGCATTCATTTCTTCACTTTCACCATCAATTTCAGCCAATGGATGACTGCAGCAGGTATTTGTATAATAACTAGGAAAAGTAATCTAGAAATTTATTGAAAAATATTTTGATAGTTACAAATTAAAATTTATTACCAATTTAATTATAGTTCAAATATTTTATAAAATTAAAGTAGATATGAATAGAAACTTATGTATTTAGTAAATTATATTTACTTTTATTTTTGTTTATAGATAAGACAAATATAAATTTTTTTTTTTAATTGTAAATATATCATACATAGTAAAACATTAAAATAAATCATTAATTACTAATTTATCTTTAACTATATATAATACATTTTCATTGTAACTTTTTCACAGTATATATCTTTAAAATAATCAAAATAAAACAAAGGCATAAAAATTTAATTAAAATTTTAATCTTTCTACAATTAAATCATGATTTACAATATACATATATTTTTTACGATTATTTTAACATATGCTAGTTTATAATTTTATAGTAAGATTATTGGTTCTTATTATAAATTTTGATATTTATTGTCAAAATACTTAGTTTTTACCTATAAGATATATAAGAATAACTAATTTAATCAAATAATCAGGCTTCAATCTATTTTCTTTGTATGGATTAGAAAACAATTTTTATCAAATAAATTAAAGTATATTATAATTTTACTAAATTTAATACATATGATTATCATTTGAAATAAAACAATTATAATTAAATTATTAAAACTACTTTGTATAGTTATATATATATTTCATCTATATATTTAATCACAAAATGAATTTTTATAATTATATATATATTTGTTATTTACAATTGATTTTTTCTGTTTTTTATATTATTGTTCTACAAATGATAAATAATACTTGGAAAATAAATAAATAATAATAAATATTAATAAATTAAACTTACTTTTGTAGCAGATCTTTTTTGTATAAGTAGATCACCATTGCTATTAAAAAGAAACACACTAAAAGCCCGGTGTAAAGGAATGTAGCCATCTTTTGCAATTTGGTGACAATGCTTTTTTGTAGCTTTACCTATAGGTCTATCAAATTTATCCACAAGAATACATTTTTCATCCAAAGCAGTTTCTTGGAGTGAATCTATGTGCATGTTTGTATACAATTTAACACTGAGAATCTTTTCTTTAACAGGACAGAACCTTTTGAAAATAGTGAACATTTTTGTGAGAATAAAAATATTGAAGTCTTTATACAATCTGTTAAAGAATAAACATTGATTAAAATATAACTTATTACATTAAAAATAGAAAACTTATAATATATTCAAGTTATATATAGATAAAAGATGATGACCTGATGAACTTAAATATTTAAACATTATTAATTAGCATTTAAAAGATACTTTTTTTTTAAAGAATAATTTTAATAATAAATACCTGTGCAAAAGTGTATTTTTGTCGATCGCATACTTTCCTTAACTTTGTCCTCACATATATTAATAGCGAACTAAACAAAATATATCAAAAAGAGTTTAACTTTCAGCAAATGGTGTCATTGATATAATACGTATATTCTAACAATAAATCCGATTTTAAAACTTATTGAGCCAATAAACATTTCTATTGATTTTTTAAAGTCAATATTGAAAATCAAAAATCGAATATTATAAATAACACTAGTATTTACAATTAACACGAAAATAAGTCCAAACAATTTATTTCGCAATATTAAATACAATGGATTTTATTAAAAGACAATATTTTAGACAATAGAAATTCGAAATTTCTTTGTCGATACATTATAATAGAAACAGAGAACGGAATAAAAATTAATTATAATTTAAATGTTTTTTTATAAAATTGATTTATTCGTTTTGCTCAATAAATAATGAATTCAAAATGTTGAAATACTATTGTAATTACGGACTAATATTAACTTATTAACGTAAGTTTTTATATAATTGTCTAGATAATAAGATTGATATTTTATAATGGAATGAAGTGAAATTCAAAGTAGGAATCAAAATTTCACAGTTTTCTGGAAATGAATATCTTGAAATAAATTGTTATTGTTGTTAAGTAAATAATGAAAATATACAATATGAGTTTACAAAGCTTTATATAATTTTATTTTATTTATAAGCTTATGTATATAATTTTTAAATAAATTAATTAAATCATGTATGTGAATATTGTAAATAATGCTTATATTTTTTATACTTTCGACGATTAAAATAAATTTTAATAAATAACATCGAATATTTTTAGGCATTGGATTATTAGTAATTAATATGTTAAAGTATTACAAATTTTAATGTATCAATGTTATTTATATGTATTTATTATATTAATTAAGATCATAACATATTGTTTTAAATTAATTATTTTAGATTATTTTTCCCATTACATTCTAATTAATTGTATCTTTATGATTTTTATTTAAATTAAAAATACATATTTTATACTTAAAAATTATTTAATACAAAAATTTAATGAAATAAGATTTAATACAAAAAATTTATGTATAATTTTATGTAAAATGAATAAAAATATGTAGTAATCATTTAAAGTTTAGATAAAAGTAATACATTTTGTATCTATTGAACTAATTCTTATACATATAATTGGAAGATTATGTTTTTACATGCTATTTACTGCTTTTAAAAATAAAAAGTCCAATATAAAAATGATAAATAGTATCTTACAATTCAAATTTAATATATATATATGCCCAATAATTTATTTTATGATTATTTTTATTTTAAGTAGTTTTGATAGTTTAAATTTTTTATGATTAAATTTTATGAATTAGCATAAGAATTATTTTTTATAGTTTTTGATATATGAATAATTATTTGATTTAAATCTAAGTGTATATTGAAAATATAGGTAAATGATTTAAATATATATTTAAAGAAAATTTAATTAAATAAAAATACGTTAGATATTGGTTGAGAATCTAATTTAATATATAAAATGAAGTACTTATTGATATTTATGTAATAAAAAGTTTAAATTATTTAGAATATTTGGTATAGATTAATTACCATTTCTCAAATAAGAATAAATGTTTTTTTTTCTTGTCTATACAATATAATACAATTATATTTATATGTAACTCAAAAAAAATTTTCACATATTATTTTATAGGAAAGAAACCTTTATATTTCTCGTAAATAGAAATAAATTCGAAAACTAATATATTTAAACAGTATTATTTTTAATCATCATAGGTTAGGTAAAATATGTTGCCAAATGTAGTTAAGCAAATGGTATGTAAAGCCGAAAGTGTAGATTTATCAGATTCAATTTAAAAATTTAAAAATTATAAAATTTGATTTATAAATTGTTTTAAAATGACGGAAGATAAAGTTACTATACAAGAATTTAAATTGGATCCTGATTGTGAATTACGCTTTGAACTTGAAAGTAAAAATGAAAAAATGACATTAGAGGTATTTGTTTATATTTGAACTACAACCTAATTAAAAATTAAAAGTAATCATTTATTATTTTTATTTTTAGTTAAAAAGTGGTTTAGCTGAAGTTTTTGGAACAGAATTAGTTAAAGGAAAAAAATATGAATTTACATGTGGAGCTAAAGTTGCAGTATTTACTTGGCAAGGATGTGCTGTTGAAGTAATTGGTAAAACTGATGTCAGTTATATAGCAAAAGAAACTCCAATGAGTTTATATTTAAATTGTCATGCTGCTATGGAACGAATGAGGGAAGTAGCAGAAAAAGATGATACAAGAGGACCAATTCTTATGGTTGTAGGTCCATGTGATGTAGGTAAATCAACCTTGTGTAGACTTTTATTAAATTATGCAGTTAGAATGGGTAGAAGGCCTATATATGTTGATTTGGATGTTGGACAAGGACATATAGCAATACCAGGAACAGTTGGAGCTTTACTGGTAGAACGACCATCAAATGTTGTAGATGGTTTTAGTCAACAAGCACCCTTGGTTTTTCATTTCGGACATAAAAATCCTAGTTCTAATTCAGTTCTTTATAATCTTCTTGTTACTAGATTAGCTGAAGTTTGTTCTGATAGGTTACAAGCAAATAAAAAAGCAAAAGTTTCAGGAATTGTTATTAATACATGTGGTTGGATTAAAGGTGGAGGATATAAAATGTTAACGCATGCTGCCCAAGCTTTTGAAGTTGATACTATTTTAGTTTTAGATCAAGAAAGACTTTATAATGAATTAGTAAGAGATATGCCAGATTTTGTAAAAGTAGTATTTTTACCAAAAAGTGGAGGTGTTGTAGAAAGAAGTCAAATACAAAGAAATGAAACTAGAGATCAATCTGTTAGAGAATATTTTTATGGCTCAAGAACACCTTTATATCCACATAGTTTTGAAGTGAAATGGAGCGAAGCCAAACTTTTTAAAATAGGAGCACCAATATTGCCATCTTCATGTATGCCTTTAGGAATGAAAGCAGAAGATAATTTAACAAAATTAGTTGCAGTTACACCAGGACCTAGTTTACTACATCATTTACTTTCGGTATCATTTGCTGATTCTCCAGAAGATGATGTTGTACAAACAAATGTAGCTGGATTTGTTTGTGTGTAAGTATTATAATAATTTTTAATATTTAATATTATTTGTAAATAATATCGTTAAATGTAATTTAAACATACAAGTTATTATAAATAAATAAAAGATTTTGTTGAAAACAAAAATAAATTATTTAATTTATTAAAGACTTTCAAGATCAAATTATTTCTTAAAATTTTAATAGTATTACAGTAACTGATTTTATTTATTAAAATTACATTATTTATCATTACTTTTTTTTATTCAAAAGTTATCTTTATTATATTACTTTCGTAACTATTCAAAGAAAATTTTTAAATAATACATTTTGAAACTTATATTTATTGAAATCCTTTAAAGAAAATTATAAATAAAAACTTTCAAAATTAAGCTAACCCTTATGCTTATATATTATAACACGATTTTATATTGAAAATGATTGAAATTGTTAAATTTCTTAATAATTTTAAAAACAACATTTTTTGGGTAAATTAAATTATAATATAATATATATTTATAATTATATTACTCTTAATAAATTCTTGTTCTTATTTATAACAAAATATATTATAAATACATCTTATATAAAGAAAATAAAATATTTATTTTGTATACTTAATATTAATCTTAGTCGTGTAAGTTCATAAGAAATATTTTTTTTAGAACTAATGTTGATGTAGAACGCCAAACTTTCACAATATTGAGTCCACAACCTAGACCATTACCAAATCATATTTTATTGTTAAGTGAAATTCAGTTTATGGATACACATTAAAATGATGTCATTAATGATTCAAAATTTGTATTTGTATAAATAAATAAATATTTAAAATGGTAAATTTATTTGTCACCAAAATTATATTGTTCCTTTAATTAAACCTTGTATATTAATTTTATTATTACACAAATTTATTCTGTTGAAGTTCGTAATATTATTACTTAAATTTATGAAATGAGCTCTAAAAATATCTTTAAAACAATATGGCGTAATGTTGTATTTGAGTGCTTTAAAACGTGATAACTAAATTAATTATAAAAATAATAGGAATAATAGGTAATTTTTGTAATAAATACACAAAACACAAAACTATTTAGGATTAATATAAAATGTATTGTATAAGCATTTGTTTGTATATTTGGATCCCAATTAAAATAAAAATTGATAAAGATACACGAGTCGTAACAACAATAAACAAATTTTATAAAGTTTGTTACATAAATCGTCTATACATATCTAAATCGATTTACACTTATAAACATAAATTCTTTATATAACACAAAAAATGTTTCATCTGGTACATATTGAAGGTTGAAACATTTTAAATCTTCATTCAATTACAAAAATAATTAAAGAAACATATATTTTTATTTATTATTCATTACATGATATATTCAGTCATGTATTACAATATCTTTGATTAAAAAATATTTTTATTAATAAATGTATTAAAATTATTCCATCATTATTTCTGTGTTATTATAAATTTTTAAATAAGTTATTTATGAATAAAACTAAAATAATTGTGATTAATGTTTAGCCATCATTATTGTTTAAAATTTTCTTCTTTTGATTTGAGCACATTAATGTGGCATGGTAGATTTTTTTTAAAGATTATTACTTGCAATTCTTTATTTATTTTCTTTTGTCATTTATTATACCTCATTATTATACAACAAAATCAGGGAAGAAATGGTTCAAAACAATATTTATGAATGCATTAATCAGAAAAGAAACAATGTCAATACAATATAATTAAAGATTTTTATTTTTAAACTGCATTACAAGAATGAGCTTTTTTTATTCACTAATACTGTACCTTGACTTTCATAGTTTTACAACAATTATTATAGAATGAATAAGGCATTGTATAAGTAATGTATAAATAATCATTTCATTTTTTGAATTTTTTTATTGTCTTAAAAGTCTTGTTTGCAAACTATTAAGTGATTTGTCAAATACACAGCTAAGTTTTAATCTAAAGTTCTAATGATTTTTATAGTATATAAAACAAAAAACTTCATTTACTCATTATATCTCATAAAGAAAGAATACTATTTATGAATAGTTCAGCTTATGAAGTCAGTACAGTTTCTCCTTCAAAATTGTCATTAAGAGAATATTGAATATTATTTATATAAGTTATAAAAATATCACCCAATTGACAAGATGCATTTAGTATCAAGGAGCAAAATTACAAAACTCCTTAAAGAGTAGATACCCATTAGTTTACTCTTTGAAAATAAATTCAACAAAGAGAATATAAATAAATGACAGCAGTAGACAAGTGGGTCTCAGCATAAGGTAGAAAGTGTTTGAGGGGTCAGAGTATAGAACAACGTGAAAACAGGCTTGGAGGTTTCCTTTGAGGCTCTATAGCTTTTAGTTGATGACCACCTCCTTTTGGTGGATTTGATGCTTCCTAAAATTTTAAAAGAAATTTAAGACTTTTAACTTACTAATGCATTAACCAATATTTTTGCAGTATAGAAATAAATAAAACGCCTACTTCAAATCAATGTTATTATTATACAAAAAGTGATAAATAATGTTGAATGTGTGAAGACTAATAATAAGTAATTTTAATAATTATATCTTTTTATTTTGAATATATTATAAATTTTCAAAATCGTTGCCATTGATATAGCTTTGTGAATATACATTTAAACTAATGTTTAATTAGTTTAGTGTACCTATACAATAATATTCCCAATCTCAGAAAATAAAATACTTAATTATTTTGTTTAGATATGCTAACATATAAGTATATATTAAAATTTTGGTTATTAATTGTATTGATTTCTCATAAAGAAAAATTAAATTATAAACAAGTATATTATAATTATTAAAAATGTAACACTTCATTGAACAAAAATGAGAACAATAAATTGTTAGATATGAATCCAGTGTTTTAAGCTATTTCTGAATAAAAAGATTGAAAAATGAAATAAAAATTTAATCATTTAGTCAGTAATAAATTAATATAATTCCAATTATAATTCATCAATACAATAGAATAAAAATAAAATGAAAAATTAGTCTTAGTTTCATCAAATGTCATACTTCACAATATCAAAAATTAATTGTGTAAATATAAAAAAAACTTAAATATATTATAAGGTTGCAATAGTGGTAAATAAACACATTGTCAGAATAGAGTTACCTTCTGCCAACATAGACCCGCACCAAACACAGAAAGTACATGAGAAACAAAGAAACATTTGTTATTTTATATAGTTTTGTTAAGAATAAGGCAGCTATTGTTGGAGAATAAAAATTGTTAATATTTAATATGAAATTGAAAAAACAATATTTCTATTTACAAATTGAGGATTCCATAATTCTTATAAATGATTATTATATAAATTTTATTTAGTACCTAATAAAAAAATCAAATTATTAAAATGAATGCACTGAAGGTTAAAAGAGCAATGATAAATCTTTTTTATTAAATTGACTTTGAAAACAAGATTGCTCCAACAATGGTAATTAATAATTTATTATTTTTCGTTAAAAAAGTCAAATTTACCAATCTTTTTTCCATTTTAGCTTTAATATCTCGTGCGAGCGTAAAAAAGGCTTCTTCAACATTAATGCTGGACTTTGCAGATGTTTCCATAAATTTGATGCCGTATTCGATGGCTAGCGCTTCTCCGCGTTCTTTTGACACTTGCCTTTTATTTGTTAGTTCGCATTTATTGCCTAAAAGCATTTTTTCTACATCTGCCGACGCGTTTTCTTCAATATTACGGATCCAATTTTTTATATTATCGAAGCTCTTCTCATTCGTAACATCATATACTAACATAATACCCATGGCACCTCTGTAGTACGCCGTTGTTATTGTACGGAACCGTTCTTGCCCAGCTGTATCCCTAAAATTTGCTCATAAATTCTATTACTAAAAGAAATGTTCTAAAAATAAATAATATTTTCAATATTATTTATACTAATTTTTATTATTTTATTATTTTATTTATATTTATACTCTGTTTGTTTATATGTTTTTTATATTCTTGTTAAGTTAAAATTATATACATAATTTCAATAAAATTAATTTGCTTGCTTTATGCACATGTACGCATAGATACATTATATTGCATTAAAAAGAGAACAAAATATTATAATTAAACATAATATAATGTTTGATATTTAATAACAAACAAAATTAAAAGTAAATTTTTCTTTTTAAATTATAACATTTATATTACCTTAGCTGTAACAAACAAATTGTAAGGTTAACATTAGTTATATTCTGTACCCTATATTTATGATAAAAATGATAAAAATGCGCAAATGTGCAAGTATTTTATCAGTCTTATTGTAATATAAATACTTTACATTCTTCTATATGTACACACATGGTCACACACACACACGCGCGCGCGTTAATAGGTACATGCAATAGAGAATATTTTTAATGTGAGATATTAACTTACAATAGTTTACTTAAATAAATTTTCAATTTAAAAATTTATAATTTTTCATATTGTTATTTTTCTTGACTTATAATTATAATAATAACTATTTGAAGAATATAAAAAATGCATTTACCATATCTGCAGTTTAATCTTCTTTCCATCTAGATCTATGGTACGAATTTTAAAGTCGATTCCTTTAAAATAAAAAAGACAATATTATTAACAAAACATATCTAAAACATATATATATATATATATATATATATATATTCGAAAAGCAATATGGATACAATTATTGTAAGATATAAGCAAATAACAAAGAATGTATATTGATTAATACATTTGCTTTAGTCTTAGCTTACTGTAAAATTAATTACAAGTATGAAAAGCAGGTAAACTTAAAATTTGAATCATATACATTTTATTGTATTTTAATAACCGTCGATACTATATATTACCATTTATTTTACTTTTTTAATTTAATGTATAATTATTCGATTTATTGAAATAAATATTCGAAATATAATCTACGTATGATTAAATACACTATATTCATTATATTCCCTAAAAATATTAAAATTGTAAAAATTTTACTAGTTATAAGAATATGAGCATTAGTTTAATTTATTTGCTACAAATGTAATCATGCGAATTTAACTTTTATTTTTAATAATATAAAAATAACTGATTTTTTCTTAGTTATTTCAGCCATTTTTGAATATTCACATTTTTATACATTTCATTCTATAGAATATAATCGTTGTTAGAATTAATTATATATTCTGTTAAAAGAGAATGCTTTAATGAATAAAGCAAGTTTTATTTAGAGAAATGAGATGTTGGATATCCATACATATATTTATAGATTTATACATTAATACCAATCCCCACACATCATATTTAAAAAATTTAGATGTTATTTTACTACATATATATGATGATTTTTCAACTGAGTTTTATCAAATTAATTTTATTTTAAATTATTCGTGATTTAATTCTAATAAGTTTTATACTAATAAGATTTTATAGTATAAAGAAATGTGTATAATTCATTTATGTTATATTAACTGACTTCATCGATTATTTTATGAGTCCTTTTCCTATTTTAAGTACTTAAAATATTAACAAAGAAAAAGCAATTAGCTATATACTAAATATATTAATGGTAAAATAATAAAGTAAGTAAATTTCAGAGATATTGATCGTAAGCGTATATATTATATCTGTTATGTTAGCAGGAGTACATAGTAAACACTAATCTAGTATAAATTTTATAATCGCTACATAACTTTAATTCTTTTTATAAAAATTATACTTTCCAAAGTACAAGTTAATTAATCTAATATTATGTTCATAGCTATTTTATACCTGATTTTTTTACGTTTACTTTTAGTTCTATAACTGTCTTCGCATATAGTAAATATGTAAATATCTGAATAACAAAATAATTTGAAAAATTGTAAGTCTTTATAATTTTATAATCAATATATTATTATTATTCAATTATTAATATATTATTCAATTATTGATAAATTATAGGTAATATATTATTTAAAACGTTATTAATTTGCAAAATAATTTTGAATATAATTTATTTTATAGTTTTTATATGTAATATTAAGATTGCAGATCAATTTGATATTTAGCACAATTAAATGTAAGTAAACTATGCTTTCTTTCATTGCAATTTCATAATTTATAATATTTACATTGTATATTTGTACACATAGAAGAGTTTTAAAAAATTATTAAAAATGCATGTGAAATATGCTTATTTACAATTATATTTTGTTCAATATACCGAATTGAAATATCTATAGCAATTTTGAATATTTCTTAATTTTGTGTATTACTCGATTGTAATTAATATATTAATTTTAGTTTATAATAAACTACATTATATTTATAAATAGAATTCGTATTATTAATACAATAATTATTAAAATAGAATTTGTATTTATTAATATTCTGGGAATCTCAAACATGGATCATATACAATTGTTAAAATTGTTTATTATTTCCAATTTTTATGATTCATCGCGGATAGGTCTGTATAAAGCGTTTTATTTAAATATTTCTTATGAATTTATTAATATTACTCCATGTTACGTAATAAACAAGAATAATAAAAAATGTACGTCAAAAATATCTAATACAAGATAAAAATAAACAATAAAATAATAAAATCAAATACAAAATATAATTAGTATTAAAATGAATTAAAAATTACTTTTTCTTCAAATTGTTTGCTTTTGTAATAGTTTTAATATTTAACCAAATTTAGAAAATCTGCAAACTATTGCAAAATATAATATATTAAAATATTCCAATAATATTAAATAATGAAAAAGAAAAATATATAGTGTGATAATTAAAAAAAAATTGTATAAATTTATAAATATTCATATCTTATATTGATAATTTAAATAAATTTCAATTATGTAATATGAATGTATAATGAAAAATTAATTTTTTATCTAGTATAAATTTGTTAATACTTATATGCCATATTCTGTTTTAATATATAAGAAAAGTGTATAAAATATAAAACAGTATTTAAAAATAATTATATTTTTATATTTTAATAATAAAAAATCATAGTTGTAAATATAATTATCTATTTTCAAATTGCATGAAAAATGTTATAAGATTAAAAAATAAACTTTGAACATTAACAAAATTTTCAGAAAGATATAAGTATATTCTGATTGAAGTTGTAAATCAAGTTTTAAATACCCTATTCGGAATCGAAATCTTAATGTATATAAAAATGAAATTCATATTTGAATTTTGAAAAAATGCAGTACAAGATTAAGCAATGACAGTTATAATTAAATATTTTATTAGTATTATTCCAGTATAGAATTAATTTAATAATAAGCTAATAATAAACGAAAAAACTTTTAAATATATTTTGCATATAACAATAAAAATAGAAAATAATATATACTCATAATGAATTAATATGGTCAATAATTGAAGGAACAGAAAATTATAATTGCCATATATCTTTAATTAGAAACACATGTGCACACGCGCGCGCGCGCACACACACACACAACTCCTAATTTAACTAATATAATATTACTCATGTTAGTGTTCAAAATGGCAAATAAATACAAAATCCACATGAGAACAAATAAAAAATAAAGCTAAAAATACTAAAATTATAAATGTTCACAATTTCATCAATTTACAATGTATAATAAAAACGTTTTAATTAAAGTGAAAATTTTTTTGTAATAATTAATAGTTATTTTAAAGAGTATTACTAGTAATTACTGAACAAATACAAAATATTAAAATCCACTACATAACAAAAAAAAATTTTTTTTTACTCAGAATTATTAATAAAATTACTTAAAAAATTATTACATTAAAATATTTGAAGTAATTTAATAATACAATTTATAATGTTCAATAAAACTGTCAGTAGAAGACTATTAAGTGGATTATATTATATTAATTTTTACAATCAAACAAATAAATGTATAATTAAAATTATTTTTTTGAATGTATATATTTATACAGACAATTTAATGAAAGTGAAAGTACAAATTTATTAAAAGAGAAAATACATTTTATATAAAAAAATTAAATAAAAAAATATAATGCAAATAAAAAATAAAATGTAATACCGACTGTATAATTATATGGCATTTTACACAATAATATAAAACTGCATTAATTGGTTATTAATTGAAATCGAATCAGTATTCGTTAGAATTTAACCTTAAAGCCTATTATATTGTACCCATAAGAGTGTCGGTTACAATTTACAATCATAGTACGGGATAGATGACACATACATATAACCTAAATTAATATGAAAAATATATGAGAAAGCACACAAAACCGATCTATTGTACAGCACTTTTAAACGTCGTGTAATCAAAGTAATCAACCTCGCCTATAGGTGAAATAAACTTTGTCAAATTCACTTTCGATCATTCTGTAAGCTTAAATATAAATGTAAAATCTCTAAGGATATTAGCGTGCAAACAATCGAATGTTTTGACTCAGCCGTGTGTAAACAGAACAACAATGTGGTAAAATAGACATGGAAATAGGTAAGGGACTCGTAAAAAAGGGAAAAATATTGGAGAAGATTGTAACACGTGAACAACTTCTACGCACATTATAAAAGCAATTTGAATAAATACGCACCGATAGTGGATATGAAGGTTGTATTAAAGGCATCCTCTGAAAAACGAAACAGAACACAGGTCTTGCCGACGCCCGAGTCCCCGATCAGTAGCAGCTTAAATAGATAGTCATACGTCTTGGCCATTTCTCGCTTTACACTCGTTAACACACTTTGAATCGTGCTTTCAAAGCCTATATATCTTTTTCACTGTCTTTGCCTGTATGTTTGTTTGTTTGTTTGTTTGTCTGTTTGTCTGTCTATCTGTTTCTCTCTCTCTCTCTCTCTCTCTCTCTCTTTCCTCTGTATTACACTCGCTTAGCGCATAAGCAGGAGGAACCGCTTTGATTCTTGTCTTTCAAAGATGATCCGTTGATTTTTAGAATGTACTTCCGTTCTATATGTATGTAGAATGGGTAAACGGAATATGTGTGTATTAAACGAGAACCAAAGGTAACGAAGTTGCGTTCATAACATACATACACACTCTCAATTATTCATTCACCTTACTCACTAACTTTCTTTCTCTCCCTCAAAATGAAGAACCGATAGAAGCGATTACTGGGAGGCGTGTACCCGTGCTACTTCCTTTGTAAACTTTTCTTGGAGGAACATGCGAGTACTATACAATGATTGTGAAAAACGAGTGGGGGAGGGGGGACCAGCTGTTGCGGTGAGTATCGTATTTTTTTCTCTTCTCTTACTTATCTTGTCACTCTGTATCTTTCACTTTTATAGCTTTTTCTTTTTTTCTCTCAATTTAAATATGTATATTTATATGAATTAATGTGTTACTCTGTATGCATTTTGTCTTTTTTATTATAGGATTCGAATCTATGCTATACGTGCTAGTATTGATCTTTTCCGTAATACTCGTAATTCACTATTTACTTTTTTTTTGAGAGTAGAAACTGTCTTAGTCACTAATAATTTCATTATTTTCATGACAAATTGTGTATGTATCCGTCTCTTTTTTTTTAGATGCGTGTCTCTTCTGTCCTTGCCACGCTGTATCTCTCTACATGCAAATGTTTGCATTTTATCCGCTTTGAGTGAATAGACTCTGATATCGTAAACATTTAGATCTTTTTATTAAGTTTAATATATGTTGTTTAGGTATTCACCGTGTATGCTGAGAGAATAAATAAAATGCGACTTACAAGAGAGGTTAGTTTCAATTATTATTGGTTTGAATTAATTAAACACAATTTCGATCCTTATGTTTGTACGAAATGTTTTTATTTCGTTGATAGTCAGTTCAGAGTTAATGGTTTCGCCAAGTAACGACAATAATGTCTGTGACATCAACATTCAACATTAAAAACAATACAATGATAATGATAACCAATTCAACACTGTTAATCGATCGTTTTTTATTGATTTTTATTATAATATATGTGGTTTCTAGTTCAAATATATAATCGAGATTCGAAATGCTATCTAATTAAGAGTAAATATTGATACATTTGTGTAAATATTTTAATAATTTTGTCAAGAATTTTTGTTTATATGCTTATCGATACCATGAATTCCTTTATTTAAAAAAATTTGACACAAGTAAACAAAAAAAATTAACTTTTTATATTGAAACATATAGTGATTGCAGCTTATTTAAAATGATTTGTGGTTATACTAATAGATTATAATTATTAAATTTAAATGATAATTAAAAAATGTTTTGAAAAAAAGCAATTCATAAAAATGGTTCATTATGGATGTATTTTGTTTTTAATCTTAAAAAATTATAATAATTATATTTGCTAAGATGAGTCATTAATGACTACAATGTTGTATTTAGCTACAAACTTTATAAATAAATTATTGATAAAATTTTAAATAATTGTATAGAGATGATCTGTATTTAAATAAAGTATATATGAATCATGACTTATAATTAAATTAAATATGAAGTTTCATATCTCAGCTTATTAATAAATTTCTAAAAAGCAAATTATAAAATTTTAATTATATTAATACTATATATGCTAGAACTGAAAATGAAAAGATGAAATTATATAAAATTTGATTTCACTGGTATATATTAAAAAAAATTTCACTGGTATATATTTATTATCATATTTTATATATTAATTGAATTTTATATATAATTTTACAATTGAAAAAGTTTTAATATTTAATAAAATGCATAATTTAATTTTGTTAATTTTAATTTCAATCCTTTAAATGAATATTTAAATTAGTGACTATGTAATAATTATAACTTTGTATAAGTATAATCATTCTTCAATTTTTATCAATTTAATGTTTTTTTATCATAATGGCTTTTAATTTAATTTTTAAATTTCTAAAATTGGATCATCAACTTACATTTCCATTTTAATAGTAATACATTTTTTAAAGTTTGGTTTTTGTTCAAAATTTTTATATATGATTTCAATTTGTAATATGATTTTTTATTTTGATTATACATTGCATGCAATAAATTATATTTGAATTTTAAGTCTTATTAAAAAATTTCAATATTGATTAATGTATATCCTCATAATCTTTATGTATAATAAATGTTAAATTACAAAGTTTACCACATCGAATATATTTTCTATATATTTTCTATTTTTAAGATAATCAAACAATAATTGTTAAGAATTTTATATTGAAGAAGTTAAAATGAATTTTTTTTTGTATTTAAACAGTATTACTTTTTTTTTAAATAGTAATATATGTAATATAAATTTATGAATTAAATACATCTCATTATTAATTTAGTTTACTATATTTAGTATTTGTTCCTTTATCACTTATAAAAAATGAACATAAAATGTATTCAAATACATATAGTATTTCAATAATATCAGCAAAATATAATTTTACATAGATTATTTCTGTAAAATAATTCATATTCTTTCTGATTTTATTTTTAATTAATTTTAAAACTGACGAATATATAATATGAATCTATAAGTATATTAATATTTGAAATCTGAATATTAATACAGTATTAACTTTAATTTTTAATATAATTATTTTTATTACTTTAAATGTTTTAATTAATTATTACGTTTCAATATTAGCTATATCTTTAATGAAGCAAAGTTTGATTATTAAAAAACAATAAACTATTTTAAAAATTCTTTAATTATTTTTTACTTTTATTATCTATTTTGCATGTATGAACGTCTATACAGCTAAACATATAATTTGCAATTTAAATATTTACTTATTAGAGTCAATTATAATAATTTATTGAAAATTATAATAGAATAAACAATCTTAAAATTTTATTCAAAATAAAAATCTATTGAATTCATTGTTGTATTAGTTAACGACAATTGCTAGATTTCATTATTTAATATTTATTGATATTAATTTATTTTAAATAGAAATTTAAATTCAAAATATTTAAGTGACATCTAGTGTTATTATTAGTAACTGATAAGACAAGGCCGCAAACTATCTATTTTAATAAATGAAACTTCGTATGAATATTTATGTGTTCGGTACTGAAATTTATAATTTTATTTTTATATAAGTTAGTTTAACCAGTGAGTGATGAGTACTCGTTGAAAATTGTTTTTGTAATATTTGATTACTATTATATTTTGTAATAAGTAATATTTATTATGTTTTACAATAGTAAATTTTAATACACATAGTTTAGGATATTTTAAAGTAAAAATATTTTTGAATATATTTATTTTTGGAAACTGATCTTTAATAATTTCCCATAAAACAAATCAATTCCATGAATTACTGCAGTTGAAATGCTATATGTTAGTTTGTATTTATTGAAATGATTGCTATTGCACGACTAATAACTGATTCGGCAAGAAATTTTTGAATCATTTTGTATAGAATCGGAATTTAGATGTTTTCAGTATGAGGTATGTTTATCAGTAATTATTTTAATGATGATTTTTTTATTGATTTTAGTAACATTCTTATCAGTAAATATTTAAAAATTACGTGTTCTGACGTGTCAAATTGACGTAATTAATATTGAAGTAATGGCAGTTTGGTAGAATGTCCACGTATATATTGGCGTGTAATCAAACAAATCGCAAATTGTCGACTATGTAATATGAAACAAGATACATAAAAAAACTTTTGAAAAAATGAAGATAGCATATGTTGCAACAACTTTTTTATTAGCATGGATAGTGCAAGTCAAGGCAGAGACAGATAATGAAGTAAAGTTAGAACAGAAGCAGAAAGATGTTAGCAGTGTTAATCCACAATCTGAGTCTAAACAAGATACTGATGAAGATATTGCTACAGAAGATTTAGTTTCTATTATTGAACATCTAAAAGAAATGAATGCTCTTGGTAATACAATTATATCATTACTACCACCAGTAGATCCTTATATAAAGAACAAAGATGTTAAACAGCATAAAGATAACCAAAATGAGAATTATCCAATTAAAGAAGCAGTAAATTTTTTGATGAAAACAGCAGTAACAGAAACAAAGAATGTAAATAATATTGAAACTTCTGGACAAACTTTGTTGATAAAAGAAGAGGAAACAGAAGAATGGAATGGTGAGAAATCAGATGATAATGTTTTTGAAAAAAATCCAGAATCAATGACAAGAGAAGAAAAAGAAGGTGTGTATTTAAACATATATATATATATATATATATACACATATTTATTTATATATCGCTACAGTATTTTTCAAATTTATAAATATAGAATTTATGCAAGGTATAAAATCTATTTATTTTAAATAATATAAATTTCAAAATAGAAATTCAAAGCTTATTTTATTATTTTCTATTATTTTATTTTTATTGTAAAATAATTACTTATTTAAATTTAATGTATATACATGTAAAATATATTATTTTTCATGAATTTTCATTTATTATTATAGCGGAAAATTTATTTGAAGAAGCCAAAAGTTTATTAAATGCAACTCATGCAAATAAAGCTTTAGCATATAAATTGCTTACTGGTGCAGCAATATTAGGTCATAAAGAAGCTCGTTCTATGCTAGCTTGGGCCAAGTTACTAGGAACTCATATTGGTTTTTCTTCATCACGATCATCTAGTCAAGATATAGTACTTGCTGTACAAAAATTTGAAGAACTTGTTCTAACTGGATTGCCTTCTGCTCATATGGTACTTTATTTTTAAAATTAAATAATTATTTTTATGAAAATGTCAAATATTAAATGCATAAAATTATCTCAATATGTCTATGATCAATATTTAAAAAAATCTTAATAATTATTAAAATTTATTGAAATAATTATAAAAATGAAAATATTAAAAAATTGAAATAAAAAGTTCTTTGTATTTTTAGAATAATTAAATTATTCAAACTTAATTTAGGAACGTAAAAATTTTAGGGCATTGGATTTTTATATGCAACAGGACTAAGTGGTGTAAATGCATCACAAGCTAAGGCTCTTTTACATTATACAGCAGCAGCTCTTGGGGGAGATATTCGTGCACAAATGGTCATGGGTTATCGATATTGGGCAGGAATAACTACTCAAGCATCCTGTGAAAATGCTTTGGATTTTTATCGTAAAGTGGCTAACAAGGTTGCTGAAGATGTATCATTAAGTGGTGGTCCAGTTGTGCAACGTGTGCGTCTTCTTGATGAACATGAAAATCCTAATTACAGTTCTGGAATTTTCGATCAAGATTTAATAGAGTATTACCAGTTACTTGCTGAAAAAGGTGATATACAAGCTCAAGTTGGTTTAGGTCAACTTCATTATCAAGGTGGAAGAGGTGTTCCTATTGATCATCAACGAGCTCTTCACTATTTTCAAAATGCTGCTGATGCTGGTAATCCAGTTGCAATGGCCTTTTTAGGCAAGGTGAGTTTTTTAATTTAAAAATTTAAGTAGCTACTTTTTGTATTTGATTACGTTTTAATAATATAAACATTTTGCTTAGAATATATTTTACTAGCACTTTTTTTATTTCTAATAAAGTACTCTTGCTTTACATACAGTTTAAAGTAGATTTTTTTGTATTTTAATGTAATATTTTTTTACCAAATGTTTGAATACTAAAAATATTTAATTTAGATTGAAAACATAAAATTAATTAAAAATGATATTGATAGCATTTTATGAACTTATATGAATGTGAAAGTTTATTTTGGTATTCATATAATAGAAGTCTGTAATTTTTTATTTAGATTTATTTAGAAGGCAGTGACATTGTCAAGCAAGATAATGAAACTGCTTATAAGTACTTTAAAAAGGCTGCAGAATTAGGTAATCCAGTTGGCCAAAGTGGACTTGGTATAATGTACTTGTATGGAAGAGGTGTTGAAAGAGATCCAACAATAGCACTTCAGTACTTCAACCAAGCAGCAGAACAAGGATGGGTAGATGGACAATTGCAACTTGGAAATATGTATTTTAGTATGTATTATTTTAATTAGTGATAACAAATTTATTTAATTTTTATACAAGATTTTCCTTTTTATTTTTAAAAGTAAATGTTATTAAATTTATTTATAATAAAGGCGTAAAGAAAAGACTGGTAATCAGATAATATAAATGTATAATCTAAAATTAATCCAATTTTAATGCCTAAGTTCTTTAGAAAACAGAAGTAATTTTTTAAATATAATAAAAATTTTGTAATTAATTAAACATGTGTAGTATATTCTATATTTTGGAGAATATTTTATAATTGGTAATATTATCTGTAATAAATTAATAAATTTCAATTAGTACTTTAATCATTGATAAAACTTATTATGTAATGTCTGATATGATAAATATGATTATATATATAAAAATATTTCGTTAATAATATCTGTAATATAAGTAAACAGTCATTTTTAAATAGCGAGTATGGTACATTTTTAGTATTTCTTTTTAGGTGGAACAGGTGTAAGACGTGATTATAAATTAGCTAACAAATATTATAATTTAGCAAGTCAATCCGGTCATGTGTTAGCTTTCTATAATCTGGCACAAATGCATGCAACTGGTACTGGTATGATGCGTAGTTGCTCGGCGGCGGTGGAACTACTAAAAAATGTTGCCGAACGGGGCAAGTGGAGTGACCAATTAATGACTGCCCACGCTGATTATAGAGAGGGTCGAGTGAATGAAGCTTTCGTTACTTATTATCTTTTAGCTGAGATGGGATATGAAGTGGCTCAAAGCAATGCAGCTTTCATATTAGACAGAGGTGAAACGAATATTCTCTCAGAGGAACAAGGACTCATTCGAGCTTTATCGCTCTGGGCACGAGCTGCTGCTCAAGGATACTCTGTTGCTCAAGTATTTGTTTATTTATTTATTTTTCATTTTTATGAAAAGATTTCATTGTTAATATAATAATTGTTTGGTGAATATCTTTAATTTCATTTAATTATACAATTCAGTTGTATATTTCTAATTATTATAACTTAATGAAAAATAGTAAATATTTTGTTGAATTTTTCACAATTAAATTTATCTACAAAAATTAATCTTATATATAGTAATAATTTGGAGTTAAGTACTACTTTCATGAATAAAAGTTCTATTTATTATTTTAATGTATCAAATATAATTAAAGACAATGAATAACATTTAATATTATCTACATTAAATTATTTAATTATATTGTAGGTGAAGCTTGGTGATGCTCATTACTATGGTAGAGGTACAAAAGTTGATTATGATCTTGCAGCAAGTCATTATCGATCAGCCTCAGAGCAACAACATAATGCTCAAGCGATGTTTAATCTCGGTTACATGCATGAATGTGGGCTCGGTTTGACAAAAGATCGACATCTTGCTAAACGCTGTTATGACCTTGCGGCTGAAGCTAGCCCTGACGCTCGCATACCAGTGGCTCTTGCTCTTGTTAAACTCTTTATTCTGTTTGGTATCGATTATTTGCAAGGGTTAAGTGCGTTCAAACAGTTAAGTACGTGGGATGAGTCGTTCGTTCAAAATTGGGACCTGTACCTTATTGGCATTTTTTTTGGTTTGCTTGGCTTCGTTATTTATTTTAGAAGACTTCAATATTCGGAACAAAGGCGGGTAGCTCCTATAAACTAAATGCTGCACAAAAACTAGTAGAAGCAAGTATATCCATTAATAAATACAAGCTTAAAGAGCCAAGTTAACACCAAACATAGGATCAGTTTTTTAGTTTTTTAAATGAAACGTATACATTTATAGAAAGTATTGTCAATCTAGAATTTTTAGAGAATCAAAGACAAAAGTTTATTGATTTTGAATATAGCAAATTACTTTTTTTGTGTAATTAAGAATTCAATTTAAAAAATAGATGATTAAAATTATATTGTATAACAAACATATTTGATTTATATCTTTCCTATTTTATTAATTTATATATTAAGCTGCTTTTATTAAGCTTTATTAAATTCGTATCAAATCAAATTGAACTGTTTTATTGGATTCTAGTTATCAAAAATAAAAATTTTCTGAATTTATATGTGAAACAAATAGATATTTGTAATACATAAATGTTTGGAAGTTGTTAATTTCAAATTTAGCATTACTTGGTAATTATGTTAATGATAATAATTAAATATAATATTAATTTTCTATAATTCCTGATTACAAATTTTTGTTAACATTTTTTCCAATATAGATATATCTAATTAAATACAAATAATCTCAAATAATAAAAATTATAAAATATTTATTATCATTGCTATTAAAATAAATTTATTGTTTTTATTTCAGTTATATCGATTCTTTGTATTGTATTATGCACATTCTTTGTAAAAAAACTTTGTTAATTCATAAAATAAATAAGATTCTTAAATTTAAATTAAAGTTTTTTTAAGATTATGTATAAGTTATTAATAATAATTCATTGTTGTTTCTATATTTATTTTAAATACATTGTACAAATGTAAATAAAATGAATATAGATCATTAAATATAATATTATTTTCTATTAGATTTTGTATTTATTTTATCGCAAATATATTTAAAAGTACATATGTGATAAAATAAAATCTTTAAATAAACATTTTTATATTAAAAATAAATGCATATAGCTGTATATTCGAAAAATATCACTTTTAAAATTTATTTTTTGGAATTTGTTATAAAAAAGTGGAATCATTTTTAGAATATTTTAATGTACTGTTGTGTCATTTCCATGACAACTGGTAGTATTGAATATAACAAATATTTAGAATACAAAATCTAACAATTTTAAATCGTGTATATAAAATTTTTTATATTCTAGAATTTTAAAATGTATTTCTTATTTATTTTTTAATTATTGAGCCTTAAACAAAAATTAACAGGTTTTCTCAAAAATATGAAGAAAAAAGGAAAAAAGGATAAACAACGAAAAAAGAATTTCCTCAGTGAATTAGAAATAGAGATTTATGAACAACAAATTGTTGATAGCAATAGGCAATTGGCAAGGTATATATTATTTTAAAAAATTAATTTTTCTATTTATTTATATATAAAAGTTATATGTTATAAAATAAAATAAAATTGAATTTAACGAAATAATATGTATTAAAATAATTTGTAAAAAAAATGATAAAATGTAAAGTATTTTAATTTGAAGATATAAATTCATTTAATTTATATATTTTGAAAATCAAATGATCGAAATGTTAGATTTTACATATATAAATAAATTCACTTATATATATAATTAAGTTAAAGCTGGTAAAAAAATACATATACTTAAAAGAAAAGAAACTTTATAATATATTTTTTATAAATAACTTTTATTTTATACAAGTCTACTTTTTATGTCTATATATTTAGAATTCAATATGCTCTTTAGATTTTATATTAAAAAAGAGTTTTTGTTTTTAACAAATATAAATTCATTTGCATTTGCAATAATGTATCCATTTAAGTTTGTTTCTACTTATGAAAATGCTTAATTAATAATATTCTGTAGATAAATTAAAATCTTAGGAATACATTATTAATTATTACAAAAAATTTGTATATGTAATCGAGAGCAACAGTTATTTGTAAAGAAAAAAATATTTAGATTACGAACTCATAATGAAGAATTAGAAAGAAAAGTGGAAAGTATCGAGAAGAAGCTAAAGGAGTTAGAAGAAAATAAAGCTGATTTGACATCACATTTACAGCAAGTACTACAAAAAAAAACAGAGGAAGCTCAGGAACTTCATGAGAGACTGATATCATTAGACAAAATACATAATGAAGAACAGCAACATTTTAAAAAAAAAGAAGAATTATTGGAAAATGAATTTCAGACTATGGAACATAATTTAATTGCAGAAGTTAAACTTGCTGGTAAAATAATTGTAGGATATAAAACAAAAAATATCGACTTATTATTCATTACATATTTTATATAATTTATATTTATTTAGAATTTTTATTTATTTAGGATTGGTAGGAAAAGTTATCAGAGTTTTTATTAGGATAATTTTTTAAGATTTTCTTAAGATAATTTTATTTATTATTTAAATATTTTTTTAATATTGATTTTATAAATATAAATAAATAAATAAATATATATATATATATATGAAATATTATTAACATATATTTAGCTGGAAAACTAAGTGCTTTAGAAGAATGGCGACTTAATCGTATTGATTTAATGACCAAATTTGAAGAACAAGAAAAAAATGTAAAAGAGCAGGAAATTCGTCATAAAAACATTCTTTATGAAGCTGAAAAAAGATTTATAATTGGTAAAGCAAGGTATTTATGTAATAATATATGTATCATTTATATGATTTTTGTATTAAGTCTAATATAATTAAAAAAAATATTTAAAAAATATGAATGTTATAATAATTCTTACACTGCATATAAATATGTTCTGATTTTTTTAACAAAAATTTTATCAATACTTTTGTACATAATTTAAAAATAAAGTAGTATAGAGATTCAAGTTGTTTCTAATAGCAAGCTTTTAGAATTGCTTATTTGAATAAATATGTATGAAAAGGTACAAATGGAATATTAACTTAATAACTTTCTATATGTTTTTGATCAATAAGTATTATTTATGATTAGTTAAAATAATATCTTCTAAGTTTATTTTAATTCTATTGATAGATATATTTATTAATAATGCAATAACATTTAAAAATAAAATTCTATTTTACAATTGACCAAATATTTTACAGTAAAATATTTTTTAGTATTGAAAATAAAGAAGTAAAGTTGATGAAGTTTAAAGACTGTTATTATGTATTTAATATATATATTCATATGCAATAAACATAAATCATAAATTTAATTATAAAAATGAAATATATTGTTATTATTCTGCATATAAGTAAATTGTTAAGAAATCGCATGTTTATCTCTATATTTACGTTCATATTAAATTATAAAATTATTTATAAGTAAAAAGTTCAATTTTAAATTTAAATAGAAGAATAAAAATAAAAAATTTATAATTAATCAATAAAGAATATACATTTATAAATGAAAGACGCATAATAATATGTTAATATTTTCATGTACATACTATACGGAGTATAATATGTAACAGTGTTTAATGAAACAGAATGCAGAATGAGCTGGATAACCGTCTAACAGAATTGTCGAAGAGTTTTCGATCTGCGACAGCATTGCGGTTAGCAAACACATCTCAACGTGCTATTTATGAGAATATATCGTTACATCAAGAGCTCAATCGTCTGCTAGGTCAATGTCGCATTCTTGACATCGCTGTGCAGAATTACAAGGAGCGCGAGCGCATCTGGCGACTTCATTCTTTGTTGTATGAGGCTGAATCCTGCTTCGCACTTGAAAAGGTTTATAAATTTCTATTTGTATACCTTATATATCTTTTCTATATTGTCTTAAGCAATTTTATCGATCTCAACTCATAAAATTCTCCAAAAAAGATAATTTAATGCAATTTCAAAATGAATTTGATTTTAAATTATTTACAATAGTTAGATAATAATAAATATAAATTATTTAAAAGCCTCAGGATCAATTAAAAAAAAGAATTTGATAAAATAATTTTCATTAAAAATCTGTAACCCGATGAAAAAGTCCTTTCTGTTATTACTAAAAAAATTAAGTGCTTAACAAATTTGAAAAATTACTCTCATTCATAATAAAATTAATTGCCTTTGATATTTGATAAGCTTATCTTTTAATAATATTTCAAGTCAATATAATGGAAATATAATTTAAAATGAACAGGTTGCAAGGCAGAATCGCAATATTGAATATTTAGCAATAGAGCATGAGCGCATGAGTCGAGTTATTGGAAGGATATGCAGGAGTGAGAAATACATATTGCATGGTGATAAAATACTCGAGAAGGCAAAACAGAGTTGTAATGAAGCACAAAACAAAATCCGATTCCTTGAACAAAGTATCGAGCTTAGTCAGGATAGTAGAGAGGGCTCCATGAAAAAAGTCTTTGACAATTGCCAGGAAATTCAAAAACTCAGTAGTATACTCTTCAATGTTAAGGAGACTATTGAACAAATTCTATTGGTATTTTTATCGATCTATAATTATTTTTGTTGCAATTTTTTGTTTTTCACTAAAATTTTAGTTAAGATCACACTTTAATCATCAAGATTTTAATTCATTATCATTAATTAATTTATTCTATGTAATGCTTATAGTTAAGGTACATATGCTTTCTTTTTTAGGAGCAAACTAAACTAACATGCACAGACAATGATTCCTGTTCCACACATTTCATTAATATAAAAGAAAAGTTTCTTCATTTGCTTCTTGATATGATGAAAAGTTATCAAGAGCAAGCTGTTGAAGATATAGAAGAAATAGAAGTAAGGCAAATTTATAATAATTGTAATGTAAGTTGACATTCAATTTATATGACAATATGTAGTCTGTAATCAAATTTTATTTTGTTATAGTACAAGCCAATTGATAATTTATATGAACTTGGAAATTTGGGTTTAATACCAACTTCATTGGGTATAAATGCATAAAATATAAATAAAATTGACATTTAGAAAAATATCAATACAAAAAGCTTGATTAAATAGAAAAGCAAGATAACAACTTTCAACAATTCTGTAATTAAATTTCAATATTCATGTTCTTGACAATATTATATCAAAAGTGTTTTGTATACTTTGTTTAATAATTTGCTTCATTATTAATGTAAATTTATAACACAAACATAAAATATATTATTTGTATGTATTGTGCATTAATTTGTGTAAATAAATAAATAAATATTAAAAATATGAGAATTTAGCATAAATTGTAAATCTTATTTTATTCATAATAATATAAATTAGTAAATATATTTATAAATAGCAAAAAATTGGAGATTAAATATTTTCCTACCTTATTAATAAAATAACTTACGTAAGATTAATTATAAAATTTATTACTATTAATCATAAAGTTTATGCAATTATTTTAAAAATATCCATAAATGTTTTGAAAAAACAAAATATTGAATTTTTAATTTATTTCGTATTAATAAACAAATGAAAAGCAGCAAGATTTAAAAATTTGTTAAAACAAGAATTTTATATTAAATTTCAAAAAATAAACAGTTTTATTATTTACAGTATAAAATCTGTACGAACTAAATTTTGAGCATGAATGATTTACAAGAACAAAGTAAAATAATTAGTTTTCTTCCTGAACGATTACAATTTTTAGGAAATGATGATTATAAAAATCATTTTGAACCAATTATAAATATGCAAAAAGCTGTATATAAAGTATACATTAATGATCTTAAACGTCGAATTGAAAGGTAATTTTTTAAAAAGCTTTAGTGTAATATTTATTCTAAAGTATAATAATAATATAATAGTGTTTAAATATTGTAATAATTAAGGATTTAAGTAGCAATAAAAAATAAGTGCGAATATTAAAATACTTCAAAATATAATGTTGAATGTTAACTGTACATTATCTTAATTTATTATTCAATAAATTGTTACAAATTAAAAAGTATACAGTATATATAGCAAATTCAGTAGTATCTAATTAAAAATTTCATTTATTAATGTTATATGGTATTACATACAAAATTTATATAATAATGTATGCTTACTAATATCTTATCATATGTATAGTTTTTTACATAATTATATTATAAATTTTAAACGAATTTTATAATTAATAATCTAAACATTTATTCTTAAAAAAATCTATAGTATGAAATTAGTTTTTTATTTTTTATGATCAAATTAATATAAAAAGAAAAATACATTTTACATCAATTATTAAAGAAGTCATAACTTTAATAGTTTATTATACAATTTATATTTAGCATATAAAGTAATTTATATATGCACTTGTATACAAATTTGTTTTTATTCATTTATTATATTTATATAATATTGAATTTATAACAGAACATTCATTTATTCGTTTATTTAAAAACTGCATTTAAACAAAATGATTTGTTATTATATTTGTGGTAATTAGTGCAATACTCATTTATTAACATTTTTATTAACTATACATTATGAAAAAAGTTATTTTTACAATATTTACTACTACATATATTTGGATTAAATTATAGGTTTCAAAGAAGAAATGAACAAATAAAAAAATATTGTGAATATGTAACAAATAAGTATAAAAATAAAGGTATTGAAGTTCAAAATGAATTTGTTACAATAAATGTAGGCATCTCTACTGAAATTAACAAAATACATGAAAATAAAAAAAAATTTGCTAAGCTGGAAACATTTCGACAAAAGCATAAATTTGATCACTACAAGAAAGTAAAACATTTAACAGAAAATTTCCAAAATAGACGAGTCGAACTTTATACACAAATCAAAGAATTAAGTAAATTGTAAAATTTAATAAAACTGCTGTTTTATTTTAATATAAATTTGAATATAAATATCCTTATTAATATATTATTTTGATATTTTTTAAATGTAAAACTTAAGTATAATTCTTTTAATTATATTGTAATTTAATACAATACAATATAAAATTTGCTTCAATTTAGATGCTAAAATCAATACGATAGAAGATTTTAAATTGACAGATGAAAATTTAAGATCAAAGTATAATAAAAAAAATCAATCTATTTACCAAGAGGAAAAATATATGCAGGAAATATTAAATGATATAGAATACAAATTAAAATTTCATAATGAAAAGTTGTGTAGATATTGAAAATATAACCTTCATGTTATTTATATTTATATTTATATAAAAATAATTTTATTATATATTATGTTTTAGTTTGAAAAAAAAAACTTACAAAAAAATATTAAATTTATCTAATACATTTCAATTTGAATTAAAATTTGCCATACCTCAAACTATACAACGACTATTGAAGGAAAATATTGTTCTTAAAAATGAATTATTTCAATTACAAAATGATCATAATAATATGGTAGAGAAAATATTAATTCATAAGTATGTAATATATATTTTATAGATATAAAATGATTATTTAATTTTAAATTATTAGTTACCAATTAAAATTTGTTAATTCATACTTATATCATCTTTTTTATATATGACACATTTTATGTTCATTATATATATAATATAAAAAAATCTATTTTTATTACAAAACATATATAATAAGTGGATTTTTATAAAAGATTAAGATTTACTTTTAAAATTTTAATTTTTTTATACAAATAATATTTTATATATATTAACTAACCGATTCTATTTAATACCTTATAATTTTTGTAAATTAAATTTTCTGGATATTTTAGACATGAAATTATTTAAAGAAATTTGTAAATTTTTAACATTTTAATATATTATCATATATAATATAAAGACATAAATATTAATTGAATGCCATAGAAATCATACAAAGGAATCTAAACAAAAAATTAAAGAAAATAAAAATACCACAAAATGTCAAATAATTACTTCAAAAATACAAAATTTATTGTTGAAAAAACTGAGGAGTACATATTCTATAGTAAAAGAAGTATTGTGTAAATCATTTAAAACACCTGATAATTATGAAAACACGTACTTAAAACAGTTAGAAGATTTACAACATTCTGTATATTACAATTGGGATTTTTGTAGAAGATTGGAAGTTATACTTCACCAAGAAATAATTAAACTTGGATTAACAAATATTTTAAAATTCAAAATATTATTTACTTTAAAAAATCTTGTAAATGCATTACATAATTTAAAAAATTATATAAATTCTACTCTTTTGGTAATTAATATTTTTTTAAAATTATAGTTAACTTATATATAGATTATGTAAACGTTTTAGATAAATAATATATAATTTGATTTTGAACTAAATCATTTTGTATAAGACCAAAAATCTTTGAACTCATTTGTAATAAATTCATTTGTAACTCAATTTTATTTCAGCACTGATTATTAATAAAATAAATATTCAATTAACATTGAGAAAGTAATATCAAATAAAAACATTTGATTGTATATAATATATTTTGAATATGGTAAAAGAATGCTGTCTAACTAGTTTACTATTAGATAATCTATTTGTTTTTATAAAATCATATAAATATACATAAGTATTTTTATACTATGCACATAATTAAAAAGAAAATATTTACAATAAATATAAAATTTATAGATTACTTCAGACAATGTTGAAGATTTTAGAAAACTAAACTTGGAAACTTTTTCATTTTATTTACTGAATCTAATTGAAAACTGTAATTCGAAGAAATGGATTTTTCACTCAGAATCGTAAGTATTTCTAAAGATTTTAAATTACGATATTTGAAGTAAACTATAATAATAAAATGAACTTTTTGCATTATTAATATACACTTAATAACATCACTAAGAATAGAATAATATTAAATAACATTATAATTTAAAATTTTTATTTACAGTGTTGAAACTGTAGTAGATGTTACAAATATTTATGCTACTGGTGATTTAAATTTTGAACCTACACACATTCAACTAGATAAAATTAATGAAAAAACTGATAAGACTTATTCTGCATTAACAAATAGTGCTTCCTCAATTTTTAAACAATTTGATAAGTTATCAGAAAATTTGATTGAAGTACTAATGAAATTTCTATTTTATTTTTTTTAATTTTATAAAATTTACTATTATTTAATAGTATGTATATATTTTTTCTTTTTGTTTAAGCCTGATGGTTCGTTTTTAAGTCAAAAGACTTCACATGACATTGGTAGTATTAGTACTTTTGGTCACAATACAACTACAAGCCAAAGTTATATAAGCAGAAGAGAAACTATAAATTACACTAACCAAAAGAATATAGAAACAATAATAGATATTATATCAGAAAATGAGGAAGGTGAATTAGGATATGATTTAGAAGATAAATATGAGGATTATTTAGATTAAAAATAATTTTAATTATAAATTATTTTTATTTAAAATTCGATACCATTATCACATGTATATATACTTATTTTGTAGAATCTTCCAAATTTATTTTGTGATCAGGTTTCATAAATTTTTTAACTTTAGCTTTATTTTGTTTTCTGAAATTTAATATAAGAGGTTAAAATAAGTTATTAATTTATTATTTTCATATCTAATTAATACTTACAATACAAGTCTACCAGGAGCAATAATATTTCTTTGTTGAAGAGATTTATATCTTTCTTTTAATAAGCTACCGATAGGTTGAGTACACCATAAATTGCCTGACAATTCTTGTTCTATTTGAAATTCTTGTTCTAAAGGTTCAAACTTGTTTTTACTTAATATCTTTGGCTCAAGTTGTCTTTTAGCTTTCATTTTTAATCTTTTTTCATGTAAGAATTTTTCTTTTTTTTTAGTTTTAATAATCTGATTTTTTAAATTATTAAGATGATAAATATCTACTATTTTTTTCTTTTCAACCTTTTGTTTTAACTGTTGTTGTTGTAAGTTTTGTTGTTCTTTTTGTCTACGGCGTTGTATTAAAGATTTTTTTGAATTTTTTATAGGATTATTAATAGATTGAATATTTTGCTCACTATCTTCATTATTTATAAGATTATTAATAGATTGAATATTTTGCTCACTGTTTTCATTATGTGTAATATAATTTTTCCCCTTATCAATACATAGTCCTTCAGACATTTCACTCAAATCATTATCATTTGTTTGCTTTAATATATTTTAAAAATTATAATGGAATAGATTAGTTATAATTAAAAATAAACTTTTTATATATAAAAATTAATTACCTTATGAAACACTTTTTTTGTTACTCTACTTAAATGTTTCTCTTCTTTTATTAATTTCATTTCTTCCATTGCTATTTGAAGAAGTAAATTTTTATGGTCAATGTAGGATGGATTATAAGAAGTACCAGGATGTGGCATAATAATTGAAGGCAAAAGAGATTTCTTGTATAATGAAATTGGTATTCTTTTTTGCCTTTCACCTGAATTTCTTAATAAGTGTTTTCTGGTATTATTATTAAGCCATCCATTTTTAAAATCAAATTCAATAGATTTTTCTTTCCAAATATCAATATTAAATTCATCCCTCTTGGGTTTATTTATTTGAATTGATAATTCATTTTGTATTAATATTTTATCTTTTAAATTCAACTGATTCTTTAATTGCTTGAATATATAATTTTTCTTTTTCTCTTTAGTTTTAACACAGTTTCTTTTTACAATCGGATCTGGAACTGCTGTAAATGATTTTAAAATAGCAAAACAATTTGGTTCTAAATTGTTTAATAACTCCCTATATTGTGATTTAGTTAAATTATTATTTTTAATAGGATTATAAGTGTTTCTGTTTTTGTCAACAGTAAATAATTCCTCATTTTTTTTATGAGAAAATAGGTTCCCTAATCTTTCTTCTAATCTTAAATTATCTAGAAAATTATCAACATCTTTTATATCTGCATGTTTTCTCCAAGATTTTTTTGTTTTTTTTGACCTTTTATGTTTTTTACATACTGAATCCAACATTTTATAAAAATTAACAAGTTTTGTTTAATTTTTTCAGAACAATCTACAATAAAAAGAATTGGGAATGATTATATATACTATAAATGATAATAATACTAAAAATTCTTTTTTGGTTAAATTTTTTTTTATATTATCCAATAAAAAATATTTTTTAACAATATTTGAAATTACTTACCGAATAATCAAAATAGTTTTCTAAATATGAAATAAAAGTTAGGTTATTTGACAAATATGACTATATTCTTTTTCATTCCAAAGATTTTTTTCACTTTTTTTATCTCTGGTATTAATTTTTGTACAAATATTGGTACTCTATATAAGACAGAAGCTAGGGATTTTAATAGTATTAGGAGTAGCAGTGTTGTCATGTTTCTATTTTTCTATTTTTTATAAAGTATATTCAGAAGTGAAATAATTTTATAATATAATATAATATATTTTATAATATATTTTTTAGGTAAAAATTTTACTTATATCGGCACTATGGAATTTATATTTTAAATGCAGATTCTGTATATACTGATGTATTAATTATTCGTTAAAATAACGAATTTTGTAATAAAATTTTTATAATGCAAAAACAAATTAAATGTTGTTATGGGCATATGTAAAAATATGTATATTCATTTTTACAATTTAAAATAAAATAATCATAGTGATTTTACATAAATATATTAAATAACTAAAATAAGTTAGTAAATTATATATTACGTATAAAATATGTTAAATTTGTATCAAATAAAATAATTTAGTATAAGATATTAATAGAAAAAATTTTATTTTTTGAATTTGGATACTAATGTGTAAATCCAATAATACAATATGGCGTCCCTTGTGATTATTACTTGACAACATTGTAAGAGTGTTTAGACATTTTGGATAAAGGTGAAGGTTGATAATATATCAATAATTTTAATATTATTCCATTTAAAATTTTTGAGAATGAGTGATGATGATCGGGACATTGATATCGAGAGTGATGTAAGTTAATTTTTTAAATAAAATAGTGTGAGATTGAAATATAATTAATAGTAAGAATTATAGTAACTATAAAATAATGTTGGTGTTTGTTTATCTGTTAATAGGAGGGTGACGATTCCGATTCAAGGCAAAGGCATTCTAATAATCAACAATACTTCTCGCAGGTATTTATTATGTTATTTATTTTTATATAATAAATTAAAAATCAGTTTTCAGACAAATTCTTATTTACAGGCTGAAAAACGAGCTCACCATAATGCTCTTGAAAGGAAACGCAGAGACCACATTAAGGACAGTTTCTCAAGTTTACGAGACTCGGTACCTTCACTGCAAGGCGAAAAAGTTGCAAGTAGAGCACAAATTCTTAAGAAAGCAGCTGAATATATACAGTTTATGCGCCGAAAGAATACTTCTCATCAACAAGATATTGATGATTTGAAACGTCAAAATAACCTTCTAGAATCACAAAGTAATTTATTAATTATATGGTAGCTGTGCATAAGGATTTTTAATATTTTAATATAAAGAAAATATAATTATTTATGGATAATCTTATTATATGTGTTTGGTTACATTTACATTATTATTATTTTGAGGTATTTCTTACTATATAAATCATAACATGTTTATTTTGTTAAAGTACATCTTACTTTTTTCTATTTATATATATATATATATATATATACATACTAAGTTAAATCAATGAATTATTTTGATATATTAAATTATATTTATATTGAAAAATAAAATATTGATAATTTGCTAATTAAAGTATAATTTGATTATATTGAACTATAAAATTCCATATTACACAGCTTGCTATACAATATTTTATTTTTTCTATATATTTATTAATTACTTATGTTAGATTCTTTTTTTCACAAAGTACGCACTTTAGAGAAAGCAAAAATTACCGGACACTTTGCTGCTGAATCTTGTGAAGTTTCCAAATCTGATTCTATGGGAATTGGAAATTATAATGATTCAGAATCAGAATCATCAGATAGTGAAACTGGAAGAACTATACGTCATCCGAAGAAATTAAAAGTTGCAGGTCTACATCATTGATTAACTAGCGATCTGGTACACAAATTTTGTTTTGTGTATTTGACTTGAAACATTATTTTCCTAAATTGATCAACTCATTGTAAGTAATATTAACATACGTATATCATGTAAATGAATGTAAGGTAGGTACTTATTTAAATTAAACGAATGCTAGATTCATTATCAATATGAAAAATGTCAAATAAGTTATACCAAATTGTTTATAAGTCCTAGTAAATACTAAGTATTAGTTTTCACTTTTTATGAGTAAAATAGATTTCATGTTGATTTAGCAAATAAACATGAATTGTGTAATCATCAGATATTAATTGTTTATCTGATGTGTAGTACCTGTGCATTCTTCTATGAAAAAAGCGACTTAGGTAATAAAAAATTTATCGTAATAATTTAACTTTATTATATTCAAATTAAAAATTGTTTATATTATAAAAAATATATTCATTATTTTATCATAACAGTGTTTTTTTAATGTTTTTAAAAACATTCTAAATTATATAATATCGAATAGTATTGTTTTTTTTGTATATAACAATAATTATCATCAATTAAAATCCAAATTTTAATAGAAAATAATGAAAATTTAAAAAAATATGATATTACATCATTTTTAATTTTTGTATTTCTTTAATATTGTCAATGAAAAAAAAATCAATTTTATTTTCAATAAAAATTTAAAAAAAATTATTTTTAACATTGAATTGAATTTCAATAGAAATTGAATGTTGTGTTGAAGACTTAAATTATATTTTTCTATAATTTTTATAATTTTCATAAATATAAAAAAAATTATATCCAAATATTAAACTTACATATAAAATTTTTTAATAAATTCCAATGATTTCTATTTACGAACAAGTAACTTTTTGGTATTATAATTCTTTCGATAATTATAATATAACCATCAACATAATAATTATTTTTAAATAATTTAATTGAATATTTTTGTTAATTCTAATTGAAAAAATATGAATATCCAGTTACATATTAAAAATATCTGTTAACAACAAATCTTGGTAAAATAATTATTTTAGTCATTTAAATTCTATTATACAAAAATATAATAAAATGAAATTAATTTTTATGTATAATTTCAATAGTTAAAATTATAGTATAATTATGATGATATTGCAATTATGAACTCTTTAGTTTTTATAAAATGCATATGGAATTGTCTATTTTATATGTATAAATATTTAATAGTTTGAAAGATCAACACTGAATCAAACTTAAAGGGCCACAAGGATTATACGCTGGTATAATTTACATATTTACTATAAAAATAATACCAAGAACTAAAAATAGGTTATTTGATTATATATTAAAAAATATATATTAATAATACTCTTAAAAACAGACAATTTAACAATAATCAACCAATATTAACAAGTACTTCATAATTTAGTCCATAATATTACTCACAAATAAGTCATAAGTGATTGACAAGTTTTCTAACAAAACTAATATTTTGTTGTGTAAGAATATAAAACTATTGTTTTGACTATAAACGCCTCGTATAGAAGTTGCATTGAGCATATATTATATATATAATAAATAATAGAAATAAATCTAAAATTAAAATAAATCTAGAATTAAAGAGAACAGAAATCATAATTGAAAATGTTTGACCATTTTTTCGTTGTTTAAATTAAAAATAATTTAACTATCATGTAATTTTAATTAACTATTGGTATAGTTTATCGATAAATTCAGTAAGATCTTTAAATAATTTATAAAACATAAGGATTACATTCAAAATAAAAATTTTTAATCAATGCCTTATGAAATAAAAAATTCTTGAGTATTAAACCTCATTTTAATCCATTTTTAACTATTGTATATTTGAAATTGTAAAAAGTGATTATACAATATTTCACAATATGAATTCATAAATCTGTATTTATAAATAATTATTAAATATAATATGTATTTGTTTGATGGTTAAATACTATTTTATATTTTAATTTTGGTTCATTTCCTCATTTCAATTGTTTTGTTTGTATTCATTATATTATATTTTTAACTTGTTCTATAGTTGAAAACATCTATCATAAAAAAAAGCCTTTTATAAAATTAAGGATATGACAAAAATGAATTTTTTAAATAAGTAGCCACATTGAAAATAATTAAATTTTTTGTTTAACATTAAAATTTTTTTTATTATTGTTAGTATAAAATATTATGTATTTCTTTAATTTAAACTCATACAGGATATAAATTTTAAAAATTTATTAAAAAGAATTATTTTTATTTCCTAATTAAAGAAGTTTATCATTTTAATTATATTTTTTCCTGAATATTCTTTTTTAGTTGAAAAATTATATTTTAAATTATATATAATTTACTCTATTGATAAAATGTTTTTATTATTGATATAATAAAAATGTATGTGATGTACAGTAATATTAAATATTTAATAAATACAATAAAAAAATATATAATGTATCTTAAAACTAAGATTTGTAATAAAGTTTAAACATTTTTATTGATTTTGTATCTTCTCTATAAATATTAATAAAATATGCAAAAATGTAATTATTAACAAAAGAAAAAATATAAGTATTAAATTTACTTTATTAATATTTAAAGTATTTATAATCTAGAATTTCATTAATTGAATAGTTAGATTTCATACGGAAATAAATGTTAAAGATAATACTTGTAAATTTATAAACATAATCTTGACATAATATGTACATAATACATGCATTAATCATTATAATCTAGATAAAATAATCTATTATCGATTTAAGTATATAAAGTATATAAAAAATAAATTTAATATACTAAATAATAAATTTTGTGCTCCAATACGAGATTCTGTAAACTTATAAATTATAGGTTATTAGATCCTAGCTGAATTAGTCTACTCTTCAGTGGCATAATCATCATAATATTCAAGAAAGTAAGATAATGTAGTAATAAAATTGTAAAAAATTATATTCGTTTGATAATAAATTATTTTTATAAATGAATAAATCCATTGATTAAAGAAACTGCATTTAAAAATAAAAGACAGTAATTATATTAACTTATGCTTTATATAAAATATATATTAATATTAACATATTTTAATATATTTTATCAATGTATTGTTTTAAAATACATATTATAAATAGACTATTAAAAAATTAATTAAGTACTATAAGAATACAAATATTGTTATAAATTTAATTATATGAGTATTTGATTATATATGATAGAATTAATTTAGAGAATACATATGGTTAATTATTAGAATGATTAATGTATTTATAAAAGAATTTTAAACTTTTAATAAAATATGAAATTTTAAAAACAGTATTATTTACATATAAATCCAGAATATCAAGATGAATTTTTTTTTAATTCGTTAAAGCAATACAGATAATTGAAGTTTGGTAAATTTTACTTATTAAATAAAATAAATAAAAAAATATACTCAATATAATCATTAAAAATGAAGTAATTTATAAAATATGCATTAATATACTTTAATTAAAGTTTTTAATTCTTATACATTAAATAATATCTATTTAGAAATACAAAAGTTCAATTTCAATTAAATTTAGTTTTAAAATTTACATCAAAAAGTACATCAAATATATGCTATATTTAATACATTTCATAATTTGTGTAAAATGTTATTAAAAATTTATACAGTATTTTTTTAGAATATTTCCTTAATTAAGACGAAGTATTATGTTTTTAAGCAAAGTTATTAATCATACTTATATATCGCAATTAAATCATGTTTAAATTAACTTTGTTTTTAAATACTTAACTTTCCCGTTTAATTGTTTATAAATTAGATAAAAAATAAATAGCATGTAAATTCTGGTATTTTTATTGTTATAGTTTTATAATATCTTGCTAGTAGATTTGAAAATATTTAATGTAGAACATAATATTACATTAAAATATTTAAAAAAATTTCTATTATTAGCATTACTTTTAAAATTTTTAATTCTTTATTGATTAATGATACACGGAATCGAAAATCATAATTTATCATTATCATCAGAAGGGCAATCCTCAAAAGGGCATTAATTTAAAATTTTTTTTAGGGATAAAAAACTAATAATGACAAGTTCTTCCAAGATATAATAAATTTATTCATTTTTAAATGATTATTATTGTTTTCAAATTAGAAATGGTATTTGATATCAATTATTATCGTATATTATCGTAAATCGATGATAAAATAACTAAATATAAAAAATTTATAATTAATAATCACTATCTTATTCTTTTACAATTTAAATTCTATAAAATTATTTAAAGAATTCATTAAAATTTTTTTAGTTTTTCATTAAAATAACGCAAAACTTTTACAAATTTTATTGAAAATAATATTTTTAACGAAAGAAATTTGTTACGTAACAATTAACAATGTGTCAAAATATATAATGTAGTTGATGGCTATCACATTGCAAATTATTATTGAATTTAAACAGTTTGTTTTCTTTTGTGAAGCAACCATTATTGTACTATTGTAGAAATCAGGAAAGGGAGAAGGAGAAACATAATTTCAAATGTATTTTATGTAATCATTTAGAAACAATTTATATTTTCAATTCGTTCAAAAGTGAAAAATATAGATTAAATTATACTGCATTTGTTTAATGTCTTAATGTTTTTCTATATACTATACATGTACATATAATTAACTGTATTTATATTTAAATTGTTAATGAGTTGTTGAAAATCAATTATTATTTATGTTAGTTTAATGTAAAAGGAAAAATATATATATTCGTAATAAATGTTTTTGCAAACATATACATTTTTTTTAATTTTTAAAAAAACATATGTCAATAATGAAATACAAAAAAATATTCTTATAATATAGTATATAATCAATACCTTATTCGTTTTTACTTAATATTCTCAGTTTGTATATAACTCCGCATTTACTATTATAGTTCCTAAGATATGCGATACCCGATAATAGTTATACGATGTATATATTCTTAATCCATTTTTAAATATATGTTCCACGTTCCTCGTTGTTTATATGTGCTAACAGAAATTAAATATAATTAAGAAATTGGTGGTTACATAATATCCAATATCAATCATTGGACACTGGCACAAGTGAAGATTCAAGCTAATTGATGGAACCTTAAATTAAATCTGTGGAATGGAATTTAAAATTTTTTTAAACTAACAGTTTGATAAGTATACATATGTATTTATCGTTATTCACATAATAATTATTTAATTTTCATAATTAAAGTTGAAATAATTCATTTTTTATATTTATTTTTATTTATATTTTATTTATTTTATATTTATATATTTTATTTATATTATTTTATATTAAATTTTGTATATTTATATTTATTTAATTAATGCTAATCATATTGTTTTGTTGGTTAATAACTAAAACAAAAGTAATTACAAATAAATATTAAAAAAAATTTCTTATTAAAGAATAACTAATAAAATGTAATTTTAAGAAAGTTTATTTTATAGTTATATATTAGTTAAATGTTAATGAATTTATTATTACAAGAATTTTAACAAAAATATGGAAAAATCCTAACTTTGAACAACAGATATTTAATATTTTGTATATTTATATGCAGTAAAATTATATACAGTGAAATTTATAGTCATTTATAATTTAAACTATTATGTTTAATAATAATGTAAGTTTTAATAACATTAACTTCTATTTTTAGGATTAAAATTTAAATGGCCCGCTCTTGAATTTTTCTTGATATTCCACGGTTATATGATTAGAATTGAGAGAGGAAAAGTATTAGTGGATGATGTGCGGTCTTGTAGGTAAAAAGATTATTGGCTTAATGAGAAGAGAGGAAGTAATAGAATTAAACTTGTTTGGAAAGAGGAGTTATTAAAGTTATAGAGTTGGATGAACGCAAATATAGTTGTCATTTGGAATTTCTCAATTTTTATTCTTGAATTTTTATCATTGAAATAAAAATTCATCATTTATCGCTTGGTTATTCGTTGAATTCTGTATAGTGCATTATAGTCCAGTTAATGGTAGTCTATTCTGTTTTGCAAATCGTATTTCTGTATTTCAGTATAGTGAGTTGATAGTCAATTACGTTTTGAGTTTCGTATTAAATAAAAGGATATTCGTGGTTTGGTTGAGCAAATCTTGCACTTTATCAAAAATAAGGCGGGAAAAACAATTATCTAGTATTTGTTACAGACAAAAAAGGCTTAACTTGTGGAATTCGTGGTTTAGAATATAATTTTCGGTAAGCCAGCAACGTTGGTAATTCAAGATATGGCGACATGCATTGTGCAAACCAACGGAGACAATGGTAATGTCGTTTCAGTTAGAAAGAAACCTCGAGTTTCTTCAGTTGGCCTTGCTCAGCCAAAAACAAAAGTTACGGTTATCCTGGGTGCTCAGTGGGGAGATGAAGGTAAAGGAAAAGTTGTCGACATGTTGGCCACTGATGCCGATATTGTCTGCAGGTGTCAGGTATGTTTAAATGTAGTGTTTTATTTCCTCCTTATCTGCTGATAAATTACACAAATATAGGATATTGATTTTTTTTTTTTAATTTTGTTCTAATATTGGAATAAACGCGTGTCCTTATTTTTTTTAAGAAAAAGACAGAGCACAGTTTCTATTTATATATTGTTCATTACATATTTCCTTTTTAGAGCCACTGTACACGTGTTAATGGTGAAGTTTAAAGATTTGGTTTCAGTAAATTTTGTATTAAGTGATTCAATTTTTCTAAATGCAGTTGTTACAATTGGAAACTATCATAGAAATCTGAAGATCTTGAGCAAGGCCTTTAAGTGCATAGCTCAGGGGTATGCAAAGATATATCATTAATGATAATTGTTGAATAATTTATATCAGTGCTTCTGTACTTGTTTCATATAACTGATAACGTCTTTAGTTAATTTTATTAATTTTTCAATTGTTAATAAATATTTCTGCAAAATATTAAACTTAGATTCATTAAATCTTTATATTATAGTATTATTATATTAAATAAAAGTTTTAATGTACGAATAATTATGAAATATATATATTAAAAATATATGTTATTACTCTAACATTAAAAGCTAATGGTCATAAATAAAATTATTTCATTGGAAATAATAATTTGGAAAATTTTAAATACTAAAAGTTAAAAAAGCTTGTAAAACAATATTTAAAATTGCTTATTGTATTATTGTTATTAAATTACTACTGATATAAAATTTCTTAGGAAGTTAATGGTTGAGAATATTTAAAATTATATATTTTACAAACTAACAAATCACAAAATTGAATTATTTATAAGCAAGTTTTTTTATAAATTAATTTTTCGTATACTTATATACTTTGTGAATAATATAATATAATATTTTATAGCTGTATACTTATTATTAAAAATAAATCTATATTTATGTGACATGATTTAATATCAAGATGTCAGAATCTATGTTACTATTGCTAAATAATTATTCAATTAATAATTGTTTTAATTTATGAATACAGATATATTTGTTTTTAAAAGACAATTTGTACTATTATATTTGTTACAAGAAAATAAAGATATATATAATTTGATATTATCAAGGAAGTTGGTGAATCTTAATATAACTTGAAACGAATAGTTGATATTATTAATTAATATTTCAAGTAATTATTTCTTCAATTTTGATTTATAAAGTAATCAACAAAAATTTTTTTGTGATCATAGCAATATATTTCAATTAATAAATACTTTTATAAACAAAATTATATAAATAATCTTTTAAATGATTATTTTGAATATTATTTTTTGTTAGAATATTTGTTAATTTAATATTGAATCGTTTAAATAATTTTCTAAAGAAATAGTTTTTATTATTTTATTACACAAAATTATCTTTTTTACTTTTTAATTTAAATAAATATTTGTCTATTATCAACTAAATATATAAATTTTGTAAATTCAGAAAAGAATTAATCAAATAATTATTCATCATTATATTTAGTGATTCTATGAATCTTGTTAATATTAATTTACTTTCACAGGGAGGAAATAATGCAGGTCACACTGTAGTTGTAGAAGGTTCTGAATACCATTTCCACCTTTTACCTAGTGGAATAATTAATCCTAGATGTAAATCTGTTATAGGTAACAATTCATTTAAATACAATATTGTACTTCATAAATTAATTTATTCTGATAAATATTTCTTTTATTATTTTTTATTAATATTTCATACTTTTAAAATCACAGCTATATATATTTTTTATTTACTGGACATTAAATTATATTGTAAGCAAAGTAATTAATTGCTAATGATTTGTTAAATTAATAACAAATCGCATTAATTATCTTGAAAAATTTTAGTAATAGAAGCAATTATAAATTTATTTAAATAATAGTAACAGTTTCATTTTAAAATAATTTATAATTTATGAATTTATTAGAAAATTTTGTTATGCAACATATATGGTTATATATATGATGTAAGATTCTATATAAGATTTTATTATTTAAGTTTTGTTTCAAATTTATTGTAATTTAAAAAGTTTTGTTATAATGGACACTTTATTTGTAATTATTCTATTTTTTTAATTTTCATATTGCAAATTTGTATATATTGGTGGAATTAAATTTCAAATGAGGTATATAACAATTAAGAGAAGAACTATTTATTTAAATGTAATGTTTATATTATTAATACAGAGATTATAAGGTAAATAATTGAAGGTATTGTTTAAAATATTTATAATATAAATTTTTTATTTGTATGATATAAAATAAAATGTTGAATCTTTTACATATTAACCTTATAATGTTCTTATAATTTTATTGACTTAATAAAATATATTTAAGTCCTCTAAATATTAAATACATTCAAATTTATTAGCATACATTGAAAAATTCAGAGTGAATTATTATTTAACAATAACATGTATTTCTAGGAAATGGTGTTGTCATTCATTTACCAGGTTTATTTGAGGAACTTGAAATAAATGAAGCTCAAGGTCTTACGGAATGGAAAGATCGTCTTCTTATTTCAGACAGAGCTCATTTAGTATTTGATTTTCATCAACAGGTTGATCAATTACAGGAACTTGAGAAAGGTACTCAATCATTAGGTACCACTAAGAAAGGTATTGGCCCTACTTATGCAAGTAAAGCTGCCAGAATTGGAATTAGGATAGGAGATCTTGTTGGAGATTATGATAAATTTTCTGAGAAATTCACATCACTTGTAACTTCTCATCAAAAAGTTTTTCCTGCACTCAAAGTGGATGTAAAAGCAGAATTGGATCGTTATAAAATGTATGTAATCATCAAATATTAAATTAAGTTAATGATTTATTTTATACACATTAATGTATTACATAAATGTTGATGTAGGAACATGCAATCTAAAAATTTGTTTAATTAGACATTTTTATTTATTTACAGATATGCTGAACGTATTAGGCCACTAGTAAAAGAAACAGTTTACTATTTGTATAAATCAGTAAAAAATGGAAAGAAAGTTTTGGTTGAAGGTGCTAATGCAGCACTTTTAGATATAGACTTTGGAACGTATCCATACGTTACTAGTTCAAATTGTAGTATTGGTGGAGTTTGTACAGGCCTTGGACTTCCACCATCTGTTATTGGAGAAATTATAGCAGTAGTAAAAGCTTATACTACTCGAGTTGGTGACGGCCCATTTCCTACTGAATTATTAGATACTACTGGAGAAATTTTACAAAAAAGAGGTGCTGAATTTGGTGTTACAACAAAGAGGAAAAGACGCTGCGGATGGCTTGATTTAGCTTTATTAAAATTTACAGCAATTGTAAATGGGTGAGATACATTTTTATCAAAATTGTTTTTTTACTGTATAAAATTGATAATTTATTAGGAATAATAGTTTATATACTTTATTTATAGAGTAAATTAAAAAGATATTTTTACTAAAAAATATTAAATAGTAATTCTAATATTGTACAATGTAAATATCAATGATATTGTACCGATGTATCAATAAAAACTAAAAATATTATTAAATTAAAACCTTAATATCTATTGCATATAGAAGTAACTTATTTTAAATAAATTGTCAAAAAAAAAAAAAAAATATATAAAGAATTAAATTATAATTGAAGATTGAATTAAGAAGGCGAAGACAATTTATATTACTAATTTTATACAAAAGCTATAATTAAATAAGTGATACATTAGCGATTTATTATTATTTTTTCATTGTATTTTTTTTATGTGTGATGTATATTTAGAATTTTTAAACACTTTAAATTATTATTTTATATAATAAAATTTCTTGCAATACTTTATTTTTATTTTCTTAGGTATTCATCAATATGCTTAACGAAGCTTGATATATTGGATACTTTACCAATTATTAAGGTTTGTGTTGGATACCGTTTAAGTGGTAAAGAAATCGATCATTTTCCCAGTAGTACATCAGATTTAGCAAAAGTAGAACCAATTTATGAAGAATTTAACGGATGGCAGACTAGTACTGAACACGTACGTTCTTTTGATAATTTACCATCAAGCGCGCAAAAATACGTACAATTATTAGAAGAATATTTGGATATTCCAGGTAATTAATAATTAAAAAATATATTATATATTTTAATACTAATTTTTTTTTGTCAAAATTATAACTAAAAAATGATATAAGATTTAATTTATTGATAAATAAAGAAATATATTTGAAATATGTATATCTATATATTAAATATATTTAAATGAAAAATATATATTATTTATTAAAGGAAGTTACAGATCATCAAATCTCTTATTTAGGTAATTTACATTTCAAAAATCAATTTATAAAATATTTTTCAATATACTTATATAAAGAATCTGAAAATTGGTAGTAAACAATATTTTTTTAAGTATATGCTCATGGTATAGAATTAATGTTTAATATTTTATTTTACAGTTAAATGGATAGGTGTAGGTGCTGGTCGAGAAAGCATAATAGCTATTTGACATTCACCATATAAAGATTGACAATATTATATTAGTTATAACATATTAAGATTAATTGTTAATACTTGCTCTTTAATATAGGGCTGATGCACACATAATATAACGAATTGTAAACAGTTTACAATTTAAGATACATAAAATAATTGGCAAGACTCAAGTTTTATTTGCTAGAATAACGTGAAAAAATTTAATATTAAGAAACATGACTTGACGCATATATTAAATATTTGACGCCAGCCGATTGGAGAAAATGTTTTATTTTAGTATTCATTTATAATAATGATGTTGAACTGTTGTATAAATATTTAATTATAAAATTTTAATTACTAATTATTTAAATTTCATAACATGCTTACTTCTGTATAATACTGTTATTTATGTTAAATATTAAATTTCTGTTCCGAAAATTAAATTATCTTTAGAATTATAAATATTGTAATAAGTCATAAATTACTATTACATAGATATTTTATTTTGCGTTTGCTGTAAGATCCGATATTCTCTTCTTTCTCTAGCACGTCGATTTTGAAACCAAATTTTTATCTAAAATATATAATTATTATTATTAATATAAAGAAAGTAATTCCAGGTTTAATTAAAAAGAAAAATAAGTATTTATAATATATCATTACTTATTTTTTAAAGAAATTTTAATTATATTAAGACAAAAATTATATGTATTGTACATTTTTCTAGGATAGAATTTTAACACTCTATTAAAATGAAATCATTTTAATGAAAAGAAATTTTTTTTCATGTATTAAATATTTTACATACTCTATTTTGTTGAAGGTTTAGTATATTTGACAGGTGTAAGGCATCCTTTCTTGATAAATAAGCGTTTCCTTTGTATTTATTTTCTAGTACGTTTAGTTGATGTTTGGTAAATGGTATTCTTGGATGAGATCCAGGCTTTCTTTTTAATGTTTTGCCGGCATTAGACTTTGGCAATTTCGGTGGACAAAATCTTGTGCACCGTAACCATGAGAGTTCGCCATTTAAGTTTTCCGAATTTGATTTTGCAAATCGTTTAACTGTTTGGTTACTACAGAAATTCATAATTTTTATATTTTCGAAGAGAAATAAAGTTTTTTTTTAAAAAGTATCAAACATTTTAAGAATATAAACAAATAAAAATAAATAATATAGAATAAGAAAAATTAAATATGAATCGAAGTATTTTTCTTACATTTGAACATGTCATAACCACCATTAAAGTTTAAAATAATTGTGTAAACACGAAATTTGAAATTATTAATATAGTTTTATTTATTTTGTGATATAAAGAACATTCAAATTTTTGGAACTTAGGCACTTTTACGATATAAGCATTGTATTTGTAATAAATAAATTCTAGTTATACAATTTCAGACATTTGTTTGATATAGCATACGTGTATTTTAATATAGTGTCATGAATAGAAATAATCTTAAAAATTTTTTTAAGTGGAATATAAAAATTACAATATTAATAAAATAAGAGTAAACGGAATGGTAAAAAACCTTTTAACAAGTATTTTGTCAGGCATTGGTAGATTGATATGAAGTTCTGGGTTTGATAACTGCGTGTGACAAAAGCTCTTTAACAAATCGAATTTATTTTGAACATTTAAAGACGGCAAAGAATATAGCACGCTACTTTGATTGATTAAGCTGATGCAAATTTGTTCAGGAAGTAAATGAGATGTTTTAGGATCAGAGAAGGCCACGTAAGAAGACGGAAAGACATTTTTGGAGAGAATTCTTTTAATGCTAAAATCACTCGATTCGCGATATAAAAATGACGTCCTTTGTGTTCCGTTCATCTCGAGACTTGCAACTGAAGGTTTCATGGAGTGATCAGTTTTTCAGGCGCATGTTGGGTTTTGAGCGCGCGCCTCTATGCATTTATTTAGCTAACAAATCCAAATTAACCGCATACTCGCTCAGAGTGTGCGTCGGCAAGAATTTGATGATAGCTATCAAATTACATTTTGTGCGCCACGCTGCGAGTTTCCCTTTGGGTGGGTTTTACCTGCCCTCCCCATTGCTTACAGTCGTGCATGTTTTTGTCAGTGTATTATTCATTATCTTCTGACCACATCTTGCATGCGTACCCCAGTAATAACAATGTAATTGATACCGGTTCGTCATCGCAGTCACGTCATGTATTGTAAAGAGCTCGCAGATGTACCGCAGTGCATTGGAGCTTACGTAAATTAAGAGCCATGGGGGTCAGACGCATTCCGGATAATCCGGTAATAATCTCATCCCCATATGTAAATATTGAATCTGCATCGTGAGGAAGGAATATTTATTAAATTTGTCTAAATTTTTGCTTTTATTATATATTTAATATGTTTAATTTGAAATCAGTTAACTAAATTTTATTAATATCTTATCTTAAAATATAGTCATATGTAAAATACAAATGTATAGAATATAGACAATAATGAATAAAAAATTAAAGTATTATATATAAAAACTACATAAGTCAAACGTTCTGTATCAATATAGAACATGTGTGTTGCGGAACTTTTAAAATTTTTGGGAAAATACAGCTACAATTATTTAAATTGTATTTGATACCGCTAAATTTATAAGGACGAATTATGAAAATAAGTCTAAAAAATCATGCACAGACAATTTTTATGATTTTTAAATATTTATTATATTGATGTGTTATGATACACGATTTTAAATATTATTAACTTTACCCAGTAAATTCATATTTTGAAGCCATTGGTATGTACATTATATAACTTTATTTCAAAATTCTTAATTGGTATAATAACAAACAAATTGTTAAATAACATATAAAAGATATTTTTTAATATTTAACACAAATGTTCAATAGAAGTACAATAGAATTATCACATTTAAATAACTGTATATTATAATTTGTTTGTTCGTCAATTATCAAGGAAAGTTTTCTGTTAAGAAAAACTGCAATTTTGTCGTAAAAGTTGTGGTATAAAATAGCAGGGATCGCGTTGTCTTTAGTATTACATAAGAATAAGTAGTCGACACTTAGTCATGTCATATATTTTCTAATTGCATTTTTCGTTAGTTTGGAAATAAATCTTTGATTATAATTTTTCTTGTAAATTTACTAATAATTTTAGTATCAAATTTTTATAAACATATATATTATATCTTATATAATATATATACTATATAGTAAATTAAATCCAAAAAGAATTAAAATAAGCTATAGTATGAACAAATAAATGTCTTAAATAAAATAAAAACAAATAGATTTGCTTAAATGATGCGATTTACAAATTAAATCATGATGTTACATGTAACGAGTAAATATAGACTTACCTTAAGAAGCACGTGACATTCTACAGATCAAAAAACAAGAATCAAGCTTTAGGAATAGGAATGGTATAGTGCTAGAAAAATTAGAATATGTAGTTGTGGTTCAATTTTAAGCATATGGATAACTTAATTTACCATAACTTTGATTATTTGTAATAGTTAGTGGGAGAGTCAACAATTTCAAGTAAGATATATAAAATTGTATAGAAATTTATTTCATCTTACAAATTATATGTAATTATGAAGTAAAAATGATGCATTTATTTTTGTTGAGTGTTTATATTTCTGATCTTCCATATAAATTGTAAAAACTAAAATTTTCATATTATCATAGCGCCTTAATTTATATAAATTTTAAGGTTACGTATTTAATATTTACGACATATTAGAATGGAAATTCTGGGTGATTTTTTACTCCACATAGAAATTCAAAATCACAAATACGTCCTTTAGGTCCTTGATCCAACTTACTTAAGGCTAGTACATCTTCACTATCAAGCTTCCAATCAAATAATCGAATGTTATCTTTAATACGTTGCTGATTTATACTTTTTGGAATCACAGCAATACTTTTTTCAATAATATATTTTAATGCAATTTGTGCTGGAGTTTTATTATATTTTTTAGATAATTTTAATACAGTTGGATTTTCTAATAAATTTGGAAGAGTGTCAGATTTACATAAAAGTTTTACTAAACCTCTTGATCCCAGAGGTGAATAGGCAGTTATAGGAATTCCTTTATTTTTACAATATTGCACCTAAAAAAAGAAAAAAGGTTTTAATAATAATAATTTGATAAAATTATTAAATTTAATAAGAATCAATTATCTACTGTACATAATCAGAACAATATAAATTCTATACAATACTAATATACAAAATATTTCTGTTATAAAATATATATATATTTTTAATTTTGTGTACCGTTTCTTGTTGTTGAAAATACAAATGCAATTCAATTTGTAACATTGAGATTGGAATTTTCGCTATATTAACTATATTTTCAATTTGTTTCAAATTAAAGTTAGATATTCCAATTGCCTTGGTTAATCCATTTATAACCATTCTTTCCATTTCTCTCCACACAGCTAAATGATCAGTACTCGAGTCAATTAATAAATGACCATTCTCATCTTTTGGTTGAAAGTTATTTTCCACATCAATAAATGCAAAGGGAGTATGGATTAAATAAAGATCTAAATAGTTTATTTGTAAGTTTCTGAGAGATTTTTTCAAATGCTTTTCTACTCCTGCAGGTCTATTTCCGCTTGGTGGTAACTTGTGTGATAAAATAATTGGTTATATTCTTAATATTGAAAATATTATTAACAAATTAATAATATTTTATTACAAATTTAGTATTAAAAATTAACATATTTTTTAAATTAAATTTTTTTTTACATTGAAAAAATATTCATCTTTAATGAAATAATTTAATAGATTACCCTTAAAATTTATATGCCTATATGGCATATAGGTACTAAAATGTGAACTTACTTTTGTTACAATGAATAGATCATCTCTTTTTATTTTGCCTGAATCGAGCCATTTCTTCAAAACATTTCCAATTACATATTCATTCATATAGACTGGTGATGTATCAATGTGTCTATATCCAGCTTCTAAAGCAGTATTAATAGCAACTTCTAGTTCTTCAGGAGCTGCCTAAAATTGTATTCTTTAAGTATTAATAAAATGTTAAGTAATATAATGTAAACAAATATATTAATTAAATAATTATTTTATAATAATTCCTAAGCAATAGTGCTTATAAAGTACATCACATTCTTTTTATATTTTAATTATTCTATTAACAATTTACTACACTTTGTTGTTAAGAAAATTTATTTTAGAAAAATTATTATTTAAGAATAAATTTTTAAATGATTTTAAAATTATTTATATTATAAATAATCTTTTTCATGTTATAACATTTACAATACTTATTGAATATAAATTATTTCTATCTAAGTGTACTTACTTAAAAAGTGAATTTATGTTTAATTATTTTTGTGCTATTAATATGAAACAAGTAATAACAAGTAATAAGACTTACACTTTTCTTTATTTATTTGCTTCAAATATTTGTTTATTTATTATATTGCTCAAGTATAAAAAAAGTTGTATAAAATATTGGTATAAAATACTTACAATTTTATGATTTTTAAAAAATTCTAAACACTAGAAGTTAAATTCAAATTTCTCAGCTTTTGTTTTATATATTATTCAATTCAAACATTTATTATTATTCTAAGGATAAAAGAATAAATATTTAAATATTTGTTAATTATTATTTTGATACTATTTCTGTTATTCTATTTGTTAGAATTAAATAATAAAATAAATCTTAAAAAAACAAGTCTTATTAAAATAATTTGTACTTTTCATCTAATATTTAATCGTTTTTTCATGATTTTAAATATTTACAATTTCAAATTGTAAAGGATTAGTATTATTTTTTATTTTAATCCAATAAAGATAATCTAATAAATTATTAAAAGTAAAAAAAAACCATTATATTAGTGTTTCTACATTTTAAGATATCAGACATATGCTTATTTAGGAACTTTTAATATATTTAAATTTTAAATCGATAATTTTTTACATTTACAAAAATTTAATATAGAAAACCTACTGTAGAGATTAAGGGTATACAAGTGTGAATGTACATATATAAAATTAATTTAAGTTATATTAATTACCATTATTTATACTTATTTTATTTTTTTTTTTTAATGCGTTAATTACCTGCCAAGTTCCATATCCAACAATGGGCATGTATTGTCCTGTAGGAAGATTGACTGTCGTTTGCATATTTTGTAAAAGTATTTTTATTTTATATAAAAAATCATTAACTATTTTAGATCATTGATGTCTTTTCAAGTTAACGTTGCACTAAATTCCTTAGTTGATTTAACACTGGAAAACCACTTTTCCGTTTCAGTCTATTTAACTCGGATGGTCACGTGATAATAATTTACATTCCTGTATGAATGCAGCACTTCATAATAACTTGACATAGTATATGTATATACGTGTTCGCCTTAGCATGCATTGCCCAAGGATAACTTATGTACGTAATCCTTTACTTAAATATCAAGTCATTTATTTGAACTTGGGTTTCAGCTATTAGTAGCAAATGTTCATGTTTATGTTATTAGATTTATTATTTGCAGAAAAGATACAATCATAGGTTCGCTTTGTAAATTACAAGAATTAATTACAAGGTTACATAATGTTATCGATGAAGGCCTGTTTTATGAATAATTTTGTTATATAATTTGAATTAATACAGTAAATATACAAATTTATTTAAAAAATATACATGAAATTATTTTATACTTAGGTATATATTAGATAATTTTATAGTGGAATATTATTAGGAGTTGGTTTTCTTAGTTTGTTATTTGCATGCGTTCATACGAATACAGTTACTAATCAGTGTGTTGCAAATTCTATTCCTTCAACCATAATTATTTTTCGATAGTACATATAAAAAGATGATTTCATATAATTTATCGACAATATTTTAGAAAAATTTATAAAACGATAAATTATCACATAAAATTTACCATTTTTATTATCATTATATATTCTTTGAATTATTTAATCATTTTTAATATTAGTTATTTAATAAGTAAATAATATATGTAAATTGTAATCAAATACTTATTCAGTTATTTAAAAAATTTCATAGAGATCAACTTATTTAATTCTTATATTATTATATTTAATTTTATGTATTTAAAATTCATTGAATTTCGAATGTAATAATATACAGGAGGAAAAAATAAAAATCTAAGTAGGCACACGGAATAAAACTTTTCTTAAAGTGTATTTTAGATACAGTTAAGATTTTTCATCTCTTTATATTTCGACGAGATATATGTTATAACTTAATCCATTTCAGACTGATTATTTAATGTCTTAATACTTAATATTGATAAAAATGAATGAAAAAAGTCCATCTTTATCGTTTTCACTAATTTTCATAATTTATTAGATTATAGGATTATTTTGAAACTATTCTTTTAAAAGGTAGATTGACGAGGAAATTATATCAGTTTTACTCATAAGCTTTTATTTTACTTTAATAATGTTAAGTACTAATAAAAAATCAGAATTAAAAATATAAGATACCTTTATCAATATTTTTAAAATATTTGTTATTGTATTTTATTTTTTACAAAGATAATATTAGATAAATTATTTTTTATCTTGGCTTATAATAAAAAATGGAATTTTCAATATTAAATATTATAAATAGAAAGTCTTAAAATATTCTTAATAAAAAATACAAATTTAACAGCTTATTTGAAATTACAAAAAACTTATGTATGATATTGATATTTACAATAGAATACAATAGAACAGAATAGACTAAGTTTATTATTTTGTAAAAACCTTTATCTTTATCATTTATGACATAAAATATATTGTTATTTTTACTTATAAGAGGAATTTAATAAGCTTTCAATTTAATCAATAAGTTGGTTAAATAAAAATTTTTATTTTATTTTATTTTAACATTTAATAGTTATGTTATTCCGTTTAATAAATGAATATTGTAATAATATTTACAATAATGATATAATATAATTGCATTGTTGTTTATTTATTTTATTAAAAGAGCAAAAAATTAAAATTAAATCTGAATATTAAAAAAACTTGTTTGTAATTAGCTATTAGTTTTTTTTAGTGTATTATCTAATATTTTATTTGTATAGTCGCATAAAATTTTATTTTACGTAAATATGAAACACTCATATATAATAAATATTTATTCATTTTATAAATATACTATTTACAATTAATATATAGCAATATACGAGATTAATCACAAAGCATGATTGATTTTTTATTTGAATATATTTAGTTTATAATAATTATATTTATAATATAGATAAATATTTGTAATTATAAGATAAAAATAAGATGTAAAAACATATTATTTACACTAAGAATTATCATTTTTTGTTTACGCAATGATTGTTTTTTTTAAGATTCTATTAGTGATATAGTCTATTCTAATATAATTGAAAACATTATTTATGAACATTTTTTAAAACTTGATAAGTTGCCAACATAAAGATGTATAATTATGGTTTGAATAATGAGTGTTATAAAATACATGACTTCATGTAATATTTGCTCTGCTAAGTCAGTCTTCTGTATTGAATGCTTGCACAAAATATTATTAATGATTAATACGTAATAACAGAGTTTATGTAAGTAAAAAAATTTTAAACTATTTCAAAGTGTATATATTATGTATTTCTATTAAGAAATATATATTTTAACAAGTAAATTAACGATTAAAAATTATATAAATAAATAAATTATAAAAATGATTTTTAATAGTTCTACTAAAAAATTCTTTTTAATTTATATTTCTGAATATAGTATCTGTGACATTGTAAATACATTCAGATACATATATTTGTTACAGAAAAAATATATTTAAAAATAAATTATTATGGTGTGATTGAAGTGCATATAGGGAAAATGTATACTTGCATTAACTGTGGTGTTTACATCGACGAACTCTATCGCCGGTATAGTCAAAACGTACTCAAAGTTGTGACATGTGTAAGTTAATTTATAAATAATAAATATTTAAAAAGTATTTGAATAGTGTAAATATTTGAAATACTATGTTATAAATTTTAATGATTTAAAATATTTATTTTTAATTATATTAGCTAAATATTAATCATATTAAGTAAATAAATAAAAAATTATCATTATAGTTTGGACTATTAATTTAATAAAAATTTGTTAAAAAGTACTTTAAAAGAATGTTTAAAAATAATTCAATCATTTATTCACTGATATTGATTTTAATACGTGAAAATTAACTGTAATTAGTGTTTAATTGGAATAATGAATATTTAAATATATAATTTTTTCAGTTGTATATTTTCAAAAGTAAACAACAATGAAAATTAAGTAAATAAATTTTTAATTTAATAAATAACATTTCTTTCAATTTTTCTAGCACAGAAAGAAATCTAATATATTAAAATATAACTTAAAAACTACTGATTTAATGATTACCAGTGTAGATTTAATGTTATAATTTTATAAAATAAATTTTCTTATTCTTATTTTAGTATGGATCATAAACAAATGATCGATTAATTATTAAATAAATATCTAAAAATATTTCCCAACTACCTCAAGCTGATTCTTAACATATTTGTATATTATGTCAACATAAAGTTTGATAAGAAGATGCAAATGGATTTGAAATATATAGATTCAAATACAAGTTAAATTACAGTTAATTATTTACGATTTATTTACAAATGAATGTTGACAAAATTAGTACTTAACATAGTTTAATTTTAATATATTTCTACTGCATATAATTTAATATAAAAATTTATTAAATATTCAATCTTGTTACCTCTTTTAGGATAAATGTGGCAATTTGGCAGATAAGTATATCGAGTATGATCCAGTGATTGTATTGGTAGATCTTGTACTTCTAGAAAAATCGGCCTACCGTCATCTTCTTTATAATAGTAATTTTAAGTCTTATTGGAAGCTTATAATCGTGTTAATACTTGGCGAATCCTTTCGTAAATGGATGAAGTATATAGGCGAGCCCAAAACTTCGTCCGTTAGTCTCAGTAGTTCAACGTTTTCTTTGAAGTATCTTACCAGAACAAATCAAGTTTTAATTTTTCAAGGCGAGCGAAACTTCTATTTCTTACTTGTACACACTACTTTATCATTTGTTGTTTTTGTTCTTGCTGTTTTTATCATTACGGAATTAAGGTTATTGATACTAGGTACGCGGCCATATGGATATAAAACTTTAAATCTTTTGCGTGCCCTTGTTCTCGGTAGTTCTGCCAAGTTACTAGGACTATTCAGTATCGTTTGGCAGAATATAATTCCAGGACCATATCAAATGTTGATTTATGGTTATACTGCACTCTGCCTCCTTACAGCTTATTCAGGTACTAATATTTGTTTATGTATAGTATTCGTACTTTTATAGTAATAAATTAACTACACAATTGAGATAGTTTATTTATATTTTATTAAATAGAATTTTTTATAATTATTTAAATTTTTAAATTAATTTTAAACTAGAAAGTTAATATTACAATTATTTTTAATGTTTATTCATTACAATAAGGATATTAACAATATTTAGATTATTTTCAGTTTAAGCAATAAAATTATAATAATGTAATTCTTTATTATCATCTACATTTGTTGCAAAGAACATTTATATAATGTATTGAAATATGTGCAATGTAATAAACTAAAGTAAGGTAAACTTAAAAAAAAAATATTTTTTACATATAATAATATCATAGATATGTACTGTTTAATCTATCCATTTTTATAATTATATCAATTGCAATACAGAAACATATTATACAAAATATAATATAAATATAAATAGTTTCAATAATTAACGATTATTAATTTACAAAAATTTTAATTTTACATTTTTATTTAAATGATTTTATAGTAATGAAATTTAATCTTTAACAAGAAATTATTAACACATAGTTATTTAATAAATTAAATGGTTCATAAAATATCTATCGATGCATTAATATTAATATTAATTAAAATTAATATTAATAAATAAGAGTTATAATTTAAAATGGTATATATATGTATATATATCTATATGTATTTGTATAATAAATAATGTTAGATATAGTAATAGATATAGGAATAAATTAATTAAAAAGTTTTTAAGATAAAATAAATTAAAAATGATTAATTTTAAATTTGTAATAAAAATAAAATAAAAAATATGTACAAATTTAATCACGAAGGCAAATAAATGTGATTATAAATATAATTTTAATAATTTAAAAATTGTTGAATAAAATTTTAAATATATGTTTAATACTGTAAATATCAGTTACTTTCATTATATATTTAACATTTTTCGATCAAATGCTTATTTTTAAATTATATTCTTTATTTCTGAATAATAGAACATGTATAGTGTTTTGAATAATTACATATTTTTTTAGTTTATCACGATATAAGTCTGTTTACTAACTGCAGATATTATAACAGTACACGATACATAAATAATATTTAGTTTTGAAGGAATTATAATTTTTTTAGTATTTATGAAATAAATACTTGTTTATACTTTTCATCAGTAAAATTTTGAGTATTTCTTATGTAAAGATAATCGTTTTAAGTGTAGTATACTCATTAGTAATTTAAACTTTCTTTTTATAGTTGTCTCTGGAAGTGGAAGAACTGGGTCATTAATTGGACTTGCTGGTGGATTTTTAGCTCACAATTACGTTTATGACATAATACCTAAATTATATGTATTGATAATTAATACACTATTTTAAAGATAAATCGTTATCTGATAATGAATGCCAAAAGTGTTTCAAGCATCTTTAATTGGTAAAATACTCCAACCAAGTACAAGTCTATCAAAGCCACAAGAGAATAAATTGCAGGAATTATTGATATCTTCCGTCCAAGCTACTGAACAAACCATTCGTCGATGACCCTAAATAGTAGTTCTATTTTATTAATTGTGTATTCATATTTATTGTATAAAAAATATGAAAAGGTTATATTTAAAAATTATTAAAAATATTTCTAATTTCTTTGAAATTTGTAGTGTATTATAAATAAATTATAATAAATATTACATAAACTTTTAAATAAAATTTATAATTAGTGCAAAGATTTTAAATAATTACCTGTCTACTTGTTCTTGGTAATCTTGCTAAGCGTTGCCCACTTAAATCAAATAAACGAATTTGCCTATTATCATATGGAATAGCTACTACTCCTGTACATGAAACAGCCAATCTATTTGCTGAACTATCTCCACGTATAGTAGCTAAAGGACTTCGAATATTACGTAATTCCCATACTTTAATGCTTCTATCATCTGAAGCTGAAACTATTTTATCTTCTTTTGTAAATACTGCTGATGTAACAGTTCTAAAAATAGTGAATATTAGTAGATTATAATTATAATTATTTTAACTTAAAAAATAGAAACATGTATTTTTCATTTACTCTGTGTGTCCTTGGAAAACAGATACAGAATGAAAGGGTTCTCTAAAATCCCACAATCGAAAAGTATTGTCTTGACTAGATGTAACACATAATCGCTGTGCATGATGTGTTGATACATGAGTCAATTCTTGATCATGTCCACAAAGAGTATGAATAATTTCACCAGATTCTGCATCATATAAATTAGCAGTTCTATCCCAAGAAGCAGTTACTATTTGTTCAGCACCAAAAAGCCAATCAGCAGCCACAATAACTCCTGTATGTCCAACTAATTCTTTAATTGGAGTTCTCAAAATAGGAACTGTTTCTTCTTCTAATGGTGCACAATTGTCTCCACTAATTATATTAACTCCACGTTCTCCAATAGTTATTAAGTCTTCTAAAGATGATCTCTTTGATAAGTTCCAGTTAACTGCAACTTGCCATATATGGGCAGTCCAATCACCACTTGCTGATAATATTAAATCTTTTGTTGGATGAAATCGGACAGAGTTTACAGAACCACTATGTCCTGTATATTGTAATAAACAGCGACAACTATCTATTCCCCAAACTCTGGCTGTATGATCAGCTGAAGCTGTTGTAATAACTAGTTGTCCAATTCTTCCAACTGAAACTTCCCAAACACCATCTTTATGTCCTCTGTATTCCTTTTGCATACTGCAAGTCATAGTGGGATTTTTGAAACTTGAAACTATTTTGCTTGTTTGAACTTTTAATTTATGTGATGCTTTGATTTTATGAACAGAGTTGACACCAATAGCTAAAAACATAATAATTTTAATTCATAATGACAGTTAGTAACATAACTTTTATAATGCATTTATGCAAAGTTAATGTTAGAGAAATTTTTTACTACTACAACAGTTATTTTCAAAGACTTAATATCAATATTATTATCAATATAATAATTTAAAATTATTTTAAATTTATAATATTTAAAATAAATATATTAAAAACAAAATACATTTTTGCTTAGCAAGATGCTTATTGTCAGAATAATCTTGGAAATCTCCAGTTGGTAAAGTGCGTTCTCCCAATCCATAACACTCTCTTTCCAATTTCTCATTTAATGCTTCAATTTTTTCTTGCACTATAACAGAATAAATATTAAATTTTAATCAATGAAAAAAAGTATAATATAAGAAGTATTGATATACATATATACATCCAAAATTTTCAACACAAAGCATTTCAAATTCTTTTTCTATTTGTTGAAATAAATCTAATAATTTTGAACGCAGTAATGGAGGTATTGACGTATCTTCAGCATCTGATCGTGAATTAATATAATGTAAAGCAGTTGTCTGAAGAGGAGTTGAGCTACTTTGTTGAGATTGTAACTCTGTATCAGTACTACTTTGTACTCTCGGAATTGAAATTCTTTTTACTTTTCCACTGGATTTATTACTTGTACTAACAGTTGGTTCACCAGGCATGATTTTTTATTTATTTTAACACTTTATAATATATATTTAAAACTGTCAGCGTTTATTTTTTACTTAAACTATCACTTAGAATCACATAAAAATAAATAGTGTTACGTTATCAGCAAAATTTTTAACAATTTAATTTTCAATTCTACTTTGAGTTCTTTGTACAATTTTTTCTAAAATTTACATTATTTTTTTCCTTTGGATGAAAAGTACGGAAAGTCTGAAAGACACTACTGTCATTGCTTTCAACTAAGAAAAGAAAAAATTACTAGAAACATATTTTAAAGAAGTAAATAATTTAACAGTAAATACAAAATTAATCAATTGTATTTAAACAAGTATAATATTTATAAAAAAATTTATATAACGATTTTTAATTTAAAAATATAAAAATTAATCAAATCCATAATTGATGATATATAATTTTGTGATATTTATTATTTTAGTTATAAATAGGTTATACATTCTATGTACAAGTATCATAATTTGTCTTTTAAATATTCAAAACAATTTTTTACTAATAATAATAAAATATACGGATATGAGACTTCAAATTAAAAAATATCTATTTTATATTTTATATTTAACAAAGGTTGTTTCACGATTTAATTGATCACCTGATATATAAAATAAGTATGCTTATTTGAGAATATAAAATCGAGTTTAAATCTTTCCAGTGATTTAAGTACAATGTTGATTATAAAGTCTTTTTAATTTATAATTCTATTTTTATTCAGGCTATTTCCAGTTTTTGACGAATATGAAATGTAAACGTGCCGTGGCACTGTGAACAGTATCACTGTAGATATATCAAAATATGCACAAATTATTTTTAAATAGATGCCCAATATTACGTCTTCAATATACTTTTATCATACAGTCACTAAAAACTTGAATACAAATATTTTAATAAAATACATTTTGATTTAATTTTTTTGATAGCTTAAAAAAAATTTGGGGTTAACCTTGGTTTACTCAATTATAAAATAATGATGATAACGGACAGTTTATTAATAATTAAAATAAAAATCCATTCCAACCTCAAAAAATTTAAAGGCTTGCGTGCGTAACACAATTGCAATCTCTGTTAAAAAATATATACTTATATATATGTATATAAGTAAAAAAATTATAGAAAGTGCATTGATGAAAAGATAATACATTTCACTTATGTGTAATTAATATTTCTTTATTATAAATGTTCATTAATTATAAAATAGAATTTTCCGAATAAAGAATAAAAATATATATACATTAAATTTTTAATTATTTTTGTCTGGAAATATACTATTGCGTTTATTAATCAATAATAAATTCTTTAAATTTCAACTTTTAGCGATTTAAAACTTTATTAAACGACTTTGGCACAATTAAATAAAAATATCTCATAATTATAAATTAATAGATAAAATAATTAAATGAATTAGTTTGGTTGAAAGAAATTTATTATACAGACGAATTTTTAAAATAGTTTATTATTAAACATTTATTTCATTTTATTGATCTCGATTTAATATTTAAAGAAGAAAGCAGACGGCTTTCTGATTACCGGTTAAAGATACGAGGGTACATAATGAGAAAAATTTTAGAAAATATTTTCTTTTATTAAAACTATCTGTTTTTGTTTAAGGAATTATTAAACAATTATTTTTAATATATGAAATAATTTCAATTATTGGAATTAATGTTTATAGACGTACAAATTTAGTAGTAAGCACTTCACGTTATTTGTACATAATGTTCAATATCTTAAATTAGGTTAAAAGATGGATTAATCTACTGTTGTATATTTCAAATTATGCAGTCAACAGATATTAAAAAAATTATCTTTAATCAATATGAAAATAAGGAAGTTATTTGCTACTGTTGGAGTGGGATTTATTTTGACTTGTTGTATTATGATTTATGTTATGCTTGATATAACTCTTTTTCCACAAAGCCGCGGATCAAAGACTAATATTAAGGATGTAAGTATTTTCTTCATTAAAAGTATTATGTAAATTACATTTTTAATATTGTTCATGTCATATTAATATTTTAACATATTTTATTATATTTAATTTATTATATTTAATTAATTTGATGTAATTTCAGAATCAATGGCTTCATTTTGAAACTAGATTAGCAAAACTTGAAGAAGATTGGAATCGACATCATAGTGCTCTGAATGCTTTACAAGTAGCTGCCAAAAGAAAAATTAGACCATCATTTGATGAAAAGAATTATAATGTAAATTTATTATTAAATTATATAACAGAAAAACCTGTAATATGTTCTTTGAATTTTAAGCAAATACCAGATGTTGATATTCAAATGCTTAATATTTATAAGCAATTAAAATTTGATAATCCTGATGGTGGAGTCTGGAAACAAGGTTGGAATATTGAATATGATGAGAAACAATGGCATCCAAATAGGAAGTTAAAAGTTTTCATTGTACCTCATTCTCATAATGATCCAGGATGGTTAAATACTTTTGAAAAGTATTATACATATCATACTCAAGGGATACTAAATAATTTAGTAACTAAATTATCTGAAGATAGAAGAAGAAAGTTTATTTGGGCAGAAATATCATTTTTTAAACTTTGGTGGGATGATCAATCACAGTCAACAAGAGATGTTGTTAAAAGATTAGTACATGAAGGACAATTAGAAATTGTTGCAGGTGGTTATGTTATGCCTGATGAATCAGTTTCACATTGGATGTCTCAGCTTATTCAATTAACTGAAGGCCATCAATGGTATGTATTAAATTTTAAATAAAATTAAAAGTTGTTTAATGTGAAATTAATCAAATTTGTAATTTAATAGTTAGATGTTTAAAACTTAAATATGATTTTTGGCAACTTTTTTTTTGTTTTTTGTTTTTTGTTATTTGTTTAATACAGAAAAATGAAAAAACAGAGAATTTTTAGAGCAACTTTAGTTTAATCATGATTTAATACATATCTTTGTTTTATTTTGATTTCATCAAAATAGTTTCTTCTTTTTTGTATTATAGATTTTAAAGTTCAATTTTGACACTTAGTACAATTTTACAGGTTAAAATCAAATCTGGATTACATTCCAAATACTGGTTGGGCTATCGACCCTTTTGGACTTTCTCCAACTATGCCATATTTATTGAAAGGTGCTGGTTTACAAAATGTTGTTATACAACGTGTTCACTATTCAATCAAAAAGAAACTGGCTCAAAATAAATATTTAGAATTTCGATGGCGGCAGTTATGGGATATCGATGGATCTACAGAAATTTTTACTCATATGATGCCCTTCTATAGTTATGATATTCCTCATACATGTGGACCAGACCCAAAAATATGTTGTCAGTTTGATTTTTATCGTCTTCCAAGTTTTGGGTTTAGTTGTCCCTGGAAAATCCCTCCAAAAGCTATTACAAAGTCTAATGTAGGTGAAAGAGCTGCTATGCTTCTAGATCAATATCGTAAAAAAGCTCAACTCTTCAAATCCAATGTTGTATTAGTACCTTTAGGTGATGATTTTCGATATTCACACTTATCTGAATGGGATGCTCAGTTTACAAATTATCAAAAACTTTTTGATTATATGAATAAAGATCAACAAATGAATATACAAATTCAATTTGGAACCTTAACTGACTATTTTGAAACTCTTAGAAATCAAAAGAATTTGGAGGATTATCCTAGTTTAAGTGGAGACTTTTTTACTTATTCAGATAGGGATGATCATTACTGGAGCGGATATTATACATCTAGACCTTTTCATAAAAGACTTGACCGAATTCTTTTAGGAGCATTGAGAAGTTCTGAACTTTTAAATACAATTGCGTGGATGAGGGGTAGTGATCATTTAATAGAAGAAAAACTTGCAAGTCGATTGAATATTGCAAGACGTTGGCATTCCATATTTCAACATCATGATGGTATTACTGGAACTGCTAGAGATCAAGTTGTTATTGATTATGCTCAAAAAATGACAGTTGCATTAAATCATTCAGCTCATATCCTTCAACAATCTATTGTACATTTACTGAGAAGTTCAAAAAAAACAAATATTGATCTAGAAGCTATTTATTTAACTTTGGATGAATCAAGGTAAAATTGTTAAAATATTTACATACGATTATACAATGAAGCATGTACGAATTTTAATTTATTGTAAACATTTTTAAATATTAAACTTAGTTAAAATAATCAATTAAAAAATAATTATAATTAAGTTTCAACAATATTTGCACACAGTTGACATATTAATTAAAAATTAAAAGGCAAATTTTTAATTATCTGATATAAAAATTTAGTTTTATTACAATATATAAATGTCAAATATATTTAATATTTTGTAACACATCAGTATTTTTGTAGAATTAGGTATTCAATTTTATAATATAATTAGTATTAATTAATTTTAGATCACATCACACAAACCCTGAAAATAAATATATACTTTCATTTGGTGATGAAATAACTTCAAAAAAGATTTTATTCTACAATTCACTTCCTCGATCTAGAAAAAAAGTAATAAGCATATATGTATCAACACCTTACGTACGAGTTACTGATAAAATGGGTCATCCAATTCAATGTCAAATTTCACCAGTATGGGTTAGTTCAGCAGTTATTTCTTCAGTAAAATATGAACTATCTTTTTTAGTTACTGTATTTGCTTTTGGCTTAACCACATATATAGTTCATACTTTACATGATACTGTTTTACCAAAGTAAGTACAATAATGTGCAATTTATATTTATTTATATTTTACATTTACTTTAAATTTTAATTATATTTACAATTAAAATTTTTTGATGGTTTTGAGTTTAATTTGATAAGCTAAATGAATGGATACATATAAATATCAAATAATAGAAAATTTTTTGTGCATAGTTTGTTAATTTTTTAGAATTTATTAGATTAAACTAGTGATTAAAAAAATTTCAAATAATTATTTTAAGTGCTATAATACAAGTTTCTAATAATAATATTATAGTGAAGTGTATTTGGCTAATGTCACAGTCTATAATTTGGCTATTCCACTCTCAGCAGTACCTGGTTTTAATAATGTACAAATATATCCTATTATACAAGAGTTTTCGATCAGTCAACAATTAGAATTGTCTGCCACCTTTGGAAAGACAGGGTTATTAAAAGCTTTGCGAGTAAACAATTCTACTTTTCCAGTGCATTTGGAATTTGTTAAATATGGAACACGAGGTGCTGGTCAAGACAAGAGTGGAGCCTACTTATTTTTGCCTGACAAATCAGATCCAGATCCACTATTCACTGGAAATAATAGAATAGTCCATTTAGTTACTGGACCTGTTTTGTCAAGAGTTTTTACAGACTTACCATTTGTTAAACATATATGTACTCTTTATAATTCAATGGGAAGTGATGGACTTGGTTTACACATAATAAACGAAATTGATATTACGGAAACTCAAAATTTAGAATTAGCAATGAAAATTAATACTGATATTGTTTCTGCAGATGTCTTTTATACTGATTTAAATGGTTTAAATGCAAGTATTGGATATTTAAATTTTTTTTGGAAAAGTTATCGCTTATACCATCAATAAAACTTTTATTAATTTTTGTATATAGATGATTAAACGTCAAAGGTTTCCAAAAATTCCAACTCAAGGAAATTATTATCCTTTAGCAACTAGTGGTTATATTGAGGATAAACGTGTTAGAATGACTGTTGTAACAGGACAACCTCTGGGAGCTACTTCAATGTCTTCAGGACAATTTGAAGTTAGTATATTCTTAAAGAAATTTTTATTTCAGTAAATATTGAAATAATAAATCAATAGAATCAATAGATGATCAATATATCTCATATATATGTAAGTCTCATAAATGAGAATACATATGTATGAGATATTAATATATTTTTATAGTTAAATTTCAAACTTTATCTTCACTTTAAATTATTTACAAATTAAAAAAATATTTAAATTTACTTCCAATACTATTAATTAAATAAAATTTAAAATTTTGATTGTAGATAATGCAAGATCGAAGATTGCTTCAAGATGACAATCGTGGCTTAGGCCAAGGCGTGACTGATAATTTATTGACATTCAATCGATTTACATTGATATTTGAAAAGTATCAAGAATCTTGTTTACAATCAGTTCCTTCAATTGAACATCCAGCAGGTCTTTTGTCACTCGCTGGCCATTTAGCATTGGATGACTTGCTCCATCCTATTATTGCTTTACATCCTCAATCCATGACACCACTTGATCTGAAACCGAGTTTTTCACCACTTATTTCGGATCTTCCTGTAGATTTGAATGTCGCCAGTTTACGTGTAATACCAATTCCAGATGGAGCTGGAAAAGGTGTAGGTATGGTATTGCATAGACAGGCTTTAAATCTTTGCTGGGGTGATCCTTTAATTCAGAAGCGTTTCTTCGTGTCGAAGACTGGCAGGATTGATTTAAGAAAATTTTTTAATAATTTCCATGATTGGACTATTAATGATACACCTTTAACTTTTACTAATGTAAAGTCTTCTCGAAAATCACCTATAGTTAATTTATGCCCTCATCAATTACTATCACTATTATTTCACAAGACAGAATCTTAAAATATAACTTAAATTAAATTCTTACCCTAAAATTTAATTATTTAATTAAAGATTTCAGCAAATTTTAAGATTTTAGTACAATTGTCATTTTGTGTTAAACAAATGAATACAGTTTTTTATAATTGAAAAATGATGAAACAACATACATGATAATCATTTTTGTATTATATTATTTTGACTAAATATATAATATGCAAGGTAATTTTTAATAAGAATCATTTCATATATGTATAAACATTTATTGTGAGTGTTATTTTAAATTAAAAAAAAGAAAGAATATGAAAAATGTATGGAAACAAATCTATCTTATATATTATTTTGGAAATAATATTAAATAAGATAATTTTTATTTGCTCGTAATAAATTAGTTGAAAAAAATCATTTTTCCAAACTTTTTTTTTATATAAAAACATTAACATAAGGATTATTTAATTTTTTAAAATTTTCTTACTGTGCAGAAGTTTACTTTTTGTAAATTTGTATTATAAACTGATAAGTAATTACTTTTAAATTTAGAAAAAAAATTTGTTTTAAAAAGTTTTTTTATGGAAAATAATTAGAAATGTTATTAATTGGTTACAATTTCATAAAATAATTATATAGTACAAGTTTAAACGAATAGTTACTTATTAAGAGGACTATTTTTTATGCAGCTTAATTTTTAAAGATTGAGAATTAATTTTCTCAATACACTTATCATAATAATATAAATTATAATAGTACTTCAATCATTTTTTAATTCGTATTCATATTAATTCATTTGGGATATCTTATTTTGAAAATTCTTACTATTATTTTACTATAACTTTATTAAGTAATTGATAAAAAAAAAATTATGAAAATTCGGAAAATTACTGAGTATTTTTAATTTTTTATTTAAAATTTATTTCATAACTCTATGATTGATCAATTATTACACTTTATTATAGTTCATAAATATTATCAATGTAGTAAGTTATTGAAATACTACAATTGGTAGATTAAATTTATGCAGTTCTAAAGTATTTCATTTTTGTAAGTTTTCTAATTTTATTAAGATAATTAAACGTGTCAAGATTCTGGTAATTATTTCTATCTGTTACTTATGTGCTGTAGAATTGTTATATTTTGTCATGCTAATTTTATAATTTTTATAATAACGTAGAACCTAAATTATCAACAAAATGGTGTTTTATTTTGTAATTATTGATTATTTTTTATTTATGTTTAATGACTTCTTACTTAAATTTTATAACAAAATTTTTAAATGCTTTATTTTGTCATATAATTAAAGTAACATATATAATTTTTTTTACTAAGAGTTTAAAATAAATAAAAAAAATTTATAAATAATTTTTGGTAAGTAGATATTTAAATGTGAAACTGCATTAAAAATTTTCATATATCTTCAATATTCTATTTTATTTTATTTTCGAAATATACTATTAACATGCAAATAATTAGAATATCAGTTTTAATTCACTGATAATATTGATCATTACAATTTAAAAATAAAATATTTATAATATACACGAGGATCTTAATAGATAATACAATATTTTTTTTACGATACATACAATGCACACATGTTAATTTTAAATGATTAAATAAAATATAAATTTTATTTTTTTAAACTGAAAGTTAACACTTAAAAAATTAATAGTTATTAAAAAATAAAAATATTACTTTTTGCATTAAAAATGTTTTGTATGTTGTTCATATGAAAATATTAACTACTTAATCTTGTAGAAATATAAATTTAGAATTTTAAAGTAAAAACTATTCAGTGCAGAATGTAATGAATGCATAAAATTATTTTTGTAAATATTTTATAATTATATTTATTTAATTATTTAACATAAGATATAAGATAATTGAATCATCAATAATTATACATGTTGTAGATTTTGTTTACTTAAAATCATGTAATCAACTCCATCTGATGGGGGTGGGTTTGTGACGTCCATTTTATAACTGTAATAGTATTAAAGTTACATTTTCTGTTTTTAAATAAAAATTTATAGATCATTAGCATAATACAATAATTTTGGTAGTACAAACATAATACTTAAGTGAATATAAACCAAACATATTCATCATAATGATTTATGTAATTTTTTAATATAATTTCGGTTATTATTTCAATAAATAAAACATACTTTACAAATAGAATTATTTTTTTTCTGTATATGTATATTCGACGAATAGATTTGTCAGAGTTATAGAAATATGACAATATGTTTAATTTAATTAATAGTTAAGATATCTATAAGTACATTACAGATGACAAGTTTTAATAAAATCGTTATTAAAATTTATTAGTGAATTTGTTAAATTATATTAAATAAAATTGCAATAACTTATTTATATTCTAAAGAGAGAATGACAGATAAAAAGATATAATAAATTTACAATTAAGTACATATTAATCTTAAGAACAACAATGCCTATAAGTATTTATTCATTTATAAATATACTCTATATTAGAATGTTTTATTTCATGTTGCATTTAATAATCAAGCTATTTTTAAAAGTTTAAAAATTTTGAAATTAAAATTAATTTTACTTACTTAAGCTTATAAAAAAATGATAAAGCCATTGGATTATGTTTATGAACTGTCAAAACAACCTTTTGCATTTTATTATTAGCAGCTATAGCTTCAAGGCAGTTCATCATAAAACGACCAAGTCCTTTGCGTCTTTCCAATGCTTCTAATTGTAGTTCATAACTACCGATTTCATAAAAAAAATAAAGATTTTATATTAAAATAACAACATTTTAATAATAAATTACACATGAAAATAATATTTAGATTTTTCTAACAAATGCATTAAACTAATCTATACATATAATATCTTGCATATATGTATAAATATTATTTTCTATTTTTCTAATACCTGTATATATCTAATACCAAACTATTATAATCGATTATTTATTTAATAATTATCTTTAAAAATTATATGCTTTTGCATATATTTTGTAAAATATAAATTTGAAAATATCATATACATAATTATTATTCCGTTTCTAGACATAATAGATTCAATTTTGAAATTTTTAATTTTAAATATTACCAATATAATACTTCCACTGCGTTATCTATATCAAACCGGAAATGAGAAAAGCCAATCATTTTTCCTTCTGAAGATGCAATTAAGTACCAAGCATTATTTTCTGTAAGTTCTGCTTCTTTTGCTATTTTATTCCATCCCCAATTTGATTGTTCATATCTTGCTTTCATGTTTAGTTCCAATAAATTAAAAATCCATGTTAGTGTTTCAGGTAAAAGATTTGTAACACGTTTACAATCTAATTGTATCACTGCACAATCTTTAGAAGTATACTCATGAAAATGAACAAGAGTTTCTAAAGGATTAAAAACTGAATTTGCTTTTTGCACTAATTTTGAAGCAATTGTTACTTTTTGTGCTTGAATCTGTCGTCTTGTCTTATGAGTTTTCCTCTAAAAACAAAAATAAATTTGTTAATTATTTAATATATTTTTATTACATATAACAATTAATATTTTTAATATATAGATTAAGTTTATTTAAAATACAATAACAAAAAGATTTTAAGTAAAACTTATAATTAAATGTTTGCATCAATTGTCAAAATAAATCATACATCTCAAATTTTTTAAATAGATTGTTTATTTATTTTTATTTTATAAATATAATTATTTCAAAATAATTTTAAATACTTAATTTATACCTTCATTATAAATATTCTTAAACTTTATAGTTAAGTAAATAATCGAACGGGAATTTGTGTGTATACACAAAAACGTAACTTGCATGCATGCAATGGGTTTAGTAAGAAAACGATTAAAGCGCAGTTGAAAGTTCGTGTTTCATAATTATTATTCAAATATATATGTGGAAAATTTAAAAAAGAAATTATAGGACTATATATAGCTCAGGAATATTAATTATTACTTCTGTAATTATTTAAATACACGGAAAACGTCATATAATGTGATTTTCCCAATGAATCTTTAATAATTATTTAAGATATTTTAATATAAAACACATATTTTTCTATTTTTAATCGCACCAGGTATATAATTTTTTAATATTAAATTATTGGAAACTAACGGTTTGAAATGCAGAATGTGAATTGCAAAATAATTAAAAATGTTAATAGATTCTGTATATTCAGTTACCGTTGATATTTTTAATTGAAATAAATAATTAATTATTAAAATAAATAATTAACAAAAATAAATAATTATTTTAATGTATTTCGTATGTAATATAAGATTTATGAAGAATTAAAAAATTAGATTATTTGTTAAAAGTTGTTTTAAATATTTTGGAATGAAACATTATAATAATGATAATACATGATAGTTAAATCAATAAACTATAGTAAGAATATAATGATAGAGTTGATTAAATCATAAATATGTTAATTAGCTCAAAATATAAGCTTTAAAAATCTGCAAAGCATCAATTGCATTATTTTTAATGAAAATCAAGAGTAACTTATTATTATAGAGACTGAATCTAAATTTCTGTTAGAAAATGCGAAAGTTCATAAGGTGACATGAATGGTAATTCTTGTGCAATCTTCCCATGCACCTATAAACACATTCATAAATTTCTATGTGGCAATTAATTTATATTATAAAAATTAACTAGAAGAAATATATTAAAGTCAAAATATTTGTTACGTTAAATATGTTCTTAAAAACATTATAAAATTACTTATGAAATTTAAAATTTTTAAATTATTTTTTATTTTAACATTTTAATTTATTTAGGAGTTTGTCAACGTCACGAAATCATGAATATACGAAAAAAATAATTTTTATTATTATATGGATTCAAAAATTGGTAAAATAGGTATATGAAATTGAAATGGCTTTCAATAATATATTTCAATAATTTATATTTTTTTAATTACATTAATTATTTTATTATTTTATATGCAATTGATACTACAGGTTACGATGTTTTATTAGTTCTGTTAGATTAGTAATAAATTGATTAACATTATTAACTTATATATTTAATGTAAAATATTGAATTAAGATCTATAATTAAAATATACCATTTTTAACAGTGTATTAAAGGGAATTTTTTTAATTTAACATTTTTAATTTTTTAATCATGCATTACGATAATTTAAAAATTCGTAATTTTCCTTTTCTTGTGGTTGGTGACATGGAAAACGATATAACTTACAATGGTTCCATATAGTAGTTTACAGGAAAATAAAGTAAATATAATTGAAAACGATAGAATAAAATAAATAAATAATTCTTTAATTATTATTTTTATTTTGTTACAGCATTTACAGATTGTTCTTCAAATTTGTTATAAACATGTTGCAAAACTGTGTGAAATGTTTTTGTAACTGCTTTTTTTTCAATTAAAAAACTAAAAAGAAGTAAAAATTGTGATCTGGAAAAGCTTTTTTTAATGGCAATAATCTGCTAGAAAAACGCTTTAAGCAAAATAAAAATAAACGAAGAATCGACGGACATACGCAGTATTTCTGGGGAATTAATTTTTTGTTTATTTTTTCTTGAATTTTGTTTGTTATTGTTTTTATGTAATTGTTTGTCTTTTTACGAAATCCTATATACGAATATATTTTTATCTTTGTAAGTAATTTTTGTTTTTATTATTGTTTCATTTGTAAGTTAAAGAATTATTTCAGCAAAACTATTATTTCTATTTATTATTGATGTGTTATAGCAAAGTCAAATAATAATTTTTTAAATAGTGCTGTTAAAAATTTAAGAAACTATCAAGTTTAAATTTTTCATCATATGATTTATCCACAGTATAGATTTATGAACAAAATAAATTAATATTTATTATATTTTAAATTAATAAAAATGTATTAATAGTTTAAATTTACTTTTATTAAATTTAAATAAATACAATTTTTTTTAAATACTACACTCAAAATTTCATACAAATATTGTTTTTTTAATTATTAATTATAGTGTATTAGAATAATGTAATAATGTAAATATTTTAACACTTGAAGTAAATTTATAAAACATTTTGAATCAGATTTATTAAATAAAAATTCTTAATTAAAAAAATTTTAAATTTAAATTAAGTTTAATATAGTTTTTGTTCAGTATAGGTATATTAAAATGTCTGAAGATGCAAGTGGATCAAAGATGGATGAAAAAGTGTCAGCTGCAATGACTCAATGTTTTGAAAATTATGTTTTAGTAGATGTTGGAGCAAATCTTACTAATAAAAAATATAGTCGAGATTTGGATAGTGTTATACAAAGAGCTAAAGATTCTGGAGTTCAGAAAATTATGGTGAATGGAACCAGTATACGTTCTAGTAAAGAGGCTCTACGTCTTACAAGAATTTATCCTGGTAATTTATATTCAACTGCAGGAGTTCATCCTTATGATGCCAAATCTTGGGAGGATCCACATACATTAGAAGAATTAAAAAGTATTGCTAATAATCCAGAATGTGTTGCTGTTGGAGAATGTGGATTAGACTATAATAGTTAGTAATGAGATTATAACTGAATTCTTTAATAAAATTAATTATTCTTTAAAACTTCAGATTTGTTAATATTCTTTATTAAAAATATATAAATGATTCATTTAAATTTTTGTTTTTGTCATTTTTGAATATATATTATTTAAGATTTTTTTCACATGTTATAATATTTCTTGTTCTAATTGTTTAATTTTACTTATATTTTATTGATTAAATTATGAGTAAGCTTTATACTTAAATTTATTATCTATGAATTTTATATTTAGATTATTTATGTGATTATATATTAAATGAATATAGACATACTTATAATAAACATTTATACAATTATTACAAAAATATATTGTTTAGAAAATTTTTCAGAACCCAATATTCAAAGATCTGTATTCCATAAACAAGTAGAACTTGCTTGTCGCTTAAATAAGCCACTTATAATTCATGAGCGAGGTGCTCAAGGAGATGTAGTGGAAGTGTTAAATCATTATATGGATCGGTTACCACCAGTTCTTATTCATTCATTTATTGGTACAGCAGAAGAAGCGCAAATTTATCTTGATCAAGGTTTTTATTTAGGAATAACAGGATACCTCTGCAAAGATAAATCTAATAGTGGTGTAAGACAATTGCTAGAAGGTGGTCAAGCATCTCTAGACCGAATCCTTGTAGAGACTGATGCTCCTTTTATGTATCCGAATACTAGAGCTAGTAAATTGCCTGTTCATGTGAAGGGTGCATTAACAGAACGCTCTATGACTTTTCTTCAGCGTTACTGCACATTTCAACGTAATGAACCATGTGCTTTGCCAGCTATTGTGGAAATGGTTGCTGCATTTATGCATAAAACACCAGAAGAAGTCGCGCTTGCTACTGCTTTCAATGCTCTTAAACTGTTTGGTCTAAATCAATGATAATCGATGGTGAAATGTAATTATATTTCTTTTTAATATTGTCAGAATCTTATGAATCATCAATTATTAATACAGTTTTGATGTTTGAATACTGATTGAGTTACTTCATTTTAGAAATATATAAACATTATATTATTGATATTTAGTTTTTATATTTAGTTTCATTTGAACAAATTATGAAAAATTTTTATTTTGAAAATATATTATCTATCCATTACTATTTTATTAAAATACATTTTTTATTTTAAGAACTCAATAAAATTTTAGGTAAATAAATAAAACAAATCATATGATATTGTATATTGAATTTGAAATAAAGTATATAGTATATTAAATTATAAGGCAGCTGTGTGATATAAGCATGTAAATTTTCTTGTTGATGTATTGTTTATTTTTATAAAAATAAATTATATAATTATATATTATTTGTAATGTTCTAGATAAAATTTTTTATGTAAGTATAGAACTATTTTACAAATCGAGTTTATATGATTTCAAAGTAAGATTTGCTCTAAATTCAGGATTTGTAATTTATACATGTTAAACAATGCAATCATACACATCCATAGACATAATAATATAAATAATACAAATGTATCATATTTGTATTTTAATCAATAAGATAAGATATGTAAGAAAAAGTAATATAAGTTTTGTATAAGCAAAATTATTCTATAGTAAAAACAAAGTCAATATAATTTTGAATAATTATAAAACAAGAGTTTCTTGCATTGTTTATACTTAAATAAATATGGACTTTAATTAACAAATGTCCAAGATTTATTAAGTATATAATTATTCATAGTATATTAATTAAATAATCCATATGTTATTATGATTTTAATTTATGCTTAATACATAACATTTATCATTAAACGATAATTAAATATTTTTTATTATTTTCTATTTGTATCTTAGTTATGTATTTACTATTTTTGAAATTAATATTTATATAATTTGAATTGCAATGTAGTTTAATATAAAATATTAATACATTTGAAAATTCATCTTTATATTCTTAATAAAATATTTTTGCTAAATTTTTTTAACTTATTAATTATAAATAAAACAAAATATTCTCATATATATTTTTATACAAAATTTATAACATTATATATTAAAAAGATTAGTTTGAAAATTATTTTACTTTTAATATCTATGGTGTTGATATATTAAAATGCTTATGATGTATTAAAAATAATAAAATAAATGAAAAATTATGGATATCATGATACTTTTTTTAATAATTACAGTTATACATTAATAAAAAGAATGTTGATATTTATGTATATAACATTATATAACCATGACTTTATACCAGTACTATTCAGCCCATTTTATATTATACCAGACTATAAGGTTATTGCATCGCCCATTTAGAGCAATTATTGGTTTAGCCAAATTTAGCATAAATTTAGAATATTTTATTTGAAAGGGATTATTTCAACAACTGTAATAGAATATTCGTATTTCCAAATAATTATTATAAATTCAATCCTTCATTCAATATTAATTTCAATTATTTAAATATATATTACCATAATGATATAATTAATGTATAACAACTTAAAATAAAGTTAGCTCATTAAGTTAATATATTTTAATTTATTAATTTTATTTACATTCGAATCTGCATGCACATGGTAACTCAAGTTGTGATAATACTTGAATTACAAAATATCTATTGAAAATATTCAAAAATAGATTACCGATAAAGTTAATATAATAAATATAATATATCTTTTAAATATATGTTAAAGTTAAGAATAGAATGAATTTAGAATAATTAATTAATACAATATATTTAAATAAAATACCTTAATTATTAAAATGTTATCATTATATAAACTCACCCACTACATATCTATCACAAGAATATTTTGAATTATTTGAATACATATTGTGTGTAATGTGGATATATATACCTGTGATTTGATTTATACTTATATATATATATTAATAATTTCGCTCTGTATTAATAATTTGCATTCATTTTTTAATTATTAAAACAATATTTATATTTGTTTCAGTATCACATGTAGTTTTAAGATATATAAAATACACTTTCTCTATTATATTAAAAAATTTCATTATAATTATTGTTCTTTATTTGGAAATAAATACATTATATTAATATAGCATAATTATTTCCTTAAAATAATATACAGGACATTAATTTATAGATTATTAAGATTCTTAATTATGGATTATTTTTTAAATAAAATATATAATACATGATTTATTTTTATATATAGAACATTGTATGGCGTGTATAATCATTGAAAGGATTAGTAAACAGTTCTAGATCATAAACTTATTTTTATATTATCGAAGACATTAATTAAATCAAGTTTTTAATTTTTAGAAACTCCGAATTTTATAATTAACTATATTTAAAATTACTATTTGTAAGTTTTGAGAAATGTGTATTCTTATTTGTTAATACTACTCCAATGTTGCCAGCAATTAATACAAAAAAATAAGATTACATTTTTATTTTGTTTTGAATTAGCTTATTGTATTACAAGTATAGCAATTAAAGCAAATTAAAACTGTAACTAGATCAGTATTTAAACTTTATATATATTTAAAATTTATTAAATTACGTATATAATTTTATAAATGTAATTTAATTTACTTCAGAATAATTAATTAATGTTATCCATATTCCTTAATGAAATTTTGATTAATTCTTACAATTAATATAATTTTATTATTAGCAAAGAAATAATTTAAGAATGTTTTTTTATTGGACAGTGCAATATAAAAAAATACCGATTTTATGATTCCATATTTTATTGAACTCATATTGTTATCAAACTACTAGAGTACTGATAAATTATTATAAAAATTAATAGTGTAAAATTGTAAATTCAAATGATTCTATTAACATATTTTGACATAAGTTTTGAAAAATATATCTATATAAATTAATAATTTTTTAATAAAACGAATAATATGACATTTCAATAATTAGTATAATTATAATAAATTTGAATAGTCTAATGCTTTATACGAATAAATATGAATATAGCAATAAATATAGAAAATACTATTAAATATTTCTAATTTTTTATTTTTATTAAATACAAAAAATGATAATATGTTAAACAATAAACTAATAATTTAACTATTGTAATTTTTATATTATTATTAATTAACATAATTTTAATATGTTGTTGCTAATCGATCTAAATTTCTTCTAATGAGAATAAATGTTTCATATAAAATTACATTTATATTAGGAAGTTTATAATGTAAAATACGTTTTGTAAGTTAGTTAAGAATAGATTATATAAGAACAAAAGAAATTTTTAATTAAAAATTTTAATTTATTTCCACGTTGAGTTATAAAGCAGATAATTCAATGAATAAGTGCATAAGAAAAAGTAGTAATGTTAATAAACAATCTTTATTAGTGCAATATATTTGTATTATAAATCTTATACGAGAATATTTTTAATATTTTATTAAGATTGTGAGTAGAAGAAAATTAATAGGTAGACAATATTAAAGAAATTAGTATTTAATCTATGCAATGTAAGCTTTTATCTATTATTATTTAACAAATTAATACTTAAAGAATTTATTGTATGAAATATATTATAAAAGATTATTTGATGTTTGAATTTCAATGATTTTACATATGTATAGAAATAGAAAAGTAATTATTCTTTAGGAATAAAATAATGAAAATATTGGATACCTTAAAACTATTCATATATTTTTTAGTTGTAAATTATTTTATTCCTCAATTTTTTTTATTTAAATATTCATAATATTCAAAATAAAATATATTAATTTTGTATAACTATTATATGAACAAAAATAAAATTAAAATATAGCTTTTTATTTTAGTTTTTAAAAAACAGATCAGTGCTCGCAAAATATTTGTAATTTTAATAAATTTATATATTAATTAAATGTCGATCTAAGTTTCATTTAATGAATAATAAATTTGAATAAGCCTTTGGGCTTGTTTTTATCTCGAGCAAAAGTTTTTCATTATATGAATATTGCAAATATTTTTTTTTTATTTTTAATAAATGCATAACAAATTTCATAATACTTCGACAGTAGTTTTATTTAGTTTTCAATCTACTCTCTTACATTAAGAAGATGATCGATTTAAAGGTGGGATTGGAAGTTTCGTTAATTATCTCCTTTTCTCGTTAATCTGGTGCAAATCATACACTATAATTTCATTAATACCATTTCAACTACTATTTAGTAATTGACGAATCATTAAATAGATTAATACTAATTTGAAACCAGAGAGAACAATACGGTATTAAATATATATATACATATCTGGTAATATATAAGTAATGAAATAAAATAAAAATCAGAATAAAAGAAAAAATGTTAAGTAGGCTGTTTGTACTTGTTATTTTGTTTAAATCTAAAACGTTTGAATGTTACAAAAAAGAGAATATAATGAATCTAAATCAAGGGTATAAAAAACTTAAGTTCAACAAAATTTTTGTTTTATTTTTAAGGCAGGAAGGATTTTATTGTCGGAATTCTACTGGAAAGGAAAATTGGAGTTTTTTGTCGGTTAAATGGAGGAATATGCAGATCTAGGTATAAAAATGTATATATGTTCAGGAGCTTGCGGCTTGGTTCATCTCATTTATACTTGCTATTTGCGGACTATAAGAGGGCAACACGAGTATCATATGCTAAAGCAATGAGCCTGTGCCATTATTGATCCAGCACGATAAATAACACTGCATTGCTGAAACATTACGAGCAAATAGTTAGGACTGATCATGGATCACTTATTGGATATATATAAAGGGTGGAGGGGAGAGAGAGAGAGAGAGAGAGAGAGAGAGAGAGAGAGAGAGAGGGTCGCAAGGAGTGCAAGAGAACGAAGGTCGAAAAGAGGTGTTATTCTAGATGTGTAGGTTCTTATTTCCGCAAATGAAATAGAGATTGAAAGGCGTTCCGGTCTAGATGTTGTACAAAAAGTGGTGCATACTGGTTATATGTAGGAACATTAGAACATTGGGCATCGATGCAGAAGGTGGGCGTGTAATGCAGACAGTGAGAAAACAACAAAGGCAACGTATCTTATTCAATGCTGGAAATTCTAAAATGATTTTTTATTCCACGGTGTTGGGACAGTTTGCGCATGCGTTTGTAGCATATACTTTGGTCAATTGCGTGAACGAATCAGCAGGAGGGGACAGTCGAGGATGCCGTTGATCAAGTCTGGACAGAGGCGTGCGGTGACGGAGCAGCTGTGAAATAGATGCGCATGGCGCGACGCCGATAGTGAACTCGTCCTCTGTATCGCGTATGTAGAGGCGTATGTAGATGTACAGAGCTAGGTTACGCATTTGTGTGAAAACGTAACGTTTGTTGAAGCGTGCCGATGCATTTTAAGTTTATTTGGTGGTCGAGCGTTACTCAGTATCGTCAATTGCACGTCGATGGGCTAGTCCAGAACTAGTGGATTGACCGAGTTACGTCATACCACGTGTGTTCGAACAGGGGAAGGGACGTATTCCCCTTCTGAGTTACGACAACCCAACGTTTGTTGAGAAGAGCAGTTTTTCTCCTAGTTACCTAGAAAGTAGACAGAACAAGGAAGGAGGGATACTTACGCGTCACTGGCCAGGAGATTGGCCAAGAAAAAATATGAAGAAGTTCACGTTTAAGGGGGTACTCGATGGCTTCCGATCCTCGGTCGCTCAACAAGTTAAGCCCGAACAGGAAATCGTTGAAACGCTTCGCTCCGAGCACTTTCAAGTCAAGAAGGTCAGTCTTGTCGACTCTGCACCTTGACATTGGTGCTCGAAGGTTGTTCTTTGGAAAATAGGTGCTTGTCATACATCGAGCAATCTCACTATTTTTCCTTTTCATTTCCTCAATTTCTTTTTGAACGTAAACTCGTAAAGTTTTTATAGCCAATTTTCATGACAGTGTTTTTGTATGCCTGAATTATTGACCTTATTCTATTTGCTACTTTTACCAATGTCAAGTAATTTCTAATTCAATTATGTAAATATTTCGATATTTGTATGCTTGGATGTTCTGTTTTCAAATATTTCATAAACTAATGATATTATTTTAATAAATGACATTAGGTATTTTTATAATTATTCGCTTAATTTTAGGAAATTTTTTTATGTGTTTATGATGACTATGTGATGAAATGCTTGATGAATAGGCAAATTATTCTTGAAGAAAAGAGATATGCACAATCATATATTGTATATATAATAAGATTGAAAAGTATTTTATAAAATAATGAATATATTGTTATGGAATTAAGGTGTTAGGTATTAAAAGGAATGTCTGAACCCTAAAGAAATTTTTTCTATTCTTGTTGCTTAAAATAAATTCAGTATACACATATATACAGTATACATATACGTTTTTAAGTATATTTAAAAGCAATAATTTCTAATAGTATAGTTGCTAGCTGCATCAACAAACATATTAATTATATTGAAACGTTATATTATGGAACTAAAAGAATTTCATTGTTACTATAAATTTGATTTACTAAAAGTAAAAATTTTTATTCTATTAAGTTTTTAGTGTGAAATTATATTTTAGTTTTGTTTAATATTTATACTGTATAAATATTAAGCTCAACGAAATCATTTGTCATTTGCATGGTAAAAGAATTTTATTATTCATAAAATTAGTATTTTTAAGTTATGTAATTGTTATTGAAATATTATGATCATTAAAACTTAAAATTTTTTAAGCAAATTAATATAATAATTATATTATAAATAAATTATTTATAAGTAACCATTTCAATTAAATGATTATTGACTTTATTTTTTAACACGATATTAATAGATAAAAATTAGTAAAGTTAATATTAAACAAAAAGGATGCTTGACCATCAATCAATCTATATATACATTTTTTAAATATTAACCGACAAATATATTTCAGGTATATTAATACTAAAGTGTGATTTTATACTTAATGCTTACGAAAGTTGCTAATTGAATCAACAAATTACGTGTTTTCATTTATTATTAGTCATTGATTATTTGCGCATGCGTAGGTCCGCAATTTGGTAACTTCCAAGTAACATAAATATGATGGGTTGGATATTAATCTGTAAATCTGCGGCTACATGCACTACAAGGGTAGGGGGAAAATAGGTAAATACGTTTACGGCAAAACCAATAGATAGATTAATTAAAGCACTTTCATATTAACTTTTGAAGCAATACTTTGTCTGAAATATACATTCCTAAGAAATCCCTATCTTAAGTGGATAAATATTATCAATGGACAGAAGGTATTTCGATTTTAATAGTTGTAAGGTTTGTAACAAATAAAATATTTTTACTCTGTGTCAAATATTTCAAAAGTATTTTAAATTTAAAAAGAAAAGTTTTAAAAATATCTTGTTTCTTTATATACTGAATGTTTTTACGGATATTTCTATTTATTTTGTTCGGTCGTAAAAATATTATTGTACAATTGAAATTGTGCAATATTTATTTATATTATTATTTGCAATAAAATATATTAAACTTATGCACCATGTGTATGAATAGAGAAATATTTCTATTTATTTACTATCCTCCCACATTATATAAAAAATATTTTTAAATTTAAATGGAGTTGACAAATTTTTAATATACAGAACTTTTTTAACGTAAAGTTTAAAATAAAATTAATTATAAAATATAAAGATTAAAGTTTATAATAGATTTCTTTAATAGTTATATTTTATCATATTTATGAAAATAATTATTTAAATGTAATTACAAAAAGGATTATGATCAAGTTTTTTTTTCAAATACAAGTACATCTTTTATAAAATGCAAGTACTGTGATTTGTTTATATTATAATACATAAAATCGATTTTCAATAAAATTACTATTACAATTATTTTATTGTAATTTCAATATTATGACACTATTGTTTAATATAAATAAATAATATTTACGAAATAATATATGTAATATAAATAAATTAATTATTATAGAATATGTTAAAAAATTATATTTTTTCGAAATGTTAAAATTTTAATAAATTTTGTCAAATTTTAAAAGCACTTAAAAAATCTATTATCATATAAAATTTTTAAATATTTTTAATATTTTAAATACAATATATAATACACAGAAAATATAAATACACAATGAACCAATTAAAAAAAGTAAATAAGTAATATAATGTAATTATTAATAAAGGTAAAGTGTACCTAACCTTAACTTTAAGATAATGTTATTAATAATTTGGATGGTAATAAAGTACAATAATAATAAATATTAAAATTTATCTCTTTTCATTCGTTTTTTTTACTTTCTCTTTTTTGTAATTTTTGTTCATTAAATAATTAAGGTAATGATACAGTTGTGTTTTATAAGTATAAATTTACAATTTAGATAACTAAAAGTGATTAATAATTTATGTTTGTAGTAAAAAATAAAATAGTTAAATACAATTTTACTTGAAACATATAAATATTAGTCGAAATTTTATTCCTAGAAGAATTAAGTTATAAGTAATGATATTAAAGTGTAATTATTAAAGAATTTTGTTTGAGTAACCTTTGATTACTTTTGTTAATAGTACTGAATAGATAAGTAATTAAAAAATATTTCTCCTTATTCAATACTCTATTCAATGAACCAAAAATAAATTAATGCAATTCTACAAAAAAGTCTTTTTAAATTTTCTACTTTGTATTACTATAGGACACCTTGGAATATATTGTATATTTGATTTTCAAGTTAATATAAATATTCAAGCAATTATATTTTTAGTATTGTTTAAAAACATTGAACAATACTCAATATTTTCCGGTAATTTAATATTTAACTTTTTATAAGGATAGATATAATATAAATACTGAAAATAATGCAAATTTTTATAAAAACAATAAATATAATAAATATAAAATAAGAATATTTTATATTACATAATGTAGGGAA